TGCGGTAGTTCTTCCGTTCCGGAATATGCTCAAACTCCTCTGCTTGTTGCTCGAGATGAGGGACATGTTCTGGTTGGTGGTCGGGTTGAGGGTCGGGCTGTGGGCTTGTGCCGATGCTGTTCTGCTGAATTGCATGCAAATCGGGGTCACCACGGCTGAGCGAGTGGATGATAGCCTTGAGGCCACGGATCTCGTCGTCCTTCTGTTCTAATTCTCTCAGGTGGTGCTGTCCGTCGGTTCCGGCTGGAGGCTCCTTCGAGTCACGTTCCTTTTGGAGTTCCAGCTTCGTTCGCTCGACCTCTCCCCGCAGAAACTCCACCTCTGCTCTGGCTTCGGCTTCTCCGCGCCGTGCATCCTCCAGACCCTCTTCAAGCTCGGAGACTAGCTCCTCAAGCTGTTTAAGCTGCCTTGCGACGGTTTCAACATCCTCGCCGCGCTCCTGCAGCTCTTGATTTTGTTGCATCAATTCATCTAGGCGTTGCTCATAAACCCGCTCCGTTTCCGAGGCAGCCACCTCCAAAGTATCCAACGTGCTTCTAAAATCTGCCCGGTGCAGGTCAAATTCCGCGGTCAGCGCTGCGATCTTCTCATTCTTCTCGCGCAACTGGGCTCGGATGGAAAGGGAGTCGGATCCCTCCAATTCTTCCAGGGTCCGCTGGAAATCCGATAGGGTGGCTGCCTGTTCATCCAACTGGCGATCGCGGTCCAGCAGTTGCTTTTCCAGGCTCTGAACTTGCTCCCGTACTTCCCGGAGTTCTGCTGCCACGGACGACTGGTGGAAGTCGGATGTGCGGGCCGACGGGAGCTCGTCTTCCGTGCTCAGCCGCGACGGCGGTCGGTCAGAAGCACGGGAGGGAGCCTTGACTGGGCTTCGCGGAAAGCCATTTGTCGATGCGGTTCTCGATGCCACGGACGGGGTTCGTAGCCCCGCCAGGCTCAGCTTGGAAGGAGGCGGGCCTCTGGGTGATTCGGGCCGGGGGAGGGACGGGCGTCTCACCCGCGGGGCGCGCACCGAGGTACCAGGGCCGATAGACTTGCTGAAGTTGACGGGCCGCGAAGGGGTGGGAGGGCCGGCATTTATGCTCGAGCCCAGACCGGAAGCACGTTTGGTGACATACTTATTGTTGTTCATCGGCACGAAGATGCCGGAGCCAGGAATGGACGTGGAGAAATAACGCTTCCCTTCAACATCCCCGTTGTTCTTTCCCCTCCTGGCATGCTCCGAGGCGAGTTCAATACCGGCGAACTTGCCTGGTTTGCCCGCCACAGTTCCCAGGTATTTGACCGTCCCGTACATGCCGCCGGGGACGTTGACCAGGTCGCCCACCTGGACATCGTCGAGGGGTGCCATGGTGACTGCAGGTGGGAGGGTCGGGGGGAGGGTCGGGAGTCGAGTCGCGTTAAGTCGAAGATTCTGCGGAAGGGAAGGGAAAGGGAATTGAGGGTCGAGATATAAGGCCACAGACAGGGACAGACAGTGCGTGACTTTCAAGGGACGACGACAGGTGAAGAAAGGGATGGTCTAGTAACGGAAGAGGTGTGGGGTGGCTGAAAGCAGTTGCAGGAGAGAAGTGACTGATCATAGGTCAGTCGACATAGTTGGTGTGTAGAATGGATGCGCAGCTAGTAGGAGGCTCAGAGGGATGTTTATTGCCTATCCCTCTCCTCTCCTCTGTGTCTCTGAAGCGTTCAATTCAGGTAGGGTCTCCGAGTCCTCCTGTTGGGCAGCGAAGGACAGGGGCGACGGCAAAAGGCGCAGAAGAAGGACAAATCAGACTGAAAGACTGGGGGGTGGATATTGAGTCTGGTCGACAAATTTGCAGCCAGAGAGCCAGAGAGACAGATTCCAGTTGAGAGTGAGAGTGAAAGTGAAAGTGAAAGTGACAAGTGACGACACAATAACAAACGAATCGGGGATAAGCTCAGGAAGCTCTGCAGCTGGAAGGCTTTCTGCCTTCTGCCTTCAGCCTAGGTTTCAATCAATCAATCAGCCTTCAATCGATTCGAAGCCATCCCAAACGAGTAATGAGCACACACGAACCATGGACGATTTGCCCCACCAGTCTCAGCAGGCTCAGAGTCAGTGTTCTGTCACGTACTTACACTCTCGAAACATACAATAAATCCTTCCAAACGGGACTAGTGGCTGGGGCAATGCACGTGCTTGTTCTTGTTTCTGCCTGAGGATTCAGGACTCAACCTTCCAACTCAATCATCCGTGCTCCCTCTTCCATTACTCGTACTCGTCCATACTGTTGTTCATTCAGTATCACTCCTCCTCGTATCATCACTCCCTGGAATTCATCTCCCCTCTCAAGGAGACTAAAAACCCCCTCAACCCGCCCTGCTATACCCTGAATTGCCCTTCGTTATCACCTCCTCTTCAAGCCTCCTTCCCTTGCAGTTCCGGCCACTGTCTTCCAGTCCCTTACCTAACCGTTCTGCTTGTCCGCTTCTGCGCCGCCAACTCCGGGGTGGAGCCCAGCCCGTCAGAAGTGGACGATAGTACGTCTCCTCCTTGGAACTAGCTCTCCTTAGTCGCCACGGGGTCATCACAGCCCGTCTATTGCCGAGTACGTATTGTTGTGACCGATCATCACTATTCTTCCAAAGAGCTTCATCGCACCTCCCCTACCTTCGCCCTTCAATTGCCGCGCCGCGCCCTTTCGCCATGGCGCAATACTTCTTCGACCTTCTGTACAGCTTCACGGATTGCATGTGCTGCTTTCCTAGCACGCCGCAATTGAAGATCAACAGTCGCAGCTTCAAATTGCTCCGCCTTCTAGGTGAAGTAAGTGTCCGCATCTGACTGCTGGTGCTGTACAGCTTCTCTGAAGAACCCTTGATGCTGACGCGTAGCCCCTACTTCGCAGGGCGGCTTCTCCTATGTCTACCTCGTCCAAGACAAAGCGACCTCCGAATTGTTCGCGCTCAAGAAAATCCGGTGCCCCTTTGGCCAAGAATCGGTCTCCCAGGCCTTGAAGGAGGTAGAGGCCTACAATCTGTTCACATCGCACAACAACATCATTCACTCCATTGATCACTGTGTTTCGACTGAACCCGGCTCCAAATTCCGCTCCGACGGCGGCGAACCCGGCTCCAAGACTGTTTACATCCTACTACCTTATTACCAACGCGGAAACCTTCAAGATGCGATCAACGCCAATCTCGTCAATCACTCCCGTTTCCCGGAGAAGAGGCTGATGGAGTTGGTGCTGGGAGTCGCCCAGGCATTGCGCGCCATGCACCAGTATCGTGTCAAGAGCGGCTCGGGGCCGACCCGCAAAGCCAAGGCTGTCAGGCGGGAGGGGGCCGAGGCAGACGCAGACACCGCTGTTCGCAAGGCAAAGGCCAAGCGACGAGCCACCCAAACCGCAGAGGACGATGAGGAGGAGAATGAGCCTTTGATGGACGACGAAGTGACCATCAGTCAGGAGGGAGTGCAGGACGGTGACCTCCGTCCGTACGCTCACCGAGATATCAAGCCGGGTATGGTGTTCGCAAAGACAGTACGGATTGGCTAGGCTAACTTGCGTAGGGAACATCATGATCGCCGATGATGGTCGTACGCCCATTCTGATGGACCTTGGGTCGCTGGCACCTAGTCCGATCGCTATTACCTCTCGCTCGCTCGCTCTAGCGGTCCAGGATACTGCGGCGGAGCACAGCACGATGCCCTACCGGGCGCCCGAGCTGTTCGATGTCAAGACGGGCTCGATTATCGATACCAAAGTGGATATCTGGTCTCTTGGGTGCACCCTGTATGCCTGCCTAGTGGGCAAGAGTCCCTTTGAAGCTCGGAGCGAAGAGACTGGCGGCAGTCTGAGTATGTGTGTACTAGGTGGAGACTGGCGATTCCCGGACGAGAAGTCGAGTGCGACTAAAGGGAAAGGAAAAGCTGGAGACAACAACAACCGTGACAATGCCATGGCAATCAGTGAGCCTGTGAAAGAAGTTGTCCGCAAGTGTCTACAAGTCGAGCCCGCAGATCGGCCAGACATTGATGAATTGATTCAGATTATACAAGACGTCATCAAGGAGCTACCAGATGATGATGAGGTTTCCGGAGGCTCGAGCTAAGCTATCTACTCGAGCCGACTTTTCCTAATGTTGCCTTAGCATGTGATTTGCAGATACTTGCTTTTTGATTCTACATTAATGCCGGCTCTCGTCAGCTGTGCTGATCGTTGGATTGCCTGGTGTATTATATGAAATGATTTGAATGTTGAACATATCTCCTTCCGTGTTGATGGTATATGAATAGTTGTTTCTAGTATCTGAGGGGTGATCGCAGCTGATAAAGGACCTGGTATGAGAAGCCAGGTTCTTCTAGGCGGATTTCTTATCAGAGGTCCATGCTTATCTACTGTTGGGAAGATAGTTGACGTAGACGTAGAAACATGAAGTTCCCAGACCGCAGTCTGATATGAGAGACGCTCGTATTTGTCCTTTGACTCGGTCCACCCGTGATGAAACCGCACGGGAAGACCTTCTCTCTTCTCTGCCTCCCTCACTCTGCTTCTTTCTCCATGACAATCACCTGCTTGCAAGCATGGCATGTGCTGTACTTTGGGCAAAACCACTATGCAAGACTCCATTCGCGATGAAGATGTACATTTCGAGCTGTACTTGAAATGTCTGCATCAACCTGTTGACAGCCGTTGGGCTGGCTAAGCAAAAGATGATAACGGGGATAGGATTGACAGGCAGGTTGACCCGTCGAGCTATCGACAGCAGCCTGGCTTACCGGACAGAACAGGATCCTTTGCCGACGGTCGATATCCCCCGCCTTGTCCGAATCATCGCAACTGGTTAGTTATCGCGATGGCCCGCCTCGAAGCCGCGCGGGGAAGACAGCCCACGACTGGTTATCGCCATCTGCTTGCCCCCTTCCCCTCCATTGACCCTCTCTGATAACCAAGTGGAGCCATCAGCGCACGATTATCAGAGGGCTGCCCCATACATAGGGTCCCAATGACCCCCATCCGTGCAATGCTTGCTTAGACTCGGCGTTTCTGAGCGTGACGGAATGCAACCCGACGGTGGCTTATCTGCAGACCTATGATAACGGCGACAAGAGGGTTGGATCATCTATGGACTTTGCACGCTGATAGCAGACGGAATTGTTCCATGGTGCCACAGGGTGAGAGCGGGGGTGTGGGAAGAACCCCCAAACGCAGTCAATGCTACTTACTTAACCGGCTTCTGCGAGGGTTGACATGTACGCTGCGCGCTGATTCGGTCGCCGTCGGAAGCTTCCTCGACAACAGCCAGACTTTAATAGTCCCGGCTGCCCGCAGGGAGGGAGCAGACATCATCTCTGACCAGAAAGCAACATTTCTTTTCTTCCCTAAATTCTGGAACAAGGCTCGTCAGTCTGTACCAATTGCTGGCCGACACCATGGCCCCGACTGTGGACAGAAACGCCATCCCCGGCACAGTGACCCTGGTAGATCTACAACATGTTCTGGCGACCCGCCACCTGGACAAGGGCGACAGCGACATTGTTCTTATCCCCGAGCCCTCGGACGACCCCGATGATCCATTGAACTGGGCGCCGCGCCGGAAACTGCTTTCGACGGTTTGTGTCAGCGTGTACGTGGGCACCGGCCGAAGAGCTCGGGCGTGGTTCAGCGAGTATTGACATTGCGTCATAGATATACCCTGTTCGCGGGAATCGCATGTTCCGTTGTGTACTCGGTGCTCACGCAGCTGTCGGACGCCACTGGCGTCTCTGTTTCAACCCTGAACGAGGGCACCGGGTATATGTTTTTGTTCGCGGGCTGGGGGCTTCTGTTCTGGCAGCCATTGGCTTTGCAGTATGGCAAACGCTTGACGTATATTTTGTCACTGGTTGGGATTTTGGTAAGCCTTGAAGCTCTGGGGGCATGGGGGCATGAAAAAGGTCACTGCTAATACTTCATAGGGCACGTCGATGTGGGGGTAAGCTTTCACGGGCCCACCTGCTGGGCGTAACTGAACTAACTATAGACCAGCCCTTACATCCACACCAACGGCCAGTGGATCGCGCGGAGCATCATATCAGGGTTTTTTACTGCTCCGATCGAAGCCCTGCCGGAGGTCACTGTCACAGACGTGGTAGGTTTGATGGCAGGTAACCTCCAACCACGCTGATAAGAGAATAGTACTTCACCCACGAACGGGGCACCTACATGGCCCTCTATGCATTCTTCCTGGCCGGGAGCAACTACTTCGCCCCGGTGATCTGCGGCTTCATCGCGGAATACCAAGGCTGGCAGTGGGTGTTCTACTGGCCCAGCATCTTCTGCGGCTGTGCCATTGTATTTCTCTTCTTCTTCATGGAGGAGACGAACTACGAGCGCCAGCATCGAACCGCGCCGGATCCGCAATTGACGTCTTCCACGAGGACGTCGGAACAGCACGAGAAGGAGAAGGCTCCCTCCGGACTGGTTCAGCAGGCGGACACGGAGTGTGGCGTCATGTACAAGAAGAAGAGCTATGCCCAGAAACTCTCGCTGCTGGGTCCGCGACTGCCCCGAAACAACATGTTCCGACGGCTGTGGCAGACGATATACTATCTGAGCTGGCCGGTGATTTTCTACGCAGGGTGGGTTCGACGACAGACCGCTTGGATTTTGGACTCCATTGACATCGATAGGTTCTCGTACGGGTCGTACCTGATCTGGTTCAATGTGCTCAACGGCACTGCCTCGATTATTCTTGGTGGTGCGCCATACAACTTCAGGTGTGTCATCTAGATATGATCCAACAGACACGACCTCTAACCATGGCAGCTCCTCAATGGTTGGTCTGAGCTATCTAGCCTGTATCCTGGGCGTAGTCTTTGCGTGAGTGCCCTTCACCATGTATACCGCGGTTATCACTACTAACAAAATCAGCTCGCTCCTGACCGGCCGGTTCAGCGACTGGCTCACGATCCGCCTGGCGCGGCGCAACAACGGGGTCATGGAGGCGGAGCAGCGGCTGTGGCCGTTTGCCCTCTGCCTGGTCCTCGTGCCGGGGTCGCTGCTGCTCTGGGGGGTGGGCGCGGCGCACCAGGTGCACTGGTTCGGGCTGATCGTGGCCATGTGTCTGCTGGCGATGGCCAACACGTGCGGGATCACGCTGAGCGTGAACTATCTGGTGGACAGCTACCGCGAGCTGAGCGGCGATGCGATGGCGACGGTGATTCTGGTGCGGAACACGATGTCCTTTGCCATTGGATACGGGTGAGGGCTGCTGCACGTATAGTGTGTGATGTGCCTTGACTAACCGCTGGCAGGATCACCCCGTGGGTCGACAACCTCGGCTACCAGAACTGCTTCATCTCGGCGGCGTTTGTGGGCCTGGCCTGCGCGGCGGTGTTCCTGGTGATGATCAAATGGGGCAAGGGGTTCCGGGAGCGCAGCCGGGAGAAGTACTGGGCGATTGTGGAGGAGAACCAAGCCAAGGGGATGGGCCATTGATTTTGTGATAGATTAACCCGACAGACATATCAGACAACAATCCAGATCCGCTACATCAAATCAAACATACCCTTACCCCAAAGAAAACAAAGAAAACGAAACCTCTAGAGACAAACAGAACTAACCCCCCATCTTCCACCGCAACGCAAAGTTGGAATCCCACTTGGCCCGCTCCATGGCGGCGTCCCACTCCCTCGCCATGCGCGCCAGCATCTCCTCGGGCGTCTCCGTGTCCACGGGGTCAACCTCCCCACTCCTACTCCCATGCCCCTGTTGCTGTTGTTCCTCCACCTCCCCCTCCTCCCCTTCCCCCTGTCCATCCTCCCCCGGGCCCCCAAAACTCGAATCAATATCCAACCGCTCCAACCACCCCCTCACCCTCCGCCGCCTCTCCGCCATCTCCACCCACGCATTCCTCCCCCCATCCCCATCCCCCTCTTCCCTTTCCCCTTCACTCCCCTGATAATCCCCCAGAGAAGTGGGGGACTCACACCCCCGCAACCCAATAAACCGTCCAAACCGGCGTCGCTTCGTCTCGAGATCCACCTCCACACCCTCCGCCCCCGGGATCCCCAGCCACGGCGGCACCGTGATGGGATAGTACCCCGTGGCTGCCACAGCCGGATAGACCTGGTGGAAGTGCCGGGCCAGACTATCCAGCTGCGCGTGGGTCAGGCAGTGGAAGGCCAGCAGGGTGCGTGGGAAGGCTGGGTGGTAGTGGCCGGTGGTGCTGCTGACGAGGGGGTGGAGCGGGGTGCGGAGGTGGGTGAGGAGCGGGGTTAGTTTGGCTGCTAGGCGGGGGTTTTTGGGGAGGCGGAGGGGTTTAGGGGCGGGGGGCGCGGGGATGAAGGGGTTGTGTTTGGGGGAGAGAAGGTGCGGGTGGGGGTTGGGTTTGAGGCGTTTGAGGGGGGGTTCGGTTGTTGGGTGAGGGGAGTATGGTGGTGGTGAGCCTTTTGGTGGTGGTGGTGGTGGTGGTGGTGTTGGTGGTGTTGAGTCTCTTGGTGGTGGTGATGAGGGTGGGGAGGGGATGAAGGGGTGGATTTGGAAGGGTCCCGTCGGGGGGAAGGCGGGGCTTAGGGGTTGTTGCTGTTGTTGGTCTTCTTGTGGTTGTGATAGTGACAGTGGCCGGGATAGTGGCTGTGGATAACGTGCTGCAGGCGCAGGCAGCAGACGACGGAAGCGTCGCGGCGGGGCAATCAACGTCGCCCGCGGACTCGTCGGACTGATGGACATGGGCGAGAAGTGCTCATCCTCCTCGGAGTCGGTAGTGGGAGACGAAGTGGTGGGAGGCGACGCTGGGACGATGATGATGCGCGGCGTGGGAGGGCTGTTTCCGTTTCCGTTTCCGTTTCGTCGCGGAGACATCTCGAATGTCTTTCTCGTCGACATTGGCTTGTCGATTATCAACGAAAGGTACAGTGCTTCAACTGGTGTATCTTGAGAATAATTCAGACTTGTTCACTGTATGCACCAGGCTTGAGGAAGAAATCCCCCAGAAATATGCTCCTGCCAGAGGACAGCGGCTGGTTATACAGCTCGTCCTCCTTTGTTGATGTGCAGATACACCAGTCAACCGATGCTATAAAAACTCGAAACCGAAACACCACCTCGAGCTGCATGAACAGCCATCCAAACCACTGCTTTATCCCTCTATTGTTCTTTCGTACAGTCGGTCTTTTGTCGGCGCGCGAACAAGACTACTGGCTATATTAAGGCTCTCTGTCTCACCGCAAACAACGCACGGCAATCCCTTTATGCGCCGAGTCCCATTATCTCACCCGCCGGGGTGCCTCGGGCTCATCGCCAAATTAGGGCGGCTTCATTGTTCCTTTGTCAAGACCCCCCGAACAATGGAATCGACCGACAAACAATAAACGCTGTATTGACTCGTGACTAAATCATGATCCTAGTGCTCATTAACCCACCAACTCACAATGACACAGTCTCCAGCCGCTTCTCCATCGACGGGGCCTTCGTCGCGCTGAACTCGGCATACTTGCTGGAGGCCGCCGGGAGGCCCGTGTACTTGTTGATCCAGTTCAGAACGGTGTAATGCCACATGAGTGAGTTCTCCGGGTTGAGCACCCAGTGATTCTCATCCGGGAAGGTCAAGAAGGCGCTATCTACCCCCTGCAGTTGCAAGACATTGAATGCAGCCAGGCCCTCGGCGATGGTCAACCGGTAGTCCAGCTCGTTGTGGATGATCAAGTGCGGTGTCTGCCAGTTGGCGGTATGACGAGAGGGATCCCAGCGCTCCCAATTCTCGGGTACCTTCCACAACGGACCCTTGAGGTCCCGCAGCGGGAAGTAGAGCTCTTCACTGGCGAGCATCGAGTTCATGCTGAACACTCCATCGTGAGTCACAAGCGCCTTGAACCGCCGACCCAATGGGTGGCCCTGGATCCAGTTGACCATGTACCCGCCATAAGAGGCGCCAAGAGCCACCGCTCGCGAGGTATCAACATAGTCCAGATTCTCGGCAATGTAGTCAAACCCCTTTTCAAGGTCGACGTAGGGTAGCGAGCCCCAGGCATTACGAATCTCGTCCGTGAATCTCTGCCCGTAGCTGGTGCTGCCGCGAGGATTAGGTGTGACGACAACATAGCCCTGCTCGGCAAAGATCGCCGGGTTCCATCGAGTGCTCCATTGCTCGCACCATGCGCTCTGGGGACCTCCATGGATCAGATATGCCAGCGGATACTTCTCCCCGGGCTTGAAGTCGGACGGCTTCACCACCCACGCATGGACGGGTGTGTCGTTGGCGCCACGGTACCAGATTTCATCCACCTGCGTGGGCGAGAGCCCGAAAGAAGCACCATCGCGTCCGATAGAGGATATCACACGGACGTCCTTCGGCGATTCAGGATCTATGATCGACCACTTGCTGTTGTCCACAAGACTGCTGCTAGCGATGAGTAGTTTACCAGAGTTGGCTGCTGCGGGATACACCTCCGTCACAAATCCCGAGTGTGTCAGCTTCTTCAGCACATCAGGAGTAGAGTGGCGGACATTCTCTAAGGGTAACTGATAAAGCACTCCTCGTCCGGTCTCCTCGACCTGAATGAACAACGACTTGTCGTCATGTGCAAATGTCAACCCGGATGGACTAAGAGGCCAGGCGCCTTCTCCATCCGGCGATGCAAAGATCTCGATCATCTCACCACTCCACGGGTTAGGCACATAGAGGATACGTCTCTTATCCGACTCATAGCCGTCCTCACGCATCGCCAGGAGCGCGATGGAGCTACCATCCGACGTCAGCACTGGGGAAGACATGGCTCCTTCGAGGCCCTTCACAGCGCACACTCGAGTCTCCATGGCAGTCACACTTGTCCAGGAGAACATCGGACAATAGTAGCATGAGCAGGACGTGTGCGTGGCGGGGTTCAAGCTCGGATCCTTGGCCACGAACACAATAGCCTCCGGACTGATGTCAAAGTCGCCCGTGCCCCCAAACGGGGGAATCGGCGACTCGACCCCCGTCAAGCCACACACTTGAATCAAGTTGGTGAGCCCCGAGACAGCGTACTTCCCCGCCTGCCGAGTAGGCGGAGACAGGGGTGCCTGCTGGAGCAGACCATACCAGATGGCGTTCTTCTGGGGCTCAACATACGAGTCCCAGTGCCTCACGAACAGCGAAGTATAAAGGCGCCCGGTGCTGGTCGGCTTCTTCGCGTCGTGCGGGTTGTATAAGGTGCCGTCCGTGTTGGCCTTGCCGGTGACCGCAAAGCCAATCCTCCCCGGCTCGACAACGGTGACCTTGAGGTCCGAGACTGGGCCAGGAACCGTGCCCGCGGTGTAGGTCTTGTCTGCCTCGCGCGCATCACCGATGATGAAGCTCGTGTTGCCGTTCGCCTTGGCCTTCAACCAGACGAGCTGATTGCTGTCGCCTAGCCACTGGGGACAGCTGGCGCCGGCATCGTTGGTGATTAGAGCCGACCTGCCGCTCTCGATGTCCAAGACTCGGATCTCGTTGGTTTTGGAGTGGGATTCGAACGAATAGGAGGTCTGGGTGTACACCGCAAGGGTGCCTGAGGCATTCGGCACAGGGCCAGAGCGCCGAGGAGCTCCCAGGAGAACTCTGGTGTGGATCAGTACAAGAACCAAGTGTTGCAAGCTTCAATGACGACCAGTCAAGATCACGATAGGCTAGAACTAAATGATCACATACTCTGGAGTGAATTTCATGGATCGGATGGTCATGACACTGCGACCGGCAAGGGCCTGATAGATAAGATAGATAGATAGCTCGAATGCGGTAGCTCTAAGTGATGATAAGAGAAGCACAGTAGCACAATCCGCACACCGCAGCGGATCCCTGATGAGGAATTATCAAAGAAGAAGACGAGTTTAATAAGAAGGGAAGAGTGAAGATCAAGGGATGAAAGGGCAAGGTGAGACACTGGGGACCGTGAGGGGAAGAAGAGCGGAGGTGGCGTCAGGGCGGCTGGTCATTCCCGCACTTGACTTGCTCTGGTTCTTCTCCGGGAGGCCCGATTGGGATACGACCGCTAACTTCCAAGTTACTGCTACTGCTACTGTACTACTGATCACAAACGACATGTCTAAATCATCGTATCTCCCCATTAGAACATATAATTACAGACATTCATACAGAAACTTCCAACTTCCAAATTTCAACTGTCTACTCTTCCTCTTCATCCTCCTCCTCGCTCTCGTCCTCATCCATACCTTCCGCCGCCGTGACCGAGAAGGTAGGAGCTTGATCCACACCCACATAGCTGTCGCTCATCAGGTACAACGTCAGCTCATGCTCTCCCGGCGTGGGAACGATGTACTCCAGACGCAGATCCAGCTTCCGGCCGATAGTGACCCGCTTAATCGCGAGCAAATTCTTGGTCTTCTCATCGCCGACGACCAACCACCAATTCTCCATCTTCTTGCTAGGGTAGAATGGTGCGTGCACGGTCGTATCCGGCTCTTCGTCCTCCTCCACCTCTCGCTCGATCTTGATCTTGAGATAGGCCGGCTCGCCCGAAGTGATGTTCTCGGGATCCTCAACCTCAAAGTCAAGCTCCAAGTTGGGATATTTCTCGTTCGTGAACGCGGCAGCTTGGGCCAGCTGCTTGTTGTCCAGACCAAGACGCTTGATCAATGTCGCGTAGTCCTTGTTCTCCGAGGGATCCATGGCTTCCATGAACTCGAAGATGTCGTTGATGCTGACGGCAGAGTTAGCGCGGGTCAACTGGAAATTCCGGGGGGATACATACTTATACTCATTCGCCACCTTGATAGCCTCGGGGCCGAAGTGAGGAATCTGCTTCAGTGGACTATCCCGGTCCCACATGGCCTGGACTACCATCTGTGACATCTCCATCGCATTCATCGCGTTCAAATGTCCCTCCGAGGAGAGGACGTCCACACACGCACTCAGGAGGTTGAGCACCTTGCTGACAATAACTTCCTGATCCTTGGCAAGATCAATGGGCAGTTGCATGCGCGAGAAATGAGCCTGCAGCAGCACAAATGCCTTGAAGTGGGGCGAGTCGTACGAGGTCTCAGCCATCTTAACCGGTACACGATCATACACGCGGCGAAGAATGTGCTCCTCGTGGCGACGCATCTGGATGTTTTCAAACTCCGTGGCGGAAGTGATGATCTCCAAAATGCCCTTGAGCTTGGTACGCGCCGACAAAGAGAGGAGGAAGGTCTGCATTGTGATAAAGGAAATGTTGTAGTAGGAGGCAATCATGGCGGCGTTCAGAGGAGCGACGCTGTCCTCTTCCTCATCCAGATCCACGATCTTGGCGTCCGACAATTCCTTCAGGGTGTTTTCGAGCAGCTCAGAGAGGAATGTACTAAGACCCTCGTGGCTGACATCGGTCAGACCGTAGAAGCTCGGGTTAGCCAGCAAGCGGCGGTAGAAGTAGGTGTGCGTCATCCAGTCAATGGCGTCTTGGGTCGAGGTAATCGTTCTCGTGCTAACCTCGGTGACAAACGCATCATGCAAGTAAGCCTGCAAGTGACTCTCGACAGGCAACGCCTCGTTCAAGAACTTCTTGTAATAATCGCGCTTGACGGCAGGCACCATGAGCACACCACGGCCAAGCTTGTCATCGCCGGGACGAGAAGCCTTGCCGAACATCTGAAGGATCTCACTGATTGGGTAGTCAATGTAGCGGTGCTCACGGCCCTCGAAGAATTGAGTGCCCATGACAATCACCAGATGTGCCGTCAGGTCGAGCTCCCAGCAAACATCACGGGAAGCGAGGAGAACCTGAATAGCGCCAATGGAGAACAGGTGAGACACGATGCGCTTATCAGTAGCACTCAAAGCCTCATGGTAATAACCGATGCCGTGGGAAAGAGACTCAGCCAACGTCTGTTCTTGAATTCGACCAAGAAGAGGAGCAAGCTCGTTCACATCTGCGTTGAGGAACCGGTCCTCATCGTCATCCGTGGCACAAGCAGCCAACAGGTCCATGGCAGTAGCACGGGTTTGCTTACGGCTAGGCACGAAGACGATGGCCGGCTTATCAGCAGACAACTGCAGGATGGAGTGGTATGCTGGTCTGGCCATGGCGAGCATGAGCGAAGGGAAGTGCGGAATGGTGAACGATTGAATGTGGAGCTCCAATGGCACTGGTCTGGCGTGAGGGCTGAAGTTGTAGATCGTGTGTTTATTGGCGCCAATCCACTCGCCGATGTCACGAGCGTTCGCAAGAGGCACACTCAAGCCGATGATGCGCATGCCATTCTCGATCTCCAGAGCCATGGAGTGCATGCGCGAAACAACCACTTCATACACGTATCCGCCATAGCCTCCGAGCATGTGCAGCTCATCGGCGATGAAGAGTTGCACCGTCCGGACGTTCTTGCGCTTCCGCCATTGCCGGGACAAGACATCCCATTGACTTGGTGTGGCAAGAACGAGATCGGCTCGTTCCAGAAGTCTGAGATCGGCGGTGGTTTCGCCAGTAAGCTTGACGATGTTCTTGCCACCGGAAAGCTGGCTCAGTCGCTTCTGCCAGTCCGCCAGACGCTGGTCAACGAGCTCTTGGAATGGAGCAAGGTACACAGCACGGCCGCTATCCTGCTGGGACAAGTGACGCAACAAGGCAAGCTCGGCACACACAGTCTTTCCGCTACCAGTGGGAGCACCAACAAACACGTTGTCATCTGTGTCAAAGAGAGACTTGAAAGTTTGCGTCTGGATCTTGTTGAAGAACTGCCAGTCGGGGTACAGCTGCTGGAAATCTTCGCGCTTCAATGCCTTCACTGGTGCCCTTTGCATATCCAAAAGAGGAGTGTGGGGCGGGAAACGTTCAGGAAGGATCAGTTTTTGGAAGGAGACGGCAATCTTGGTTTCCGAGTGCATCCAGCGATCAGATACCAGCGAAATGAAGTAGTTCGGAGGCATAGGCTCGGAGATGGGGACAGTGAACTCGACGAGATGCTCGTTCATCTCCGATTGTGCGTGGTCTTTCCGCAGAAGGAACTGGTCGTGGAATAAGATCTCCTCGCCATCGCAATCCTCCACCAGAATCCAGAAGTCTTGAGCAGAGCCATGTAGTGTCTCGTCCCAAACGAAGTTAGGAGTGATCGTCAGCTCGACCCGTAGCATGGAGCGAGTGACGGGTTGAACCTGGGCCTGAACCTCCAGACGAGGGAACTTGGAGACAAGATCGCAGACAACACGTCCAGCCTTGGGCATACCTAGGAGCTCACCCATGCGAGGAGGATCAAGGTCGAAGTAGCTACCCCAAGGGACGTCGATTCTCTCCGCCTTCTGCAGGATGTCTCTTGGGCAGGACGGGAACTGACGGAGGGGTGTCATAGTGGGCCACATGCGCCGCTCGGCCATCTTGCACAGGTTGAGAGCAGTCTTAGCCACAGATGACCATCCCTTCTTCAATGAGATTTCGAAAATAGCGCGCAGAATACGACCAGCTGATTGGGTAACATAAACCATATCTGCCATCAGGGCAAGTCCTTCCAGCTTGAGGCGAGAGATGTAAGCTTGGAGCAAGACATTGATCTTGGAATGAGGCTCGTCGATCCCTTCCTTGACAGGGACAGGCACACGACCAAGTAGCTTCGCAAGCTCCAGCTTCTCATCTTGACGGACCGGGATGTACTTGAATTCATCGCTAAGAGCGAAGATTCGGAACAGCTCGATCGTGGTGATGTTAGGTTGAAGGTGCTGAGAGTAGGTCAACATGGAGTTGTGGCCGATGTAGTAGTGGGAGGCGATACGACCAAGCTCCGTGGATTGCATACGACCTGTCTTCTTGTCATACTTCACAAGGCCTGCTCTTTCCAGAATCACGGCAGCAGAGTGAACAAGATCAACGCGCTTCTGCTCAAGGGCGTCATCACTTTCATAGTCTGCACCCACGCTGTAAAGGCCAGGTGAGCGGAGCATGCGGACGAACAAGTAAGTATAACCCAGCCAGTCAACTCCCTCGTCACGAGTACGAATGTTTCCGAGAACGATCTCGGCATTCATATTGTCAGCAAGCTTACTGACGAGCTGACTCTCGATTGGCAATTGCTGATTCAAAAGGGAGAGGTAATACTGGATTTCGGTTTGCGTTGTGATAATGATACCTTCACCGAAGGTGTCGTATTGAGGTCGTCCAGCACGTCCCAACATCTGCAGGACATCTTGAGGGCTGAGCTCGACCCAGCTACCCTTCTCAGGCGAGTAGATCTGAGTGCCCTTGATGATAACTGTGTGGGCAGGCAAGTTGACACCCCAGGCAAGAGTTGCTGTACATACGAGGACTTGGATGCTGCCGTCAGCGAAAAGCGCCTGGACGGAGTCTCGATCAGCAAGACTGAGACCAGCATGGTGAATACCAAATCCATAAGGCAACAAATCCTTGAGCGAGGCGTCATCAACCGACTCAGCTTCTTCGGCCAAGATAGCTCTGCTTGCAGCATCACTGCGCAGAATCTGGCCGATGGTCTCCATCTCAAGAGCCTTGTCTCTGATGTACTTGGCCGTCTTGGCGGTCTCCTTTCGAGAGTGGACGAAAATGAGCATCTGGTTCCGTTTTTGTCCGACTTGCTCAAGGACTTTGGTGTAGCAGATATCGTTCATGGTCTTCAGCTGCTTGATGGCCTTCTTGTCCGTAACGCCAATGAACTCCTGTTTGAGAGGACAAGGTCTGTAGGAGCCATCGAAGTGGAAGAGGCCCTTCGCAGGATCAACACGCAGGAAGCTGGCGACATCCCGGTAGTTGGGGAGCGTAGCACTGAGACCTACAATTCGGACTGGGTCGCCAGTCTGTTCTACCTTGCGGATGGTTCTGCTAACAATACTCTCGATGACAGGACCACGCTCGTCGTGAAGAAGGTGAATTTCATCAATGACGATCAGACGGACCAGTCTGGTGTAACTCGTCTCCGAGGCCTTTCGAGTAATGACATCGTACTTCTCAGGAGTGGTGACGATAATCTGAGTCTCAGCAATCTGCTGCTTCGTAAGTTGGCGATCACCGCTCAATTCCGCCACCTTGATGCCGTAAGGCTCAAGACGTTTGCCGAGGTTCCCGACCTGTTCCTGTACAAGTGCCTTCAAAGGAGAGATGTAGATGATTTTGAAGTCGTCCAGCATGATCTCGCCCGTCTGCGGGTTCCGATTCTTGCCAATCTCGCGGAGGATAGTAAGCATGGCAACATTGGTCTTTCCTGAACCGGTGGGGGCACAGACAAGCACGTTGCCATCGTCGTGAAAAGCGGTCGGGAAACACTTGGATTGGATCCGGTTGAGTTCCTTCGAACTCCCAAAGCCAACGCGAGCCCACTCGGGCAGCTCGGTCGTAGGAAGATTCTTCTCGCCAGGCTCTCTCTTAGCTTGAGGAGGAGGCACGTGAATTTCTTCATATCCCTTGAATGTTCGCTTCGTCGAGCCCTGGGGCAGCTTGACGCTAGGGTTGGTCATCAAGTGATTACCTTGATGGAACACAAGGTTCTCCAGGTTGATCAATCTCTTCGGCTGCAGGCCTCGAACCAATCCTCCCTCCTCCTCCTTCTCTTCCGGCTGCTGAGGAGCGTTTGGAACATCCACATCCATCAAGTCTAGCTTGATCTTTTTAGAGGGACGACCGGCGCCTTCGTTGCGGCTGGTCTTGCCCCGGATCTCGTCCAAAATAGCGCGGTGTCCAGCTTCAACCATTTCACTCTCGACCAGATGGCGGGCATCCGCATCTTCAGCGACTCGGCGCCAACGGGTGACCCATACAATCTTATCACGGTTGGTGACCAAAGTGGCGACAAGCTCGGGCTGCTCATAATCGAATAGATCCATCAAGTCATTTTCCACGTCGCGAAGAGGTCGCGCCTCGCCATCCTCTCCTTGACCTCCGAGAATCTCGAGCGCTTGGGTCGCCTTCTCATGTTGTACGTGAGCATCCGGATATGCGTTACCGATTTGGCGTTGAAGCCAGTAAGCATCGATTTCTCGTGCAAGAACTGTGGTTTTCTTGTTGCCGCGTTCGTCCCCACGGTCTAACCCGCCGTCGATGACCATCTCTTCAGCGCCCTCTAATCCTTCAAGGTCTGCCTTTTCGGTCGTGGCGTCATCAATACCAGGAACATCCTGTTGGTCGGCTTCGTCTTCGGAAAGTTCGTCGTCGTCGCGCACTTCGTCCAGGGTGCCCATGCGCTCGTCGTCCTCATCCTCCTCGTCGAAAACGACAGCAACACCCTGACGCTCATCCAATTCCGCCTCTCCTTCGCCAGCCAGACCGTCGCCCATCTCTTCGTCATCATCCTGGGCATCGTAATCCGTGATCTTCTTGCCCAGGTTGACAAGCTCATTAAATTCCTTGGGGTTCATCGAACTGCCCAGCAAATCATCAATCTCCTTCTTCTTGTCAAAATCCTTCATATCCTCGTCCTTCAGCAACTCCAGTACGGCATCAGCCGCACTGCGGACCACTTCATGTGGTACATCGCCCAGATGGCTGGCGGTCATTGTGAGGATGAGGTCATAGGTGGCTCGAGTGGCTGGGGTGCGAGGGCGGTACTTCAGGCCCTCGACGAGGGCATCGGCGGCGGACAGAATACCGTGGCCGCGTACTTGCGCCGGTTGACCCCGCTGGGTCTTTCTCTGTTCGCGGGCGAGGACATCCTCGCCTTCGCGGATGGACCCTCGCTCGATGTCCGTCAAACCAGCCTTCTTCTTTGTCTTCGGCGCATCGTCCCGCGCCATCCTCGATCCCATTTCCCGGATGCTGATGCGGCCGGCGAGAGACTCCGGGTCACCGGTGGGTTCATCGTTGACACGAGAGATGAAACGACGGTCCGCCTGGAGAACCAGGTTGGACATCGCCGAGTATTTGTACTGGGAGATATTTTGGTCGGCCATTTTGACGGTCTCTGATGGAAAATGCAAGATACAGATAAGAAGGGAGGACTAAAAACGATCGTGAGGCGAGTGCAGGTGAGTCGTCGTCTAAGGCTCGGTGGAGCTCAGATTCAGCCGGCGGCGCGTCGTGGCACCGGCGACAAGCACTTCGTGATGAGGGTGGCTCTGTATAATAGTGTAAAGTCGTTCAATTAGGTTTCACAAACCCGGACCATCCTCCGACAAGAAAAAGCACACTCGTCGGCGGCAAGGTTGCGAGCTGCTGAGGAGGAGGGATTTCTTGCGGAGTTGAAGGAGTTGGCGTTGCGAGGTTCGGTAAGGTCTCGTTCCCAGCAGAAGCAGAATTGAGTGGCAAAGCGGGAAGGTTTGACGAACGAACAGCTACATCTTGTCACAGCCTGAGGCATCAACATCCCGCCCTGGTTTCTGCCGCCGCTTTCTTATCCGATTCGGTCAAGCTTCACGCGTATACAATTGATTCTTCTCGGCACGCGAAGACAGACCAGAAGTCGGCGCAAACGGGGTCGAGACGATGCGCTTTCATGGAGTATCGATTCCCCAACTGATTAATACACAGCTCCATTCCAGTGTTGGTCGGGCTGGCTGTCCTCCTTACCGCTGTCATGTCCACCGCACCATCTGTCATCATGCCCGGAGGCCGAATCTATGCATTCCCAGGGTGACCCCAACCCCATCAGTCCCGCATAGAACTGCCAAATCCAAATCTGTTGTGAAACTGAAAGACTTGCCTCAAGGGACATTGAAAATGGAACCTTACGATGATGGCGCCAATGATGGTCCTCAGTACCCTGTCGTTTTGCAGGGGCATCGGAACAACATGCAACGGTTTAGGAACTGTGTGGTGCTGACCCGTGTTGGCGGATTCTACGAGGTATGAAAGCATCTGACTCATGATTTCATACTCCAAGCTGTTCCTTTGTCCGTATATCTGCTGACTCGAGTGTAGCTGTATTTCGAACAAGCCGAAGAGCTGGCTCCCTTGCTGAACCTTAAATTGGCTATAAGAAGGACAAGCGCTGGGCCTGTTTACATGGCCGGCTTCCCTTTCTTCCAACTGGACCGGTTCCTCAAGATCCTTGTCCAGGACTTGAGCAAGTATGTGGCCATTAGTGAAGAGTTCGCCAACGACGCCGAGGGCAAGCTTCGCACTGGGGGTCTCCAATTCGATCGCAAGGTCGCCAGGATCATCACACCTGGTACTTTGATTGATGAGAAGTTCATGGATCCATCCGAGAATAACTTCCTGCTAGCAATCTATATAGATGGCAGCTCTGTGGAACAGCAGGGAGAACAGGACGACGGGGCTACGAAGCAGCACGTTCTGCCATCTACGTCTCAGAATGTAGGCTTGTCCTGGCTGGATCTCTCCACCGGCGACTTTTTCACCCAAGTTACCACGGCGCAAATGCTGCCGTCGGCTATTGCGCGGATCGGCGCTCGTGAGATCCTGGTGGACCAAGCCCTTGGAGACGGGGTCAGACAAGAGCTGCAGCTGCTGACCGGACACGACCACCGGTTGATGACATTTTTCCCATTCCCATCGAAGATCGAGCCCATGACGAAGTGGGGGCCTGTGCTTGAAGCACCCATATCTGCCAAAGCCGCGGCGTCCTTTACTTCTGAGGAAGTGGCTGCTGGCTTCAGCCTTCTCGAATACATCCGGGTGCAGCTACAAGGGCTGAATATGAAGCTTCAGCCTCCGCGCCGTCGAGATCTGGACGAATCCATGAGCATTGACCGGAACAGTCTGAGAGGCCTGGAAATCCTAGAGACGGCCCGGGATGGCTTTGGGAAAGGGAGTCTGCTTCATGCGGTGAGCAGGACTTCGACCAAAAGCGGTGCCCGGTTGCTACGTGATCGCCTAAGTATGCCCATAGTCACTTATATCCAATCATCATTCTTGTGCTAACTCACATCGCAGCATCACCTTCGACGTCCATGACTGTGATTAACGAACGATTGGACCTTGTGTGTACCTTCATCGACGACGCCGAATTGCACCGCAATGTCATCGATTACCTGAAGCGGAGCTATGACGCGCAGCGGCTGGTCCAGAAATTCACTCTAGGGCGGGGAGATGCAGATGACCTGATATGTCTATCTCGAGCCATTGAAGCTTCGAAGGAGATCAGGCGGGTGTTGATGAGCAAAAAGCGCAAATGCAAGGATACGCCAGCAGCTCAGAGCCTCAAATCCATGACGGATCGCCTGTATATGAATGGGCCCATCATCCTGGCCGAGAAGATCTTGGCAGCGATTGATGAAGAGGGGCTGCTACAGAAACAACGCATCGAGGACGACACGGCTGCTGAGGCGGCAATGCTCGCACAGGAGGTAGCCTTGAGTGAAGCCCTCCCGGGCGAAATAGAGACGTTGCCGAAGAAGGTCAGGACGAGGAGCGGCGAACGAGGTGGCAGCGGGGCAACCGATGAAGCGTCGGCCGTCGAAACCTGGATCATGCGGCGCGATGCCAGCCCGGCTCTCCAGGATCTCCACCAGGAACTGGACCGTCTGCATAACGAGAAAGCGGAACTCACCCAGCGCCTTCGCGACGCTGTCGGGTCGACGGCTCTCACCCTCAAATGGACTCCGGGTCTAGGCCACATCTGTCACGTCAAAGCTGCTAAGATCTCCCAAGAGTCCTTAGAAGATCTGGGGGTGACACGGAATGTCTCAATGACCAAGTCTACCCGGTCATTCTATCTGCCGGCGTGGACCGAGCTGGGCGGCCAGATGGACCAAGTCAAGCTCCAGATCCGGCAGGAAGAACAGGCGATCTTCGAGGCCCTGCGCCGCGAGGTTATTCTCAATCTTGTCAAGATCCGCCGCAACGCAGCCGTGATGGACGAGCTGGACGTCGCATGCTCCTTTGCCACCCTGGCCCACGAACAGCGGCTGGTCCGTCCGATCTTCGCCGAGGGCACATGCCACAAGATCATCGGTGGTCGACATCCCACGGTCAAGCTGGGCCTGGAGGAGCAGGGCCGGCGGTTCGTCAGCAACGATTGCTTCCTGGGCGACCCGGACCGCATCTGGCTGGTCACCGGGCCCAACATGGCCGGCAAGAGCACCTTTCTCCGACAGAACGCCCTGATCACGATCCTGGCGCAAGTGGGGTCCCTGGTTCCGGCCGACTACGCGGAGATGGGCATTGTCGACAAGATCTTCAGTCGCATTGGCGCGGCCGACGACTTGTTCCGCGACCAGTCCACATTCATGGTGGAGATGCTGGAGACGGCGGCCATCTTGAAGCAGGCGACTCCACGCTCCTTCGTCATCATGGACGAGGTGGGTCGGGGCACGACCCCGGAGGACGGGACGGCGGTGAGCTTTGCGTGTCTGCACCACCTGCACTATCACAACCGCTGCCGAACGCTCTTTGCGACCCACTTCCACGCGCTGGCAGACATGACGCAGGACTTCGAGTCGCTCGGCCGGTATTGCACCGATGTCAAGGAGACGGCAAACGGGGGGTTCTCGTTTGTGCACCGGTTGCGCAAGGGCGTGAACCGTGAATCGCACGCACTGAAAGTCGCCCAGCTAGCTGGACTGCCCTCGGAGACCATTGAACTGGCGCGACAAGTGCGTCAAGGACTGCCCACTAACTCGGACGGGAATAGCCAGACAACAGCCCCTGCATGAAGCACACCATTGCAGCAATCACTCAAATCTCTCCCCATTCAGCGCAGCGCACTTAGCAATATGTACAGTACATTTCCCCCACCGACCCACAACCTTTTCACTGTCCTACCACCCTATTTCGGTTTCCCCACATTATGTACACTACTTTTCCCTCCATGCTCCAATCTATACCCCCCATTCCAAAGAAACCATAGCTTTCCCACCACCAACATAAACCCCTCTCCCGAACTCAAAGCTTAGCCTTCACTCCCTCTCTTTCACCCTGCTCCACCTCAACCACCACCCCCTCCCCAAACACCACCTCCTGCACATCCTCCTCCGCCACGCCATTCATAAACTGCACGACCAAAAAGTCCACGCGCCGGGACCCAATCACCGCCATAGGCGCATGCCACGTGCCCGCCCCGTAGGTCACCGCCTGGCCACCCCGGGCCACGAACGCCCTCACGCGGCGCAAATCCGGCGGATCCACCACCGTCACCACCTCCCCTGCGCTGGTCGTCGCCTGGGCGGTGGTGCCCTTGAGCGACGGCGCCACGACGACGAGATAGTACGGCTCCGGCTCGATTTCGCTGTGGGTACCGGTCCCGGTGGCTGTGGCCGTGGCGGGCTGGCTGGAGAGGTCGAGCGGGGCGAAGGTCTGGGTGGTGAAGGGGTGGCGTTCGAGGATGCGGATGTCGAAGACCGCAGAGGAGGAGGAGGGGGGGGAGGTCTGCTTTCTGCTGGTTGAGGGAGGCGGGGCGGGGCGCAGGGTCCGCGGGAAGCATGAGAACATGGTCATGCGCGCGGCCGAGGCGCGCCCGCTGGGACAGTTGCCGGCGTAGTGGTCGTCGAGCGGGGAGATGGGACTGTATTTCAATGCGGTGTTTTGGTTCGCGAGGACGGGTGTTGGGTGCAGTGCGGCCAGGGCGGAGGGTGGTGGCGGGGTGGTCGTGGTTGCGGTGCGGGGGAGGGGGGAGGTGATGGCGGTGCCGTAGGGGAGGAAGGCGGATGGGGTGAGGGGGGAGGGCGTTAGGGTCAGGGTTGGGGTTGGTGAGGTCAGGGTTGGTGGGGACATGATGGTGGTGGTCAATGGTGGTCAAATGGCGATGGCGATGGCGATTGGGGGTTTTTTGGTGGAATGGATGGATTGGGTTTGAGTTGAGGAGGTGAGAAGAGAAGAGAAGTGAAGGGTCTGGAGGTGGTTTTATACTCAAGTCAAGTCTGGGGGAATGGGGTTCTCGGTCGAGAGGGAGAAGTCAGTCACTATATCCAGTCCAGACTAGCTGATAAGTTGAGTTATCGGCAGTCGCCGTTATCTGCACCCGGCGGAAGAGGCCGGTTCTGTAGCGTCGATTCAGTAATGGACCAGCTTCCACAGTTCCTCGGTGGTTACAGTGAAACTAGTCTACATTGTGTTGCTTGTTGCTTGTTGCTTGGGGATGTCGCTTGTGCTTCTCTACTCCGTACCATGGTGGTACATGTATATCGCTATGGGGACACAACTCAGTCATGCATGACCTAATATCGCCAGCATTAAGTTTACGTCTGTCATCCGAGACTATCCGCTTGTGCATGTGCATGAGCATGACTGACTCATGATTATGTCCGACCTGACCTGATCCAGGGGATGCAAACAATAATCCCCACTTGAGTGTCTCAGGCTCTCAGCCACCAAACTTCCCCCGCCAGGATGTGGCAGTGTCAGTTTCGCGTCAGCCTTATGCTTGCCTGGAACAGGCAGGATCCAAACAAATTAGCTGAAAGTTCAACCAGTCAACCAGTTCCATCACTGCAGTGGGGCACTTGGCAGTTTAGGTACCAAAACTAATGTAGCGATTATTGCCCAGCACAGCCACGGCTGGTGGGCAGGCACCGGGCAGTGAATCCACGCTGCTCCTCTTACTTACAAGCAAGCGCTTATATAGCCCAGCCCAACTCTTCTCTCGCTCTTTCTTTTCTCTTCCCCACTCCTCTCCTCTTCCATTTTTCTCTGGTCTTCAGTTCCAGAAACCAAAACTTCAACAAAAACATCCAACTTCACAAAGTCACCAGCCAACCCCGATGTCAGCACAAGAATACTTCGGCGGGTCTTCTCAGAACCCTCCTCGTCGGGAGGAATCCCACACTCCTGGACCCTGGAACTCATCGACGCCGGGACCAGACACGCCTCGCACCGGCGCCTACAGTCCCTACCCTCCCTCCGAGAACTACTACCGTCCAAACTCCAACCCCAGCCCCAACCCTAATCAAAACTACTATGCGTCCCCACCAGACCCCCGGATGGCGCAGGGGTCATGGAGCGGCCCTTCTCCGTCCCCCTCCCTAGGCGGCGAAGGCTACCCCCACCAGCCGTACAACCAGCAACCGCAGCCCCCGTACCCTCAGCACGGAGGACCATCCCCCAACCCCTCCGGCTACCCGCCATACCCCCCACAAGAGGGAAGCGGAGCACCCTACAACGACCGCCCATATTCCCCCTACCACCAACAACAACAACAGCAGCAGCAGCAGCAGCAACAGCAACCAGGCCACCAACAACCCCCACCCTACAGCACGAACCCCAACCTACCGCCCGGGGCCACCGACGACCAAGACCGCGGCTTCCTGGGCGCCGTCACCGGCGGCGCGGCCGGCGCCTTCGCCGGCCACAAGGTGAACCACGGGTTCCTAGGCGCGATCGGCGGCGCGCTGACGGGCTCCGTGGCCGAAGACGCGATCAAGAACCACCGCAAGAAGAAAGAGGAGGAGGAAAAAGAAGCCCAGCGCCGGCAGAAGGAGGCCGAGAAGGAGCAGAAGCGCCGCGAGAAGGAGGAGCGCAAGATGCAGCGCCGCGCCGACCGCCACCACCGTCGTCACTCCTCCTCGTCTTCCTCCTCATCCTCGTCCGACGACGAGCGCAAGCACCACCACGGCCGTCCCCCCACCTTCCGCGGGAACTTCTCCGGCTCCTCCCGCGAGATCCGCCTCGAAGGCTACCACGAGCTCGTCGCGTACTGCGGCGACGTCGACGGCCGCCAGCACCGCTCGGTCATCCCCCTGAATGACTGCCTCTCCAACTCCTGGGGCCAGTTCCAGTGGGCCCGCCACGGCAATTTCGCCGCCTCGGCCAGTAATGTCCACCTGGAGGATGGGGGCCGCGTCCTGGTGGCGGATCTGGGCGATGGGAACGGCGGGTGGAAGCGGAGCTGGGTCCGTTTGGATGAGCGGATCTCGAATCAGAATGGGCGGTTGGTGTTCTTGGATTAGATGGGTTTGGTGGGGTGATGATGAGATAGTATTTCGCTGGAGGATGACCTGCAATAGGCGCGGTTTTCTATGGATAATGGGTTCTAATATTAGCTTCCTGAGACTGAGCTTGTGGCTATTAAGTATCTAGTTCTACCGGAAAAACGTAGTTGTCTTCCATCCTACAATTCCAAACGCTGCGGCAGGGTCTACTTAATGAACAGTCCTCTGAGCGAAGCATTACAACTTATCAGACCCTGAGGGTAAGAACACCGCTCTATAAACTAAAATACACGCCGAATCTCATTCTCAATCCAGCTCAGCTACCCAATCCCTTCATCTGACCAACTTAAATAAATAGATTCAAAGTAGAATAAACGAGGGAAAGAAGCGAAAGATATATGACACAGAAAAGAGATGTAAGCGGGCCAAGGACAGTATCGAGACACACCAGTCTGTCTCAGAGATTGTGGGATGTTCATACAAGTGCAGAATAAAAAAATTCCAAATGAGTGATACCCCAGTCTTGGGATCTGAGTGTGGTATGTGATCAGGCTTTAGGCAACCGGTGTCACGGCCGGCGTGATCTGTGGTGTTGATGTTGGTGAGGCCATGATGCTGAAGGTTGAGGATTGGTAGCCCCAGGCCCAGGCGGGGCGGGAGCTGGAGGCTGCGGGCATGGAGGAGGGGATTGCGGCGGAGGTGGAGCTGCCGTTTGTTAGGGGGGTCGATGAGGAGGGGGTGGTGGATTGGGTGGTGTTGGGGTCTGAGGTGTCAGGGGAGGTGTCAGAGGAGGAGCCGTCGTCTGAAGAGCCGTCGTCGTCTGAGGATCCGTCATCTGAGGACCCGTCTTCTGAGGACCCGTCATCAGAGCCGTCGTCGGAGCCGTCGTCGGAGCCGTTGTCAGAGCCATCGTCAGAGCCATCGTCAGATCCGTCGTCGGAGCCATCGTCAGATCCATCGTCAGAGCCATCGTCAGAGCCGTCATCAGATCCGTCGTCAGATCCGTCGTCAGAGCCATCGTCGGAGCCATCATCACCATCACCATCTTCAGAATCAGGCACGGTTGACGGCGCAGCGCTGGGCTCTACAATAGTGCTGCTACCAACATGAACACTTGCACTAGCCGAGTGATCTGCGCCGGGTGTATGAATAGCATGTGTACTGGTTGTCGTGACCGAGTGGTCAGCATGATGCGAGGTATGAATAAGCTTAGTAGCAGACGTGTGCACTGCCGCAGTGGAAGATGCATGGCCAGCCTCGACAGAGCGTGTCACGGATCTAGACGCGGTCTCTTTACCGGTTGTAGGAGTGTGCCCCGCCTCCACCGGTGTTGTGATAGACTTGGAGGTTGTCTCGACTCTAGTCGAAGAAGCATGGTTCAGCTCCGCAGTGCTTGTGACAGACTTGGTGGCCGTCTCAGGCTTGCTCGTAGACCCGTGCTCTGCCTCAGTAGATCTAGTGATTGACTTGGAAGCTGTTTCTTTTGTAGTAGAAGAGTGCTGGACTGCAAGACTGGACGTTCTAGAGGTCGTAGTGGATGACGATGTTGACTTTGAACTGATTGCGGTGGCTGAGTGTTCGGCCTCGGGGGTTTTAGTGGATACAGAAGTTGTGGTCCTGCTAGTGGTGGAGGGACTGGTGGTAGTAGATGAAGTCGAGGTGATGGTAGAAGTATGTGAAGTTGTGGTGCTCGTAGTGGTGCTCGAGGTTGACGTCGTGGTGGATGTCGTGGTGGAAGAAGCAGTTGTCTGCGAGCTAGAGGTGGTGGTCGTATGCTTCTCCTCGGTCGTGGTCGTAGTAGTGGTCGTATGGGTAGTCGTTGTCGATTTGGTGGTTGTCGACTCCTCTTTCTTGGTAGTCGTCGTCTTCTTCTGCTCTGCCTTTGTAGTGGTGTCTTTGCTGCCGCTGTGCCCCCATATAGTACTACCGCTGCTGCTGCTGCTGCTGGACTTGTGCTTCCTACGCTGCAGGACATAGGCCAAACCATGTCTGGCAACATTCTTGTGAGGATCAGGGTATTCCACAATATCTCCCACTGTCGAAATAGGCTCATAAGACTCGACTGAGTTGGCAATTGGATCGGCCGCCAGGGCTCCGGTAACGACACCACTGGCCCAGAGGGCCAGCAAGAAGGTTTTCCTGAGCATAATTCAGATCTTGCGTGTGCGATGAGGCTATCTGGAATTTTCCTGCTCTGGGTCTCCTGCGAGCCTTTTATCCCTCATCTTGATCGATGTATGCATTCGAAGGCCCTTCCTTGCCCACGATTTCAGACAACCCAACAACACAACGGACTATGAGATGCTGTAGAGACATCGTGGCCCCGCAACTAAGGCATCACCATCAGGTAGGTATGAAAATAGTGCAAGAAGTGATTGGGGGCTGAAGCTCGAAGAAAAAGCTCATTACCAGTAAAGGAAAGGTGAGATGGAGGAGAGATGAAGCTCTGCCCAGTGCCCACCGCCCCCACGACCGACGTTTGCTTACTTCCTGACTCGCAGCCAACATCGACTTCCCTCCTTCGCCCCCAACTTGACCCACCAATTCATTTGCTGCAGGACCATTGCACTGCCGCCATCGTGCTCACAGTATTCTCGCCGGGGATTCCGGTTCGTCCGCTCATTGTTCCTGCCGCAAAGCTAAGATCTGATCAATGAACTGACATGAGTAAGCTAATAGGTTTCAACTTGAGTCTTTGCTGTCCACTGTGAGCCGTACTATCGACTGACTGTGGCCCAATGGCAGTAGAAGTCATGGGCCCTTGATCTCCATGACCCAGCAGCGCCTACCATGTTTGAGGAATACCTTCATCGGCACGGACAACGAAATAGCCCATCCCTAGCAACGTCTCGAAAACATAACACAAGTGGCACGATGATAACACCATTGAGAGAAGCAACAGTCTAATCCTTGTGATCACTTTTAAACCAGCAATTGACCAACATGCTTGGCAATATAATGGTTCTCAACAGTTGAGTAATCATGATTAGTTGTATTCTTAGTTGGGGAGTGACGCGCGCTGACCATGGTTTCATATTCCACCTCACAGTTAGCATCTGAGATGAAACCTATTTGTCTCTTCTATTCGCCCATCCTGGAACCAGAGACCCTGGAGTCTTTAGTCCTACCGAGTCATACGAAGTGACCATTAGGAATGCGACTTGGATAGCGAACTGCCATCATCGGATGTTCTCCAGGCATATCAGCCCCCAAATGTCAGGAGTGCCCTGCCTGCTCAAGAGTTAGCCCATCTCTGCGACCCCTGGATGATCGGTCCAGAGATTGTCTCTGCGGTCCCAACAGATGCGACATTGTCAGGCAACCAACCCCAATGAGCAGCAAACGTTCCACGAGGGCGTTTCAGTTCTGGGCTGTCATGTCATGCCGGCTTCCGTGAGTTGCGTTTCTGTGGCTGAGTAGCGTTGCGGGAGTGTCTTAAGAAGTGACCGGCGCTAAGCCTTGAACACATTTCACAACTATGTTGCCAATTCGCTCCTGTCATCGGCTCTCTGGGGTTGCGTTGGCACCCAAACGCATTTCCTGTCTACCAGTATGAGAGGCTCCACCATCATTTTCAGACCTCTGATGTCCCTTTCCCTTTCAGACCTTGGGGTCTGGGATTTTGTATGAAAACGGCACCGTCAATTGGGTTTCATTTATTTTTATGACAGCTTGAATCTGAAAAGGCCGTTGGACTGATGCCCAATGACGACACCCATATACAAATGCAACAATACAAGCTATGTACTGAATCAACGGCGAAGGCAACCCTTTTTGCACAGGCATCTTCGGCGACATTCACGACGCCCACTATGAGCTGGTCGACTCCTTCTCCTTCAGTCCAGTCTTGGTCTCCACATGCTCCTTACTGAGATGCTGCCGGGTGATGAACATGCTGGCAATAAAACCAACAGCCGCCACACACGCATACAGGATCCAAATATTACGAAGGCTCCAGGCATAGGCGGTTTTTACCGCCTGGCGTTGACCTGCATCCTGAACAGCAGAGATGATCACCACATTGGACGCAGCTTCCGACCCCGAAAACTCATCCAGATATGACGACGACAAGCCTGCGGCGCGGAGATCTCCCTGTCGCATTTCCATACTGTTCTGGAACACGACACCACCCAGCACCACCGACATGGCCATCGCCACGTTGCGAATGAATCCAAATGTTGCGGTCGCACTTGCAGTGTCCCGCTGCGAGACGTTGCTCTGTAGAGCAAGGAGGGGCGGGAAGAAGAGCAGGCCGCATCCCATGCCGGTTACAATCTGGTATCCAATAATCTTACCCAGCGATGAAGTGGTGTCCAGATTGATGAATAGCCCGACACCGAGAACAACGAGGGTAGTTCCCGCCCAGACGATCTCTAGGTATCGGCCAGTGCCATGGATGAACAAACCAGCAAACAGACTGAGGGCGGCTTCGGTGAGCACGAATGGGAGAATCATAAGTCCAGAGTGTAAGGGAGTCGCTTCTTTCGCTGACTGGAAATAGGTCGGGAGATAGTACTCCGATCCGAGGAAAGCCTGATCACCTGGGTGTTAGTAAGTGGCCTACAAGGTGAGAGGATACAGGTCAGACTCACAAAGCCGTGGGTGAACGCGACCAGAAAGCAGGCAACATTGGATCTGTTGTGAAAGACACCCAGTGGCATGAGCGGATACTTGGCCAAGCGCTTCTCACTATAAATAAAGGCGACCGACATCAAGGCGCCAAATACGATAAGACAAATCACCTTCGGCGAGCCCCAGGGGAAGGTGGCTCCTCCGAAATCTAGCCCCAAGAGAAGCAAGATGATGAGGGCAAGCATGGAGAAGCTACCCCACCAATCGACTGCCTTGATGCCGGCCAGCACTGGCGTCCTAGGGTTGTGAATGTCCAAGAAGAAGAAAAGCAGCACAAATGCAGTTCCACAGACTGGGAGGTTGATCCAGAAAATCCATCGCCAGGAGACGGATTGAGTAAAAGCACCACCGACAAGAGGGCCCATGGCCCCCGCAATGGCCCAAATGAACTCAATGAGCCCCATGAAAAGGCTGCGAAGTCTGTTCGGAGGTTAGCATTCATCATTCTGGAGTGCGGGTGGGCACCGGTCTCATACCGAACACTAAACAAGTCAGATATAGTGATGGTGATCAACTGAATGAGTCCACCACCAGCTATACCTTGTAAGCCACGACCCGCGATCAACATGGGCATGTCAACCGCAGTAGCACAGATGATTGATGCGCCAAAGAACAGGGCAACGGCAGTGAGCAGAACGGGCTTTCGTCCCCAGATATCGGAGAGATTGGCCCAGATATTAGAACTAGCCGCATTGGCCAGGAGATATGCACCGCCGATCCAGACATAGCCCGACGCGGAGTGCAGTTCTGACGAGATGGTGGGGGTTGCCGTAGCCACGATGGTCTGGTCTAGGGCTGAGATGAAAAGAGCAAGCTTGATTATGCGCGTATCAGTAAGGGCTTATCAGTCGGGCTCTCTAACAAGAACTTTGGCTGGAACGTGCATGCTTTGGCTGCGGAGACATACCGAAAGAGCAATCATGGTCGCAAAGATCTTCCAGTTGCTGCGAGTCGCCGGGGCATCCTGACCCGATTCGAGTCTCTGGATCTCCGACTGCGAAGTGCCTGGTTCTGGACTATGGCTCGATAATTGTTCGTTATTGTCCGAAACGCCCGAGCCATGCGTCTTTGCAGTCGCAGGTTGAGACGGAGACGAGGACGCTTCCATCTCGACCGGGACGGAACTCTGCTGAGCAACGGCGCCCATAATGAAGGACTATGAATCAGTATTGAACACGGGCCTCTATCCTGATGCTAGAGGAGAAACAGTACAAACGACAGGAAGGGATTGGAGAGAAATCTGGGTTGAGTCAAAGCGGTTTGTTCTGTTTGTCTTTCTTCCCATTCTTGGCTCGGAAGACATCCCGAGGTCCTTACAGAGTAATTACCATTGATATCGCATCAGATTTGACTAATGATGCATCAGAAAATGATCATTCGAGAAGAAGGGTCATCCACTTTTGGATAAAAGTAAGTCATCGTATCACTAACACTTGAACGCATTGATCCGGCTATTCTGGCCTAAATCTTGGCATGAGGATTACCGTCTCGGAACCAGACCAGTTCACCAAGTATATATTCGGCAGCAAACTTGACATTGGCTTTTGCTGTTGTTTAGTGATATGTGTGCAACATCGTGTAGTTTGGATACTATCTCCTCTTATTTGTGGTATCAAACGCGAGCCATGACCTCTTGCTCGCCTTTTTTGTAGAAGAGCATTGGTCCACAGGGCGGTATGGTATGGCACGCAAACTACGTATAACCCTCAACCAAGTATCGCCCATCGGCACAAACGATTCGACTGACTGCAGGGAGTTGCCGCTTGCCACCACCAGTCGTGAATCAATATGGGGGCTGCGAAGGCTAGCTCATATGATCGAGCTATATGACCTGGCAGCTTCTGACATCATGCGTGATTTCCTCCCGGGGGCGCCGTGGAACCTGCTCCAAGGCCGCAGCTGGGAATATTCCTGGATACAATAGGTTGTTCGTGACATGTAATGCAGCTTCTCTCGAAGACAGCCTAACTATCCCGCTTCTGAAGCTGATCTTCAAAGGGTGATCTAGCCCAGTCTAGACCCCTCTTATAAGAATGAAAACCACTGGTAGATAGTTTAGTGAATCATATACCATTGAACATGTTTGCTTCCTACAAACCAGCATGCTTGTTATTACTCCAAGGAGTATCTGTGTAAGTGCATGCACGCGTGAGTTGCTGATTTGAAGACGGTTCAATGGTTCGCCAAGCAGTAAGCTACGAGTACCATAGTATGAGATCTTGATATGGGGTCGGTCGAGACAGCGTAAGTGGTGCACGAGGCGAGATAAATGTGCGCTTATAGTACTGTCGAGTATGCTGCTGCTCGAACATCAAAGAATAAAACTGAATTGAATACCAAAGGCTAGCATAGAACATTGGCAATTGTTATAGGCAAAGTGATGGGAGCAGCATGGACTACATTATCACATGCTTGATGGAACTGCCGACGGGCACGAATAATGCTAAGCCCGATATGGGAAGTAACCATGAAAATGGGGACCGAGCTAGACCCAATGTAGGAAGCTCTCACTTTTGCGCAAAGCAGTGGCCGATCGCCTCTCGCGGGCTCAGTCGTCCAACTCAGCAAATACAACTCAAGACTCACTCGCTTCGCCAACACAAGGGTTCTTGAGTCTTGCATTGAATGCTTGACATAACACTTCACAGGCATACATACACCAACGCGATTGTGAACGTGTGCAGTTATTATCTAATACCACATTGTCAAGACAAGAACGACTCTCAGGCTCAACGTCATAGCGGCTGACGAAGCGATTACCATCCGAGATCGAATCACTTTCTCTCTCCCTCCCTCTCCCATCCGTTTTCGGTCTTGCTGCTGCTTTTACCTTGCCCAACTTATCCTAGGCATCCCAAGCCTTTTCTGGTGTAGCTCCCTTCTCCGATTATTCAATCTCTTATTTTTCCTATGCTTTTGTCTGCATCTGATGCTGTTTGATCTACTCCATGAGCGGGCTCCTCTCCTCTTTGTTGATTGAACCCGTCGTTCGGCAGGCCCGTCGCCTCTCACAACAGACCACTCCACCACCGTCCTCCGACTCCCTCGCAGCTGAAAAAGATCGTGCCTCAATCGTGGCCAGTAATGGCACCGATCATTCTCACAGTACGGTCATGATCGATTCAGACAACCCAGTGGATCTGCCAAATGCCGGAGATGCGGGGTCTGAAGATAGCCGCCCTGTCCCATCCACTCCACCTTCGAACAGCTCGCTGAGTCGAGTTTCTCATGGACTAGAACACCGGTTCCCCGCTGGATGGACAATCAATGCAAGTCCTGCCGGCGTATCACGGAATCTCTCTCCCCAGATGACGCGCACAAACCCCTTGGCCAGCCCACAGCAGACCGTCTCAGCTCTAACTAGGCAAGATGCCTTCCAACCGTCAAATCCACACTCGCAGACCCCGGAGCAGGCATTGAGTAGCATTGTTGGGACGGACGAGTCCGGTCCTTCGGCGCTCCCAGAGGACGACGGAATGGGTGCTCTACGGAGCCGGATTCATGCGATTCGAGATTTGGGTTATAGCAACACAGACCAGGCACGCATGATTCACGCACTGATGACCGAGAAATACAACCTCCACCGGGTCGACTCTGCCGACCAAAGTACTCCCAGGAGTCCGACGCCTCTCACTCCGCAGAGCCCGAAGCAGGACGAATCTGCTCGCCGATGGAGCATCATATCCTTGGAGCGGTCGCTATTACCTTCGTCCTCCACTCCTGTTAAGAGTGAGATCTCCTATAACCTGACGCCGGAAGATCTGGTGCCGACATATGCACCAAAGCCAGAACTAGAATCCCCTGCCTGCGAGGTTGACGATCTGGACCTCGAAGAGGTGGAGGAAGTCTTTCTTGGCTGCCCACATTATAAGACAAACGTCAAGGCGCAGTGTTTTGACTGCAACAAATGGTACACATGCCGGTTCTGCCATGACGAGGTCGAGGAGCACCGTATGGACCGGCCGAAAACAGAGCACATGCTCTGCATGCTGTGTGGGGAAGCCCAGCCTGCAACACAATCCTGCAGGAAGTGCGGCGAACAAGGGGCGCAGTATCACTGTGATATCTGTAAGCTTTGGGACAACGACGCCAACAAGAGTATATATCACTGCGGTGATTGTGGCATCTGCCGCATCGGTAAAGGGTTGGGGAAAGACTTCTTCCATTGCAAGGTGAGCAGACCTATAAGCCCAGCTGAGCATTGTGGGAAGCTAACCAAAACCTAGACATGTAGTGTCTGCCTTCCTATATCTATCGAGAACACTCACCGATGCATTGAGCGATCCACGCAATGCGATTGCCCCATTTGCGGAGACTATATGTTTACTTCCCCGGAGACTGTAGTATTCATGCGTTGCGGCCACAGCATTCACCAACGGTGTCTTTCCGAATATTCCAAGACTTCGTACCGCTGCCCGATCTGCAGCAAAACCATCACCAACATGGAGTCTACATTCCGAAATCTGGATCGCACAATTGAAAGCCAACCTATGCCGGCCGAATTCAAGGACACCAAGGCTCTGGTCTATTGCAACGACTGCAGTGCGAAGTCTGTCGTGAGATATCATTGGCTGGGACTGAGATGTGATCTGTGAGTCTAGATGCTTCTCTATGCCTATCTAAACTCTAATGAGATACAGGTGTGAATCGTACAATACCGCACAGATTCGTCTGGTTCGAGGCAACGCTTCAGACCCTTCTGCCCTGGAGAGTGATAGCGAAGGAATTTCGACACCGCGGGCCAGGTCTTCCTCGCATGGCGCTGATGAGAGCGGTCTGCCTGCGTTCGAGTCGCTGCGCATCGACACTAGCTCAGTTCCCGGGCCCGACTCTCGGCTTTCTGTCCCCATGTCTGCCGATCCGAGTCGGCAATTCGCCTCCTACAGCTTGACTCGTGATCGTGCTGTGTCGCCCGTCATCAGAAACTACTTTGGCATTCCGCCTGACCGCGATTCGGAGCGGTCGCAGTCGACTTCCTTCTTCAGCGGCCTCACATTTGGTGGCGTCGGCGGTGGCGGAGGAGGAGGGAACGAAGATGGTGGTGAACTTCGATTGTGGGGCACCAAGTTCAAGTACAGCTATGGTTTCCTCGGGCAGGAAGCTGAGTCCGTCGACGGCGCGTCCGATGCCGATGCCGAAGAAGACGAGGGTGACGGTGCCTCAGGGAACAGCGGCTCTGAAGACGGCAGCGACGAGGAAGAGGATGATGACGAGGGTATTGACATCTTTGGCCACCGCTGAGCGTGCTACCCACAACTCCTGCAGCGGCATGAAATAGGCTTGCCTATTTCCCGATGCGGCTACTTTCTGACTTTGGCCACAAGCCGCTGACCTCGTTCGCATAATCGAAAAGTGACGACCGACAAACTACATTGGCGAAGACGAAAGTTGGCTGGACCAACTAAGTGACTTGTATGATATCGTGCTATGGATATGGTGGGCGTCTAGTGATGCATGACTCGGTCCGCAAACTCGCTTGTTTCTTACGGATGATACATTTTGCATTTATATTCGGCGTCTGAGTTGCAGGGACGATGATATGCTTAAAATGTTGGGACTCGCGATGCATTGAATGACACATCTCGCATGCATGAGGGAGAGAGGCATAGTCTAGATTTTTTATTGATTTTAACCATTCAACTACTACTAATTCTGCTACCTAACCCTCTCTGTCTCTTCTTTACACATACTTGTATAATCAGTTCTAGGCAGCTAGCTGCGTCCTGCTTCCTGCAGCTGCATTGTAAATCGGGATTAGTCAGCCGGGCTGGAAGCGGCGCCTTCGACGGGCTTCATTCTTCTTCCGGCCTGATGACGACGAAAGGTGAAATACACTCCCTCCCCTGGTCGATCCCATGATGGACGCCCTGGAAAGCCATGCTTTCTATCCCCCTGGCTTATCTTCTCTCGTATCATACTCCTTCCTACATACTTCCGGGCTGATTTCGTGACTGGTCGCCTTGCTTAGCTTCTGCCTGTGACCCTCTCCTCGACATTGTTGCCCTTTGTCCCAACTACCGTTCTCTCACTCTGACAAACACTTGGACTTACACCCACACTTTCACTTTCACTTTCACTTTCTACTAGTTTCAACACTCCAACCAAACTCTCCTCTGCTGAAACGGAGCACGGATCTCCTCCCAGGGATGCTCCGAACTGCAGCCTGATCCGTCCTGAACGAATTCCCAACTCTCCTTCTATCTACACTACAATACAGGGGTCATCCACGGAACCTGCGTATCTACCCGATCCCGTCTCGTCATCGCCCTCTCATATCTCGATATCTCGGTTAACCCCCCGCTTCCCGTGGAATCGTCCGCAGAATATGATCCGTCGCAACTCCGACATCGACGTCCAACTCTCCGATGCGGCCCCCCCTCCCTCCGTCGAATCCGAACCTCCGACAGAAGCAGATGTGGAGATGATGGCTGATGAGCCAACACTACCCTTGAACCTGCCCACCCACCTCGCCGCTCGCTTTGCTCGCAAGCCGAGTGTCGTTCGCCGCTCCTCCGCTGCCTCCTCCCGCCGCAGCTCGATCTCCTCCCTGAACGGGCCCGCCCATGGCGCGTCCTCGACCGAACACGTAGCGCATCACCTCCGACGGACCTCTATTCTCGAGAGTCGCAAGGCTCGACTCGCGGACCGCGCCTTGCACGCGGAGAAAGTCAGGCTCCGGGCTGCCTTGGCGAAAGCGGCGACCCGGAACCTGCAGCGGGAGGAGCGAGCCCTGGCTGCCCAGCAGGCCCGGGAGCGGCTCTTGGCGGAGATCACAGCCAAGTGCGAGGAGGAAGTCCGGCGGGCGAAGAAGAAGGCCGAAGACAACCGGGAGCGCAAGGCCGCCGAACACGCTCGACTCCGCTTGGAGATCGCGGAGAAGTTCGCCGAGGCGGAGAAGCGCCGGGCGCTCTACCAGCAGACCCAGCGGCGCCACCGCACGAGCAGTCTGCCCTCGACTGGCGACGAGAAGAAGATGCCCAAGCTCAACGCTCAGGCAGTCACGCGGGATGCCGCCGCTCGGATCATCCAGCGGGTCTGGAGGACCTATCACGCGAAGATGGTCATGCGTGGTTTCCTGGCTCTCGACCTGACTACCGATCGTATTCAAGAGAAGGATTTCGAGGAGGTCGGTGTCCTATTGTCGAGTGAGCGGGTGTTGGAGGCGACGGCCCGGGTCCTTCGGCTGTGTGGCCTGCAGGATATGGAAAGCGGCACAATGGGTGGACGGGGTGCGGTGCGCACGTTTCTCAGCAGTTACTTGATTGTTACCCATCCTACTGAGGTGTTGAGCAGCAACGGGGAGCAGGAGCAAGACCTTATGGCGAAAGCGCGGGAGCTCCTCGTTGCGTTCGAGCTGGTGACCCCTCTGCTCTCCTCGGGGTGCTGTTCTCCCGCGGCCATCTCCACCGAGCTGCAGGCTCTATGGGAGGCCTATAATGTCTTCTTCTCCGCGTTTCACGCATGGAAGTCTCACGATTCCAGTGTCCTCATTGAGATCATGTTGGCCCAGTTTATCGAACTGGAGTTGATCTGGCAGACAGTCAAGAATGATCGTGCCGGCGGCGTCGCAGAGGACTATCGCCAAGGAATTCGGCAGAACCAGATCTTGCTCCTTGCTAGACTGAAGCGATTGGCAGGCGCTGATAAGGCCATGGAAATGGTGCGGAATGCCCTGAAGAAGGCAAAGCGCGAGAAGAAGCGGACCGCGTCCAAGCAAGCCATCCCTCGGTCGGCGGAGGTCGCAACCTCTTCAACGGAAGCCCTCACAGAGAGCGTTGCTTCCCCTATCAGTGAGACTTTCAACACCGTGGACAGTGGGGTGCTGCATGAGCTAGACCGGCAGCGTGTTTCTCCCCACGAGCGATTCACTCGGATGCTGACGGCACTGCCGGAGAATCGAGCTCTCGTGCACGAGCTCTTGATCAACAAGGAGTTCCGGATTGACGAGAAACAATACACCGAGCCACGCAAGCGAATCATGAAACACATGTGTGACATGATGCGTAAAGACGTTGAAGCTGGCCTGGAGACAAACTGGACCGTGGCCATGGCTACGGTGATCCAAGACCGTTTGCTTCGCTCACTGCGGCCAGGGAATTCGCTGCATGTGCTGATCAGCGAGGTGCTTGACCCCAAATTGGTGGAGAACCAGTGCAGGGCCGGCGCCTTCTCCTACGACAGCTTCTTCAATTTCATGAATACCATTTTACCCAAGCTTTGCGCTCCGTACCGTGATCCGGTTGTCAAGGCATTTGCCGAGGACACGTCGGGAGACGCCATTGACCGACTTGCCCGACTAATGGGCATCATCGACCTCCTCTCCCTTGACCACACCAACTTCATGATCCAGGTTGCAGCGCCACAACTGATCCAGGAGGCTCCCGGGTATGAGCAGAGGACCTTCGAGAAGGGTCTTCAAGATGGCACTCAGAGCTTGGGTAAGACGCGGCGCTTTTGGCGAACGCACCGCAAGATCATTGCAGAAGAGATGCGCAAGCGTGACCCGGAGAACGTGCACGGGGAGCCACGACCGCCAAGCGCCAAGGTCTATGCGCAGGGGATTGTGGATCTGGTGATGAGCAACGCGCCTGTCTCCGAAGAGCTCATCCCGGAGACCCTGGAGCTGGATCGTCAGCGACTTGCGCGATTACATGCCCGGGCGTTCCGGATCGTTGCCACCGCTTCGATTCTCCTGACGGCCAAGAACCTGTTGAAGCGCGACGTGCGATCTCAATGGAAAGCGGAAGCGGACCGGATCTTGTCCTTGGACTTCAATGAGATCCAGCCGGACCGGGTTCAATCCATCCTGGAATCCACTCATCCGATGCCACCCAATGCCAGTGCGCAGCTGGCCGCAACCATCCGCCGCGTTCTGGTGCCCGTTGCTACCGCCTGCGCCGCCGCCCACACCGAGGGAGAAGGCACCCAACCAGCCGTGGAGATCCAGGTCGAATCGACCGTCTCGTCCGCGGCCTCGTACACGTCGGATGGCGCCAGCTCCGCGACGGCGGCGACGAGCGGCAGCGGCAACGGCACCTCCGGCTTCGCCGATCCGGTGGCCCGACTGATCCTCTCGCGCCTGCGCGCCCACATCCTGTCGCGGCTCAGCGCATCCAGCGCCAGCGAACGCGTGCGGGCCACGACGACGGCCAGCCAGAGTCTGGCCGGAGCGGGCATGCCCGAGTTCGTCACGGAGGTGGGGCAGCTGACGGACGAGATGGAGAAGATGCGCGAGGTGGATTGGCTGTGTCATGGGATGGTGTACGAGCGCATTCTGGGCGACGGCAACGCTTGAATCGTATAAGATTGTCATTGTCAGGGTCTAGGTTGGTGGGCTGGGCTGGGCTTGGCTTGGCTTTGGTGTATTAGGGATACGGGTACTACTTCTACTTGTCTAGCTAGGTACAGGACTTTGGAACAGACTGAGATTACTTACTTGATTCCTTCTGTGCGAAATTGCTTGATAGTCATGATTCCTGTGAACTTGATTCATTCTATATTTCGATCTCATGCGTATGGAGTGCTAGTCTGTTGTACTGTACTATCTCCAAGGTCGCGAATATTGTTTGTGGAAGGAGGAAGAAATTTTGATCGTCATAGAATCCTCTTTTACGATCTCCAATCAAGTAAGAATACTCAATCAGCATTTAGATATGAATTTAGAATCCAAGAGACTACTGGTTGGTCAACCACAACAACCAAAGAAGCGGGTTGCCGGCGTTAGTTGCAAGGGTGCGATAACCCGGAGTCGCCCCATGAGACAAACAGAAGATAGGTTACTGACCACTGCATGTTGTAAGTTATCGATAGAGGTTGGGACCGATGCAGGCATAAAGTTGCTGCTGTGTGCATTTCGCAAAGCAAAGATTGTGGAGGGCGTGCCCACTACTACGTTTGAGTAACTGTTTGTAACTGAACTGTAGGTATCTTCCTGCGGACAACAAACAAAGAACCTGATGGATTCTGGAATATGAGTGGTGTATGTGTACTACTGTATGTACACAGCAGAACCACCACCGCTTTTCTTTGTTACTTCCATGAAAGGTGCGTTTTCTCTCTCGCGCCGCTGTGAATTACCGGCAACGCGTGCGCGAGAGACTTTTCGGTGACTTGTTACTCACTACTCGCTACTCGCTACTCGCTACACGGAGTTGTCGTTTGCTTGCTCTGGGGACAGTACATACACCTCGGCTGTTTGCATACAAACCAGCGAACGGAACTAGACAAGACGCCCGAGATTTCGAGTCCATACACATCTTCCAAATGGCGAAGACACCACGGCGATCACCGAGGATTTCGCCTTGCTCCAATCCAGTGACTGCTGCCGCCGCCATGAAGACCCTACTTCTCACCATGGGGCCATGCGGTGGACGAGATTGCCACTGTGCCTCGGGCTCGAGCACCTCCCAGCTGGACGGGTTGTCGAGTGCCGTGGCGTGTGACAGATGTTCTCACCCTCTCAGCGAACATGATAGTTACTGTGAGCTCTCTTGGTGTTCTCTATGGGCGAGCCTTACTGGGTGGAATACTGACGCGAAGAAACACATACACACTCTCTAGATCCGCCCGGTTCTTCAGGCCCTGCGAGCCGACGACCTGCACTGGTGACTGAGCCGCTTGGTGAGTTTTTGGTTACTTCTCTGGATTGTGAGGTCGAGGTCGAAGGCGAGGAGGTCAGAGGAACATGGATAACCAAAGCTTTGCACAGGCATCGAGTCCCCATTATCATGCGACCCCAGTTCATCGACGAGCTGATCGCCCGGTTGAACCGCTACCATCTGATCCGCGTCAACGGGACGCCGGCGTCGGGCAAGACCTCGATGGCGCGGGTGCTGGCCAACGAGTTGCTCGCCCGCTTCCCGCAGACCCCCGTGTATCTGCTGTGCGACTGGGAGTGGGACGACGTGCGGATCGCGGGCGGCTGGGCGCGCTATCTGCAGCAACAGCTGGGGACGCATGGCCGTCGGCTCATCACGCATCCCGGCTTCTTGCTGTTGGATGAGGCGCAGCAGACCTACTGGGACCCGCAGCTCTGGACGGACCTGTTCAAGTCCATCACCGGCAGCAGTGCCATGAAGATCGTGGTGTTCACGTGCTATGGCTCGACCGGCTCCGAGCCCGGGCGTGCGACGACGATGCGAGAGCTCCCCGAGAAGACACCGATGGTCTTTCAACCGCATCAGCAGATCTCGCTTCGGCCGGAGGAGACCGAGGAGACATCCCCGCGCTGGAAGCCGGTGGGCTTGCTGCTCGACGAGACCGAGGCCCACGAGATCTTGGATCGATATGTGCCGAACACCGTGTCGAACGGGGCGAACATCTTGACCAAGGAGTTGAAGCATGGCTTGTTCCTGGTCAGTGGGGACACGCAGGCTTGCTGGTGTCCCTCGCCGACGCCCTGGAATTGATCCCGGTAAGTCTGGCCTTGCGTGACATGAGATTCTTGGTGGGGTGGGGGTAACCTTATTGTTTTGTCCGTGACAGGAGATTTATGCTCTGATCAGGAAACGCCAGCCACTCGACTGGACGACAGTCAGCCAGGGACTCTTTGGCGACTGCCGACGATTGTTCGGCATCATTCAGCACCTCCCATTTGCTCGGGGGTTGCCCAAACAACGAGTGGTGCAGCAATCCGCTTACGCGAGTGTCTTCAAGAACGCTATCGTGTACGATGGGACTCTGGAGTCGAGCTATGCTGACAGCCCGGATCAACAGCGGGCTCTGCAGGCGATCTGGAAGGAAGGACGGCTCCATGCGAAGCTTGTGCTGGGAGAGACACGCTATGTGTTTCCTACCCAGATCCATCGATGGTTCGAATCTCCTTGTCTATGATTACTTCGCCATAGGTTGGCTAAGAGTATTTGACTCCAGGTCTTGTCAGTGCCTTTTCTTCCGCGACGACGCACCGGCCAAAGAACTGGCCTATCGATCCCCACTGGAGATGGCTACCGAAGCCATTCGCCAGTTCGACCCGCACCAGCTGTCGAAAACTGCGAGCACGCTGGAAGATCAATACCAGAAGGAGTTCTACCGCTGTCTCTTCCCGCTCCTCCTCGAGTACCAGATCGCGATGTCGCTGGAGTATCTCATCAAGAAAACGGCGGGTCTTCGGAGCGGCAGGATCGACTTCCTGGTTGAGCAGAAGAAGTGGGGGTTGGAGCTGATGCGCGACGGCGACCGGATCACACAGCACATGCGACGCTTCGAGGAAGACGGCCCGTACTTTGCGATGATCAGGGACGAGCTGATGCGGGATTACATTGTGCTGAATTTCACCCAGACCCGACCACGCAGGAGGTATCCAGGTAATACTTGACCTTTTCTCATCATACCCGAAGACAAGAGATAGTTTTGAGTCTGACATAGCTTCGCTAGGATACCGCAGCCACCTGTATCATGTGGTCTTCTCCGAGGACTGCCGTAACGTCCAGGTCCTGGACGCGTCGGATCTGAGTGAAGTCGTTGCTTTTGTGCTGGGCGAGAACGCAAGTTTCTTCCCTTAGATAGCCTAGTACTTGGTTTTCGTCCTTGTGTCCGGGCCTACTTCGATAGCAAAATGCCCTTTGAGCAATGTCCCTTCGTTTGGCCATATATGATGCGCGTGTATTGGCGTCGTGTGAGTATCAAGTAGGGCAGGCAGTCTTGTGGCCTCCTCATCTTGGCTTCCGTGGGTGGTCGGCACAGATAGCAAGCATTGCTTCGTTTGTTCGAATGAGGACTGCACAGGTAGTCAGAGCCATGAGCATCATGACTAGCATTCCGACTGACCTGAAGTTCAGGTCTCCTAGAAGTTGGGTAGTTCGTTACTTTTCCATAATTCCATCAGTATGAGTATATGCAGCCAGTCGAAAGAGGCAGGCGGTAAGATAGCAGACTTACCGAGTATACGTAACTTACCGCCTCACCGCCGCCCGCCCGCCTCCCCCGCCGCCGCCGTAGCAATCGGCAGATTTCCAGCTCCGCTCCGCTCAGTTCTTCCGACAACCCCATTGCCATCAGAACAACCCCCAACCCCCACCCTCACCTACCTCCTCTTATACCGAAAAAAACAACCGAAAGCAACAGCGCAAGCAAAATGCCGAACCCCCCAACCCCGCCCCCCTACACGCTCACCCCGCTCGCGACCCTGGACCCCCCCTCGCAAGAGCGCACCTGGCAAACGGCCCCGCACCCGCGCCTCCCCATCGTCGCGACCTGCAGCGCCGACAAGACCATCCGGATCTACTCGCTCACCAACTTCCGGTTGCTGTCAACCATCACGGGCGGCCACAAGCGCAGCGTGCGCACCGCGGCGTGGAAGCCGCACGTCACGGGCGAGAGCGTGCTGGCAAGCGGGTCGTTCGATGCGACGGCGGGGATCTGGCGGCGGTGGGATAACTACACCTCCTCCCAGATTCAATCGCAATCACAGGGGAACGAGGACGGGGACGCAGCGTGGGGCACATCCACATCCACATCCACCCACCCCGCCCACCCCGACCCATCCGAAGAGATCCCCGAGGCGGAAGACGACGACGAGGAATGGCGCTTCGCCGTGCTCCTGGACGGGCACGACAGCGAGGTCAAATCCGTCGCGTGGTCCGCTTCCGGCCTGCTGCTGGCGACCTGCTCGCGCGACAAGTCCATCTGGATCTGGGAGGATCTGGACGACGGGGACAATAACTTTGAGACCGTCGCGGTCATGCAGGAGCACGAGGGCGACGTCAAGTGCGTCGCGTGGCACCCCGCCGAGGAGTGTCTGGTCAGTGGCAGCTACGATGATACGATCCGCGTGTGGCGCGAGGATCTGGATGATTGGGGCCAGGTGGCGTGTTTGCGGGGGCATGGGGGCACGGTGTGGGGGGTCGAGTTTGAGGGGCCCCGGGAAGGACGGGATGGGGAGGGCCAGGGGGAGGATGCCGTGGAGAAGTACCGGGCGTTGTCCGGGCCCAGGATTATCTCGTGCTCGGATGATCGCTCCGTCAGGGTGTGGCGGCGGCAGCCGAAGTTGGGCATGACGACGGAGTTGGGCCTGGGGAACATGCCGAGTATTATTCGGCCCACGGGGTTGGATGAAGTCTGGGAGCAGGAGGCGGTGTTGCCCGCGGTGCATGATTTGGCCGTCTATTCGGTGGCGTGGAGTCGGAGGACGGGCTTGGTGGCTTCGGTTGGCGCGGATGGGAGGGTCGTAGTTTATGAGGAGAGGCGGGTTGATGCACCGGTTCCAGAGGGAGGGGAGGGCGAGGAAGATTCGAAGCTGTCGCTGTCGCTGCTCCCTCCGACGGAGTGGGTGGTCGTTGCACTCCTTAATGGGGCGCATGGCATCTACGAGATCAATCATGTGGCGTGGGCGAAGCGCGCGGATCGGGGTCGCGACCCCTCCAAGGAGGAGGAGGTACTGATCACCACGGCTGATGATGGCAGTGTCAAGGTGTGGACGGTGCAGCAGTGATCGGTGCATGTGTCATAGGTCATAGGTATAGACTTCGGATATAGAGAAAAGTCTCTGCTGAGAGCATAGGTCCTCCCAGCTATACACCACCGTAAAAGCACGAAAGAACAATTCTAAGCTCCAATACATAAACTCCAGTATGTCCACAAAGATTCCATTTTCAGCCCCAAACAAACACCAAAAGGTACAATCAAGTGACTGGGAATCATAGATGATCACCCCCCCGCGCCGCCGAATGCTGGCCGTGTTCGCCCCGCTGCTCCTCCTCATCACTGTCCTCGCCCACCGAATAGTGCTCCCGATCCAGACCCGGCGAGTGCAGGTCATCCAACTCCGACTCATCAAAGTCGCCCGCCTCGACATCGCCGCCCGTGCGCTTGTTCTGGAACCGTTCCAGCACCGAGCTACTGCTGCTCATGTTCTTCTGCATCACGCCCCGGTAGCCGTGGTGCCGCTGGCGGCTGCGCCAGATGAAGAACCCCCACACGATCACCCCGATGATCACCACCACGAGGACGGCCTCGCCGGACTTAGCGTACGCCTTCCACTCCGTCTCCTTGAGGCGCTGCTTCTCCTGCTCCTCGGCCGCGGTGCTGTTGGGGTGGCCGCCCACCGAGGTCTGCGGCAGCTTCTCGCCGTCGATGCGCGAATCCGTCGGGTGGCCGCCGATGCTGGCGATGTCCACGTTCATGAACCGGTCCAGCATGTCCCGCGTCTGGCGGGGGAGGTCGTACGGCACCATGTGGCTGGAGTTGTAGATCAGCACGTAGGTCAGGTTGCGCGCGTATTGATAGATGCCCGTCGCCTCGCCCTCGAAGGTCCAGTCGTGTCGGGGCGCCCACACGCCCGGCGAGGTTTCGAACCCCGTACCGCCGCCCCATTTTAGGTTGTTGATCAGTTGCTCGGTGCCGACGTGGTTGCAGATCAGGTCCTTCTCGCCGCTGAACAGGAGGATCTCCACGCCGGATTCTAAAAGCTCGGGCAGGAGTCGGACGGATGGCACCGATCTCTGAGGGTTGAAGTTGCTGCTGACCGCGCCGGAACACTCGGTCCAGCCCGACTTCTTCGCCGGGTCGATGTGCAGAGCTGCCACCACGTCCTCTCGCTGTAGATAGGGCTTCACATCCACCAAGTCCGTCGGCCAATTCATTCCGCAGGCGTCCAAGCTGTCGCGCAAACGGATGTCATACATGTTGTAGCACTGGTTGTTGACAATCGTCTTATCCAAGATGCCATTTAGAATCTTCTCGCAGTCGTTGACGTGGATCCTGTTCTTGCCCGCTTCCAACCGTGACTGGCAGACGGACTGCAGCACTTCGAGTTCCTTGGCCGCCGAGCTGCCTTCCTCGATGAGCCCCTCTTCGTAGGCGAACGGCAGGTAGGACATGTACTGCTCCTCGGGGGCGATCCAACCGTTGCCGATAAGAAGACCTTTCAGCTGCCACTGCGCGGTGTTGGAGTTGGAGACGTTCTTGTTGCGTTCTTGCATGGCCTTCGCGATATAGGGAATATGTTGTCCAGCGTAGGACTCGCCCGCAAGGTAGATCTATCGACTGTCAGAAACACGACCCCTCACCAAGTTGACACCAGGGAACATACATCATCACTCTCGTACTCCGGAAACAGCTTGAACCACTCCTCCAAGAATACCACGAATTGCGCCGCCATCGTGTCGAGCTCGTGAATGTAGCTGTCAGTGTTGACGTAGCTGAAGCCCGTTCCAACCGGATTATCGACAAAAAGCAGGTTGGCAAACTCGTCCCAGGAGCCCTCATTGTATTCGAGGGTGTGATTGTCCTTCAGTCGATACGGTCCAATCTCCATCAGCGCTCCGTCCATCGAGGAGCACCCAGGCCCGCCATTCAACCACACCACGGTGCGTTGGCGGTTGGCGATGTGCCGGTTTTGATAGTGCCAGAAGAAGAGATGTCCATTGCTCTGGGCGTCGACCTCAACGTGCCTGAGCCGGAGGGAAAAAGGGGTTAGCTTTGGTTGATGGAATGCGACAAGCGTTGGAGCGGAAGAGCTCACCCAGCGTGCATTTTCAGCAGCGGACCGTCCGGTGCACCCGGCAGAGAATGGATATAATAGTCAGCCGCCGACTTGGCCGCGACAGCAGCGGGACTCAGTAGAAGGAGCGTCGACAGTGCCCATGTCGACATCTTGGTGATGGAGCTGCCCCCGCGGGACGATAAGGAGAGCATTTCGGGGATTGTGATAAGGTAAGGTGCGAGGTCGAAGGAGGAATTCGAACAAAGAAAGTGTTGACAGGTCGGCACAAAAATGGATCGGATAGGTCCCGAGTGGACTCGTGTCAGCGCTCAAGGACTCATCGATCAAAGTGTCCAGTTCCGGCGCGTGCTGACTGAGACCGAATCTCTCCCCGGTCGAGGCGGAGCTCCGGAGATAAAGGGAGGTGGTGGTGACTGACGGTGGTGATTGAGGTAATTACGCAGGGAAGGGATGTGGATGAGTGAACGGAGGAAGCTGTCGAGCGCCCTTCCCACAGTACTTGGAGGAGACAGGAGAGCCGGATAACACCAAGGGAAGAGGTGAAGGATAATAGACAAGACGAGGAGAAAGATGAAGGGGAGGTGGAGGAAGTCCAAGGCGGCTGAGACGGAGACGGAGACGAATGGATGGCGTGGCCCGAACGGGCGGGTATCGTCCGTATCGTTACCTACTGGACCTACTCTTACCCTTTTGGGGTCTCTATAGACCTGCTGCTGCCTTACACTCTTCCACTTAGCATAATCTTATGTGAGAAAATTCAGAGTAGTTGCTATCATTCGGGCCCTCAATAAAGAGTATTGTATTGTCCCTCGTGGATGCTGACTATCATTGACAATCTGAGTTGCATTCGCCCGATTCATCCATCTCGATGACACTTGGTACAGTCTACTCCAGGTCCCAATGCAGATCCATCCCAGCATCGCTCGATCGGTTTACTTCCAATTCCAAGCTGGGTGAATTTTTTTGTCCCTGTGCATTCATGGAGAGCTATAATCTTAGGCCGATCTTTCACTTAATTCAGATGAGATCATCAATACCCTGGTCGGCGTCTTTCTTGATCAAGTCCACCATGCCCTGAGAGATGTTAGCAGCGGCGCAGTCAAGACACGACGAGAAAAAGGCAAGCTTACCGGAGGCATGATGGGCTGACCATCCTTGTCCACAACATAGCGGAAGGGCATCTCAGTCCGTTCGTGCTCGTTGATCAGGATCTCGGGGTGGTCAACGTATTTGATGTCCTCCAACGGAACTGCGGAAATGTCAGTCTTCATCTGAAACATGCAAGATCGCAGTCGAGGACTAACTCTTATCGTGCACAACTAGGCGAGTGACGCGCACAGCTGTATCCGTGGTCATTTGCACAGGTCCCAGTCTACGGCCAGCATAGCCCTTCTTTCTCAACTCCGAGGTGCGGTCTGCTTCAGGTCAGTATCATGACGAATCTGTTCTTCATCGACTAGACATACCGCGAGGTGGGTCATCGCCTAGTGACCGAAGAAGAAAATCCTTTGAGTCAGCCAGCAGAACAACGAATTGAGCCGATCTCCGGAGGAGACCCGACAGACTGCAAAGAAGGCGCCTCACCCAGGATTCCACCGAAGAGAAAGACATCGAACGTCTCTGCATCAGCGGGGCTCAACTCAACCGTGGCGGAAGGGTCCAACAGGCAGACCCGAGACTTGCGGTCCGCAAAAATCTCCTCCACACTGCGGTGCTCGACGTTGAGGCCTGGGGTGGCCGCCAGATCCTCCGGCATCTGCAGGGAGGTGGGCACGGAGCTGAGCAGAAATCTACTCCCCGAGGCATGCGCTTCACGGGCAATGCAGCCATACTCCAGAGCGGACCAAGCGCCCAACTCGGGGTCCAGATGCTCGACCACGATGGTCACAGGACCCGAAGAGGAGGTTTGATCACTCATTTTGGTGCAATGGGAAACGTCCAAGTCGGTCTGGCCCGCGGACAATGAACGTGATGTCGGTTATAGTAAGTGTGGGGTTCAGGAACCTCTTGTGACACCGTGCAGGCTCGGATTCACCGGTTCTTAAAACCAAAAATTAGCCTAGAACTAAGGGATGGGAAGCTTGTAGCTATTGCCAATCGATCTAGAGGTGGTCAACGGTGCGAAAAGGCTGGATTGTGAGCAATATCAGATGGTGGAGGGGCAGGAGGAAAAAAAAAAGCAGAATTCATCATAGAGTTGGATACAGATTGATACGGCCGATTGCATACACTGCCTGCCTGCCTGACTGAGGTTTCCTCCCCCATTCAACCGTCGGTTGAAACTGAGCAACCCGGAGACACTGCAATAGATATGTCATCAAATGAACATTGGAGGACTATTCATTCTACCAGTTGGTTAGGTTCAAATTTACTATTCTCTTTTTGCGCCCTTTGTGCCTAACGGGGCAGCAAGATGAGTCGACTATACGGAGTACTGTCCCTGCCTTTGAAAGCACCATCTAAGCTATATCATTAGTACCTTTTGGATCATTGTCTGAGACACACTAGATCTTATTTCAAGCATCCTATTCCTATTCCACCCCCTGGTCCTCAGCATGCAGTAACTTATCGAACGACGACTGCCTGATCTTCCCCGATAATGAGGCGTTGGTCAGATCGAGTGAAACCGATACTGTATTGTTTGGTCACCGTTTGAAGTGGAGACAGTCTGCAGCTCCATGCCGCTAGGCTGAATGCAGACTCTTGCCTGCTCAGATAGGATTAGTGGGTAGGAAGTGGTGGAACACGGGGGTTGATTACAGGGCGGTCACCGCCCGATGTCGTACGCTCTCCGCCAACAGATGACCATACCATTACCCGTCCATACCGACTGGTACAGTACCAGGCGACTTATTAAGTTGTTCTACTGTATACATCGACAGTACTTCTTCCCCTCACCTGCAAACGCTTATCCTTCAAACAACTCTTCTGTTCCTATCCATGATTTCCTCTTATTTCTTTTGATTCCAGGCTCTCTTCATCCGTTGCCTTTTCCGGTCTAACTTTCTTACCTCTCATCTTCTGCAGCCTGTGCAGAGGAAGTTGTGATCTATACCTTATTCCCTACGTACTGCATACTACTTACAGTTTGCTCCCCGCTGGAGGTGGTGGGGTTTCCTGACGACACTCCCAATAACTACTAAATACCCGCACCACTCAATCACTCACTCACTCACTCACTCCTCCATCTCCGTTGTCCGCCTCAACTCACCTCAAATCAATCCAACTTAATCCCCCCCACCCCCACCCTCGCCTGCTCCTTCTTCTTCTTTTCCTTTTCTCCCTCTCAACTTACCTTTCTTCCTACTTTTCCTGTTTCATCCGATTCACAATCGATTACGTCGAAAACACAAGCATTCACAATGAATCCCCATCAGCAGAATAAGATCGATACCAGCGTATGCTCTCCAGTCAGATCTATCTTGGGCTACCGACCCATTCCCCATCAGGCTGGAACTAACAACCATCTCTCCTCAAGTCGCTGAGCCCCGATGAGCAACGCTTGCTGCGTCTCTACGGCAAGATGCCCAACAAGAAGGATCTCCTGCAGAACAAGCTGAAGGTATGCTCGTCCAAACACCCTCCAACCCGATTCAACCACTCTTCATGGCTAACCCTCGTATCTTGCGCCCTGCAGGAGCGGAAATACTTCGACTCCGGCGATTACGCCCTCAGCAAAGCCGGCAAGGCCTCAGACGTCGGCGTCACCAACATCGGCTCCCAACACCCCGTTCCCGAGAACATCCCTCACCTGACTGCGACCTCCCCCGGCGCCAACAACCCCGGCGCTGCCGGCAATGGGGGCAGCATCAGCGCCCAGGGCGGCCAGCAGGTCCCCGGTAGCATCAGCGGCCATCCCGGCTCCATTGGATTCCAGAGCCGCAGCCCCGTCAAGGAGGCCAGCTTCCTGCAACGGGGCACCAGCGTCGATGAGGCCGACGGAAACAACCTCGATGCAGTCGCATCTCAGGATCCTACCGATGCCGGCAGCGTGAGCCCACCTCCGGCTCGAGGTGGTGTTCCCATCCGTCAATAAATGATCTCCCCCCGCCGTCTCTTCTCATGATCTCATTACTTTCATGTCATCCTTTTACTTGGTTACCTCTCTTCCTTCGTATATCTTTTGTTGGTTCCGTCCCGGTGGTCGGTGGTATTTAAAAGAGTGTTCTGGCGCCATGGATTCCCACGTCACGTTGTTTCTTGACATTCCGATGTATTCACGACCTTATCTTTATCCTTATCATTGATCATTGGCCTTTTTTTTTTTTTTTCTTTCCCCTTATCTTTTGTCTTTCGGATGGATTCTGCCTGACACAGACTGAAACAAAGTGGAAGGTTGAGCAACCAGGCGGAAGTTGCCTGCATGCTACAGCACTCGCCCACCCATCTGTGGCAAAGACGAGCTGACCAGTTCCCGATGGGATCCTCTCCATCTGCCGATCATAGCCTGCTCCAGCCGCTCTGTGCGTCCACAGTATGAGTATCCAGCATGCTAGCGCCAAGCGGAGTGTCTCAATCATTACGAAATGACGCAAATCAGTCTTCTTTCTTCTCTCTTCCAGTTCTTTGTCTATATTGGAAGATCGTCCCGGGTACGCACTGTCTGCCTCGTGTCTCCGTTCTACCTCATAAGCACGAACCGTTTTATGCCTCTAGCTTGCGCTCAAGAAACGGGAATACGTCGTATCTGATGCCTGTATGCTTTCCGTGGTTTGATGCCTCTATTCTCCTCCCTGAAGGTGTGTTTAGATCCAGGCCCGGTAACACCTAAATTGAACCCCTGTGGATATGGCGAGTTGTGGGCCATTGACCACCTCTTTACTCACCGTTGGTTCGTTTGTCGTCATAGCCGCTTTCCAGATTCTGGCGCGTCTCGCCATCCTAAATTGTACTTGTTGGCTGTGTACTTACTTCTTCACTAACCACTCCAAATCCCGGAAGCGCCGTTCTGGGAGGTACTCCGTAAATGCTACTTGTATTCTAGATTGAAAAGGCGTGGGTAAAGAGTCTTCTTTCTCATAGATTTCAAGTCTGGTTTGCGAATCGGAGCTTAGAAAACCGCTAAATATGGTACTCGAGCTCCGCAGGAGCAGGAAAGGAGGAAGAATGGAAAGATGTCGCTACAGAGGCGAAGAAAAGAAAAATAAAAAAAAAAGATCAAAAAAGGAAGAAAAGAGAAAAAGAAAAACCTGTCACCGTGAACAGCAAGTGGGGGTATAAGATTCTCCATCTAGTGCAAACAGTTTTCAAGAATCACAAGCTAAGAAAGGCAAGGAAGGGTAAGTTGCAGAGCTTTGGATCAAAAAGAAAAGAACCACAGGAAGTAGCGTTGCAGAAAGTCGCTAGACTGGGAAGAATGGGTATAATAGCAATAATCGGAGATGGGATCATAAGAGATGCGGATAGGTCAAAGATAAGGATGGAGCGAGGCGTATCGGAGGGACAGAGAGAAACAGAGGAAGCGGTCCGGAGCGGGTTCGACCCAGGGACTCTGTCGGGTGGGGTTGGCGTCGTCCGAACCGCGCGGTGTACATGAACTGGACCGCCCCTTGGTATGGAGACCAAGTAATGGGTCTTAGATCATGCTAGAAATGTTATGTGGATTGCGAAGTCCCCGGGGACAGTGTCCGTCCAGCCGTGATGAGCACCATTTGGGGGGTGGCTAAGGAATAATGTAATGCCTTGCATGTCCATAGGAAAAGCAAGGTGCAAGGACGACTGATAGGCATGTGAAGTCGCGGGCACGCATTGTAGCTGCTTCTGCTAGATGGTCCTCGGTATCCCTCCAGTCCGGCTATCATGCGGCTAACAAGCGAGAGAGCGTTAGATGGCGTTACTACCTAAGCAGCCAGCATGCAGTAGAGACCCTAGCTGGATAATATGCGTAAAGGAACATCGGTGGCAGCCTGGCGTAGGGACGAATCAAGGACGCTGCGAGTATCTACCACGAGTCTCCGCATGGCTGATAAGTTTGACGTGGGGTTGCGATTAATCGTGTACCGTTCAGTCGGTCTTCCAGTGACCAGCCAAGCCGGTGTCGAGATCATCGTTCTCGCCGAGGTAGAGCTCAACAGCGTACAAGCCCATCGTGCAGGCAAGGTTGATCCAGCGCCAGATGTTGCCGCCACCGCCGCCTTGGCTGCTCCACCATTCACCACTACCGCCCATTGCTTGAGATGTCAGAGCGAAGTGCTGCATCAGAAGGCTGGTGTACACGGCGATGAGGATCGACGGGGAGAAGTAGCTGAGGAAACCGAGGAATTGACCGGCGGCATCGGAATCGTCCAACGAGGCTTCTTGCGACAAGGCGCGCGCGCCAGACTCGCGGACTGCGGGAATGATTCGAGTGGACGCGTACAGAACCAGGATCCGGTAGGTGAGCGAGACTAACACGGAGGGAGTCACGGCGCCAAAGACTGCTGTGATAACATTGAACAAGGCGTGGATGATTGAAGGGAGGGTGGACAATGCATGCATCAGAGTGGTGTACGACTCCATAATGATCGGTGGTAGCGGCGGGAAATCCCCGGCTTGAGCAGGAGAGGGCGGTTGTTCAAGGGGATGAGAGGGTTTATAGTCTGTGAAGATCTGGTAAAGGCAGAGCACAATGTAGGCAAACAGCAAGGAACTCTCCACTGGATTTCCCCGGCCGCTACCGATGCCCCAGGCGCACAAGATCACCGCGCATGTTATGGAGACACCAATTAGAGCCGCATCCACATTGGAGATTTCCGGGAACTGCATAACACGCCATAGAAAATACACGGAGCTGGATATGATTGAGGCGGACAGAACCAGGAGACCAATCTAGCGGACCATGGTTAGCATTTTATCGTTGCATGCATCAAGCACTTCAGGGTGACATGTACGTACCATCCAACTATCACTGCGCCCGCCGCGGTTTACAAGCCACCGAGTGATTTGCCCTGCGGCTTGGATGACTAGTAAACTGCAGAAACCCTCCACCAGCTGGAATACCGGTGTTGACCATCTCAAGAGTTTATCCCAGTTGCCAATCGTCACCGATTCCACCAAACCGTCCGGTCCAAACACCCACTCCTGAATGGAGGAGTCGTGGGCTCTCTTGCCGGTGAAGGTCCGTTCCACCCATGACGCCGCGTTGTCATTATCGATAGAGAAGCGGTTGAGCGACCAGATAAGCAAGATCGGGATTATGAGCCACTGCGTAGAGCTGATGATGACGACCAGGGAGGAGCGGATCCAGGACCGATCGGGGGTGGAAAGTCGCAGGAGGGAGAACAGAAAGTAAAAGGTCGCGAGGGAAAGCGAATAGGCCAGACCACATGTCTTTCCACCCACATCAAACGCGAGAGGGATGGATGCGACCGTGACGGTCAGGAAGAGTCCCGACGAGATGGCGCGGAAGAGCCACATCGGACAAGACGACAAGAAGAGGGGAGACGAGAAAAAGAAAAGGCAGAAAGAGGGTAGCGAAGAGGAAGAGGGGAAAGAGGGGTGTAGACGCGCTCTTTTCGACAGATGGTCTTAAGGCAGGAGATTTGGTAGACAACACGGACGGAGAGGAGGGAGGGGAGTCTTTAGTAAGAATACATGAAGGCTGGTTTGATTGCGTGCCGTCCTTTGTTTTGCTGGTCTGTCTGACTGACTTTCTTGAACCTCACTGGAAGTGCGAGTGGGATGAATCTCGTCACTGTCTTCTGGATTGAATTTTTGTTTTTCAAATTTTTTTTTTTCCCTCCTTTCGATTTCAGTGCAGTAGTCTTTTGAGAAACGATCTTATCTTCCCAAGCGGGACGGAATGATGGATGGATCGAATTCACGTGGCACGTGCTGATGGACGAATGAACTTCCTGGTCAAACAATCCACTTACGTACTGAAGCACCAAAGCTTAACGGCTGCAATGCAATGAATCGGGCAGGATGAGATAAAGACGAGGAGAAGAATACAGGATGAGAAAAAGGGATGGAGGGGGAAAGTGACAGCCAGCCCAGCAACAGCAACCAGCAAACGCAAGAATTGCTCGCAATTTGGCGGTTTAGCGTATCCGGCCCAGCTTCAACTGGCAGGCGGTGGCGTCCAAGCGGATGCAAGTAGCGGTCAGTTGGTGAAAAGATCGGCTGTATATGATCTCATCTCCAGAAGATTATCATTCAGTATCCATGTAGAAGGCGATCGAGTGTTCGCCAGGGGATCCTGTGATTGCGCCAAAATGCAACTGGACGTCAACAGTCCCGACATTAAGGTTCCAGTGGAGAGAGGGGAGGAGGGGAGGATGTGAAATCGACGTAATTATGCCTGTTAGATAAGGAGAGCATCGACAAACCATATTACAGAAGGTGCAAGCCTCAGGCTGCAATCACATGCTAGGATTCTGCTCAATACTTAAGGTAACCCTAAGTACTCTCCTAATCCGGTTAGCGTGATGGAGCTGCCACTTCGACGCTTTCCCCTTTATGGAGACCAACGCCCTGCTTCTTCCGGCCAATAGGAATTCCCTGATACTAACTAACTCGATACGAAGACCTTCCAGAAGCTCAGGCTCTATCGACAATCGACATAAACTACCTTACCTCCTACTTCTTCATATCTCCAACTTCGATTCGTCCTTATAGTGTATGCTTCGGTTTCGTTCCTTATTCAAAATGGCCGAAGAAACCATCACGAAGAAGATCAAGACTTCTTCCCCCTTGATTGGAACCCACAAGTAAGTTCTCGCCTGCCTCAATCCCACATCCCACCTTCTGCAATAGCCCCCGTTAATTCCTTCTCCTGTCCAGCGGCCACTTCCACGCCGACGAAGCTCTTGCTGTCTACCTTCTCCGTCTCCTTCCCACCTACAGCGCCTCTCCCCTCGTCCGCACTCGTGATCCCGCCCAACTTGCAACATGCCACACCGTTGTCGATGTGGGCGGCGAGTACGACCCCTCCACCAACCGCTATGATCACCACCAGCGCACCTTCGCAACCACCTTCCCGGCGCACGAGACCAAGCTCTCCTCCGCCGGTCTGGTCTACATGCACTTCGGCCGGGCCATCATCGCCCAACACACCTCGCTCCCCGAGGATCACGCGGACGTGACTCTCCTGTACGAGAAGCTGTACAACGACTTCATCGAGGCGATCGACGCGAACGACAACGGGGTCTCGGTGTACGACCCGGAGGGCATCACCGCCGCCGGCCTGAAGAAGCGCTTCCGGGACGGCGGGGTCACGCTGGCTTCGGTGGTCGGCGACATGAATAACCCGGACCCCACCAGCCCGCCCGGCGAGCCCCAGGACGAGGACAGCCTGTTCGGCCGCGCCAGCACCTTCATCGGCAACGTCTTCACCCGCAAGCTGCACCACGCCGCCTCCTCGTGGCTCCCCGCCCGCACCACCGTCGGCGCCGCGTACCGCTCGCGCCGCGACGTCCACCCCTCCGGCCGCATCATCGTCCTCCCCCAGGGCGGCGTGCCCTGGAAGGAGCACCTGTACAACTTCGAGCAGGAGGAGGGTAGCTCCGGCAGCGAGCAGACCTACTACGTGCTGTACCCGGAGGGTGCCACCGAGGGCTCCAAGTGGCGCGTGCAGTGCGTGTCCGAGAGCGAAGGGAGCTTCGTCTCGCGCAAGCCTTTGCCCGAGGCGTGGCGCGGTGTCCGCGACTCCGACCTCGATGCCGTCATGGCCGTCGAGGCGGATAAGGCCGGCCAGCCGCGCATCCCCGAGGGGGCCGTCTTCGTCCACGCCAGTGGTTTCATCGGTGGCCACAAGACCAAGGAGGGTGCTCTGGCCATGGCCATCCGGGGTCTGGAGTAATAGATCGATGTCTTGCATCACTTGCTTATCTAACGAACATCTGGTTTGGGTATAATGAGGCATTTAAAAGTTGAAAATTCATTTTATCACTCTTCCTATCATTCGCCCAGTGCAGGGGTGCCCAGTTCACCCTGATAGGTCTCTTGGTCCTCTCTCGCCTCTCAAGCGACATGTAGTCAGCCGTCTTGATCTTCAGAATGACCCGCACTGTTGGGCCCGGCAACCAGAATGAGATTCGCTAGTGACTCCAGCAGTAATAATGCAAAAGGAGGCTTAACAGCTGTTCGACGTAAATATTAGTATTCGGTATGTATCTTACATACTACTTCGTCTATATAGGTTGAGCAAGGTACCGGTGGTACTGGAATTACTGCCGGTGTCAGTAGCGTTTCTCAACCACTGTGCCTCCGGTCTGGGTTTCCTCAAGAGTCAATCGGACCCCTCGAAACACCCAACTCGGGATATAATGCCCTGAAGGCTGTGGCAAGATAATCTTGTAGGCCGAGCAAGTGTGATATCCGTGTGAGTAAGTGTGATAACCGTGTACCTCAAGTGCGCAGCCACTTGAGACTAAACCAGGGTGTTGGTTCAGCGTGAAGCGGATTCCTACCTGCTTTGATACGGGGACCGCGCGCAAATCTTTGTTCTCCTCGTTATCGAACCTGGGACTATGTTCACGATGAGTCTGAGTTATTTGATGTAAGAATGTAGCTCCAGCCACACATTTTCGAGAAAGTTCTGCACTCAACTGCAATGCGTGAGGGAACAGTTAAGCAGGATAGCATAACAAAACATTCTAATGCATTTGACCGCTAGCTTAGGGGCGAACCGCTTGAACCGGCCACTCCATAAGGTTCGCGAACCGCTCGTTACCCGAGGCACGGAGTTACTAGTGGCAGTAGTAGTAATAGCAGCAGTATCCCCCTCCTCTCTCTGTTTGGTCTCACTGTAGTTCTGTCTCAATGGACATTGAGGCTTGCTTCCCTTCTGGACTATGCCCTCACAACTCTGAGTTCCAATGTCCGCTTACTCATCAACTTATGTGCTTCACTGCATAATCGTTACCATCGTCTACATTATATCATTCTTATTAATCACCACTCAATGACCCCCCAGTCGATGGGCACCAAAGAGTTTCTGCTCCAGTATAGAGCGTGTCTCCGTAGTGTGTTTGATGTGCTGCCGATGCTGGCCATGGTGGTCTTGCTCAATGCGGTGCATTCTAGCAGTCTCATCGCAGATAATGAGAACAAGAGGGTTTGATCATAACGGTCGATGTAAGGGGTGGGCCCTAGAATAGGCGGGAATCCTAAGTGTGAGCGAGATTTGGCTCCAAGGTTTTATAGGATGGTTCTGGCGCTTTGAGGTACGGTACAGTTTGCTGTAACTGGAACTTGTATTTGATTCAGTGCTTAATTTTTAGGTCTCTTGACTTTTAAACGATTTAGTTGATGCAGCTGCATGTACAGCTGCATGTACATTGTTGATTGGTGTGGAGCTCTTCCCCCATACGAATATGGGGGATCTGGGACCACTTTTCTGTTCGTATATTGCTCACTCCATGTAGGGGAGTGTCAATAATGTCAGATTGACATCGACAGTGACTGAAGCTTAAGAACAAGCAGGCTGCTTGTCGCTATCGCTCTACATAGCTTACCATTACATGTGGTAAGAGGATAGAGAATAAGGCCACGGCTGTCTGCAGTAAGGGCAGTTGGGCATGAGGTCTCTTTCATACAGTTCCTCATGCCACGAATCAATGCAGTGGAAACAGAAACTATGTCCACACTGCGACTTGCACCAGACGGGTCTCTTCCCAAGCCTTCCGCCACAGATCGAGCACTCGGTCTCCTCAGTACGCCGCGGGATGGGTGGCTTTTCTACGTCCAGCCGTGCGACGTCTTCGGGCTTCAAGGCGGCGCGTATCAAGGCTTTGATGGCGGCTTGCGCGCTGCGGCTGGTCACCTGCGCCAGCTCTTTGGCAATGACTTTGGCTCGGCCCCGGTCGTAGACGCAGTACCGCCGGCGCGAATCGTTCAGTTTCCGGAGCCCCTCTCGCCTCGCTCGGTTGAGGGAATTGCGCATATAGGCCCACGTGAAGCAGATATGCTCGAGCATGTCCCGGATCTCATCAATGAGCCAGTCATCTTCCATGTCGTGCACGACGTCCACGACCTCCGAGCAGAAATACAGGAACTTGGGGATATCATGATCTTCGAACTCGAAGATCCGGTGTTTCGGGTCTCTCGCCCGCTCATGCATCAATTGCGAGAACAACCGCTGCATGTCCACGGCCAGCCGGTCGAGATGGAATGCCTCGTAAGGCTTTGCCTCTTCGGGCTGTACATTGAGGTTGCGATATCTTCCCTGCAACGGCATGGTTGGCTCCAAGCAATGGAGACGGCGAATTTACGCTACGAGACGAGTTGAGTTCCCTCAAGCCGACGTGGCGGGGCTGTTTCTCACTATCACGGTCAGGTTGAAAGTATTTATTCTGAGCTGTGAACATCGATGACTCACTGTTTGACCGGTTTCCCACGGAGCATCTTTGTCTAGATGACGCATTTCTCCGTCTATTCTTTAAGGGACAGTCTCATCCGAGGTACCTTGATCAAAGGAAGTAGGGGGGTTCTCTAGAAAAGCCGGGATTTCACTCTTGTCTTTTCTTCTCTACCTACCTCACTCCATTCGGGGAAATAGCCAAGGCCATGTTGTTGCATGCTTGCTTTTATATGCATTCCAGGCACGTGATGCTGGGGAGTCCACCTTCCCAACTTCCTTCCCAAGCCTCCTTCCCAAGCTTCCCTCCCCCTTTCCCACCCACAACAACAACTAGAGACACCAAAGCATCAAGAGGTGTTCAAGATCGCTACTTTCGAAAGATCTCGTCTGATTCACACGTTTCGTTGCTTCTACATTTCTTGCGGCTTCTGAGTGCTCGTGTTGAGAGCCCAGGCGTATGCGCCCCCCACCCTAATAAAGCTTATCGTCCCAAACAGCTGGTCAAGGTGGACCGAAACTGGGGTGGGTGGTGGAACTGAAGACTTACATTCTTCCTTTGTTCCCATACTATGTGTCCACACGGTAACTCGGTCAGGTCAAAATTCGAAAGACAAACTTCCGGGACATACGATGTATCCGTTGTAACCAGGATTCATTGTTCGTCACCTTCTCACATAAATTCGCAGCGTTCGTCGGAGAAGTCAAGGGGATGCCTTCGGTCAACATCTATCCATTCACAATCTACACTCTTCTCAATGACACGATGTGTCTTAGAGTTGAATCATGTCTCCAGGTTTCTCTGCCGATTTGAGCCCCGTAGAACTCATTGAGGAATACAGTCGGATCTCCCAAGTGCTACAACAACACTCAGCCATGATTACGGCTATCCCCCGCCTCCGGGCTCTAAGCAACGGGACTGGAAGCCTTACCCTTTGAGATCTGCCTACATATCATCTCTTCTTGTTCTTAAAATCGCAACCGTTCTGACGTTATCGATCCTCCTCGCCATTTCAGAAAGCCGCAATGGCCTACTGTCCGTTCAACACTTACTGGGCCCAGACAAGGGCCCCGGCGGGATGCTGCGGAACCTTTGGAGTGCAGCATATCTGTGGACTACCTTGCCCAATGCCTTTTTCACGCTGTCCCGGGACCTCCGGGCCTCGGTGGTAGATGCAGCGTCCAAGCAACAACCGTATGGTGAATTACGCAAGGGCAACACACTGAAGAACTCCTTACTGCTCGATTACAGCAGTAAACCCTTCCTTTGGTCGTGGTACTCGGCTATCCAGAACAAGCACTACAGCTTGGGGGTCATCATGCTTCTCTACCTTGTCTCGAACATAACTGTGGTGCCTCTTTCTGCGCATCTGCTCACCGCAACCCCAGTCATCAACAATTCCACCAACACCCTCAAACCCCTACAATTATGGGACGACTTGGACCTTGATGACTCGCTGAACTGGAATGAGATTGTCGACGAGGTATTTGCCATGCTTATCTTCAAGGCGCCACCATCAGCATGGACAAATTTGCACTATGCATTTCGGCCATATGGGGCCGACAACGGCCAGGTGCCTAGTAACATCACTACCTACAACCTAGCAGTATCCGGTCATCTTGACTGCACTATTTACACGGAAGAAAAACCTACCCTAAACTATATCCCATACAATGACGAAAGCGGAACTTTGGCAGTCGGAATTGATGATACCGGCTGTAATATCACATAATCCATGACATTGGACAGCTCAGCTTATTACTACATACGGAGCTTGTCGGCGAGAGAATGCACTGCAAATGCTGGCTATAGCCGCATTGCCATCATATCAGGGATCCGAGACCTGAATTCCCCGTTCAGAATTGCAGACTATAGTGCTGTTTTATGCATCCCCACATACCGGAAGACATACGGTGATCTTGTCACCCGATTTCCAGACAAATACAACAGCTCGATTATTTACTTCCAAGACCATCCCAGCCAGGCCGTCGAGTTTCGGCCCGCTACTTGGGACCGTTTCGAGCAAAACCTGACTAGCATATCATTCAGAGATCCCACTGGTGCTTTGTCCGTGGATGGGTTCTCCTATCTCATCAACAGGCATGTTCTTGAAGCAAACACCTTGAACCCTTATGCCAACAAGGACCAAATATTGTTATCTACGGAACGAGTTTTCGAGGCCATTTATGCTGTAGCGAACGACGGACTGGGGTTCCCTCGCTCGGTGGTGGAAAACGATGAGCCGCCCTCAATCCAGGGAATCGTCTCTACCCCAGATACGCGGCTGTTCGTGGTCCCTGAGACGGCGTATTACATCATTGTGATATTGTCCTTCATTGCTGTATGCAACATTGTTTTGTATTATTATCACCGGCGTCACCGGTCGGTATTATGGGAAGAGCCCGTCGGGCTGCTGGGGGCCGCGGAATTACTCTACGAGGGAAATACGAGCAGATTCATTGCCCGGGTCAGGAGACACCATCCGGCTGCCACCCGGATCGTGAAGCTCGCCCTCAATGACCCCGCCTATGCCTTGTATACGGCTGCAGTGGATGAGAGGGGGAAGCTGATGGTTTCTGCGTCTGGTCGAGATCTGGATGATATGATGTGGGATTACAAGCCTGCTTCAGGATACTCTGTGTGAATTGGTTACCGGTGCTCCAGGTGATTCAAGCAACAAATAGGAGCTAGTCTGGAGGATTGGGATTGATAAGAGTACGATAAGTTGAGTGGACAGTCCTACCAGCTTCTGCCTGGATTGGTCGAGGATAGATAGGACAATGATTTCGCTTAGTGAGTCCAGATAGTCTACTCTTGCCCTCAAGGCATCACTCCATGTTCAAAACTACTCGGGCAGGTAGCACAGGTACTGTACATGAGAACTAATCTATTTTGCGGGCCCAAGTCCAAGCTAGTGGTCGATTGAGTGGCTGCATGCCGATCTGATGGTCGGCATTAGTCTCGGGTGACCAGCAACTGACAGTCACAATCCCACTTACTATGTATAACACGCGTGCTATACAGCCACAATGGGTGAATATTCCACCTAGCTACGCGTTGAGTCTGTTGTAAGTGGATACTATGGTCGATACCTGCAGTAAGTTCAGTACGTATGATGCAGCCTTCGCAATGGCCGCTACCCTGGATCGTCATGGGCGACCAATCAAACCAATCAAGGGCGATGGCCGGACTGACACATGGGCTGGCTCATCTAAGCATGACGCTATTCCCAGACCCCCTTCCCGTTCGCTCTCAAAAATGGGAAAGGATTGGTAAAGACTGAGGCTGACTTCATAATCTTGGGAGTGGGAGTTTTTACATAAGGAGGCCCGCCCTGGAAATTATCTCGTTATGACATCATCGTTGCCACGGAGCCGCAGTATAAGAGTCTCCCCACAAACGCAGCCCTACCCCAGTCAAGCCACTTTGCTTTAATTATCACCATACTTTTGACCAAACTCAGCAAGCAATTAAGCAAGCATTGAGTTCTCCTTGCAAATAACCTTTCTAACGCAACCCTCCACAAGAACTTCGCAAACTCAAGCCACCCATCGCGAACACCGCCGATCCTCCTATCCTCTCGATAAGCGCACAGCGTAACCCACCACCAACCAACCAAGATGTCGTACAACTCCTCCCAAACCTCCTACTTCGAGTCCTCGTCCTCATACTCCTCATCCTCCTCCTCGTCGAGCGACCAGAACCAACAACAACAACCACCAAAAACCCACGAATCCGGCCACCGCGCGGCCTTCGCCTCGCACACCGACCCGGAGGGCAACACCACCGTCCGCACCGGCCACCAGAATCTGGGTGAGGAGCCCGTCCTCAAGGAGAAGCGCTTCAGTACCTCTGGGCGCGAGCGCGAGATGATGTTGGCGGCGGGCACCCCCATGGGCGGGGTCAGCCGCATCCAGGATCTGGATGAGTCGACGGGCGATACCTACTAGTCTTCCAACGGTGTCTTCTGCTTGTTCAGTGGGGTGGTGAATGTGTTTTTCGGGGGTGGTTTGTATCCGTGAGGTGGTAATATTCATGCTGGATATGAGACACGTTCCCTGCTGCACTGATTTGAATGAACTTGATATACGTTTATTGATGAATACATGATATGAATTTATGGCTGGGATTTTTTTCTTTTGTGTGATGCGGGTGTTGTTGGTATATCATCTGGGTTTTTTTTTTCTTTTTGGAAGGAAGGTTAGATAGGGCTAGTTGTATCTCTCGGGATAATATTGATGATTGATTATGATTGTTGGGAGAGGTTTGAGAAGATACTGGTTTTGCTGTAGAGAGCTGATTAATCTGGAGTACTAGGTCTTATCTTGTATACTTGCCCGTCAGGACTCTGCAGCTATATATGCACTTCTATACTGCTATCTACTATATCTCCCAACTTCTAACCACAATCCCACAACCACACACACTGCGAAGACAAATCACTCCAACCAGCCCCCCACCACCCCCCTCAAACTCTCCCACAACCACCCATCCCCCAATCCCACAGCCGAATCAAACCCATGACCCCCCTCCCTCACCGTAACCGCCACCCTCCCCGCATCCTCAGCCCGCAAAACCATCTTCGCTTTGCCCACGAACCGCACACTATCCTCCACAGACACGACCTCATCCTCCCGCCCATGCAAGATCGCGATCCCGCCCCGCGGGATTTTGACGGGTTCATCCAGTCTCTCCATCGGATACCGCAGGCTCCGCTCGGGGTCGTGGGCCGGGTCGTCGTCGTCGTCGTCGTCGTCGTCGTCGTCGACGCCGCGCGCGAACATCTCGGCGATGCGGCCCGTGCGCATCGCCGCGTTCATCAGGTCGAGGCGGTCCGGGAGGTCGGTGAAGGTGCGGACGGGGCTGCGGTGCTGGGCGGCGAGGGCGAGGGTTTCGTTGAGGAGGTGGTGCATTTTTCTTAGCTCGTCGTCGGTTTCAGCGGGAGAATTGTTGGCGTCCGGTGGTACTCCCTCCCCGTTGCTTGGCCCGCTCTTCCCCTTCCTACCATCATCATCTCCTCCCGCTGAGGGAGAAGAAGACACTGCTACCGCTGCTGCTCCTTCTGCTACTGCGGATACTTCCAAAAACGAAGACGTCAACCCCAAAAACGCAGGATACCCCACCACCGCGCCGCGGATCTGCTCCGGGAACCGCAGCGCCAGACACAGACTCAGATACCCGCCGGCGGATCCGCCAGCCACCAGGACCCGGGCGCGGTCGATCGCGAGCCGCCCCGAGGCCGTTGGAGGGGACGGGACGGTGGCGAGTGCCGCGGACACGGCCGGGGAGGAGTGCACCCAGGCCCAGAAGTCGAGGACATCCTCGAAGACCGCGTGGATGGTGGCTTCGGGCAGCAGACGGTAGTTCGGGGCCAGGAGCACCGCGGGCGTGCTTTGGGCTAGCTCGAGGAGGTAGCGTGGGAACCAGTCTAGGTAGAGGGCGGAGCCGCAGATCTTTTTTTATATTAGTTTTCTTTCGGGGGGGGGTTCGGGGCTTGGGTTGGGAACGTACTAGGCCTCCGCCGTGGAAGTAGATGATTATTGGGAGGGGTTTGGGCTGGGTGGGGTGGGGGATGGTCTTTGGGATGAGGATGTCGGTTTGGATTCGTTGGGTGGTGTTGTTGTTGTCCGTAAAGGTTTTGTAGGGGGTTTGGAGGTGGTGGAATGGTTGGAGGCGCGGATCGCGGGGATCTTGTGACATCGTTGTTGTTTATTTTACTTGAATGCTGGGAGGAGCGCGAATGTCTGGTAGATGGTTGCGGTCGTTATTTCCGAGTGTTGAGGCTACAGGCTACCTACTTTTATACATTGCTTATCTGCTCTGCAGTCCTGGAGATCAGGCTAAACATCCGGCCATCTTGTATACATTCGATTCGGGTGTCGGGCTTAATTCCGGGTGGTAGACCGGAAATGATGCAAAGGATGCAAACCCCCATCCTTCGATTAGATTGCATGGCTGCAGCTTACTGACTGGAGTCAGATGTTGTAAATGCTGCAAACATCGGCCTTGAGATTCGATGTCCGGTATTCCCTTAGCGTGACAATCACTACATCTTCTTTCAGCTAAGCTATCAAGTGCTGACTATGACTACCTCTACTAGATGTCTAACACTTCCAATCACAACGAATCTTATTGCTAGCAGACAGGGGATATAGGTCATCAAACACACGCAGAAGCAAACGACATCGCTCCAGTCAGCAACTCTCACCCCATCGACTCGGCTCAGGCACTGACTCTGTGCTGAGGACAAAATTCATAACTCTCTTTCAAGCTTGACCCACGCTAACCCTCCAGACCCCAAGACCTCCCCTTAATGACAGTCGAATGCCACTTGACAGCACTCCCAATCCCCGAGCCCTGAGCACGCTCGGCAGTACATCTTCTTGCCCAGATCCGTCTTCCGCCCCGCATATATGAATGACCCGTCCGGGATCCTGCCCCCGCCGGTGATCGACAACTCCACCGTGTACGGAAGCAGCGAGTAGACGGACCATTTGCCCGTGTCGCTGTCGAAGGGTCGCGCCCCCAGTCCGCGGCAGTATCGATCGTAGACAAACGCCTGGCGGAACTTGGTCCCGGACGACGGGATGTAGCTCGCAATCCCCAGGTTGCAGTAGCCGGAGCCCGTGCCGGAGCACATGGCGGGGAAGTGGTCTGGAATGTCGACGAGGGGCAAGTGGGTGGCTGCGTCGATGAAATGGGCGAGATCTGTTGGGGCAGCTGCCAACAGCCCGAAGAAGGAAAAGAGGAGAACGAGGGTGGTAAGAGGCTTCATCTCGGTGGGGGGGTTCGGGTCGATCGAGTGAGTATAGACCGTCAGCGTTTGGGGGCTGGGAGGTATCCTCTTTCTGAGTAGAGAATGGATTTTGGGCGACTCGGTCAGTCAGCCAGCCCTGGAGAACGGGCACGTATTTAAATAACCGCCCTCCGTGCCATGTTTCTGTTGCCTAACCCTTCTCATGCGATTGGGATTTGGTCCAGCCACCTGGTCATGTCGGTATATCTGCCGAATAAAGCCCTCGGATGGCCGTACCCCTAGCCACAGTACAAACGAGACAGCGAGAATATGCACCCGTGCCAGGGAACGGAGTAGCTGTTATGAGATGAAACACCATTGGAGGCAGTGTGTCATGGTTTGGAGAGGTTACACCACTGCGGCAGGGTTAGCTAATCTGCAGATGATTGTGACATGGGTCTGCCAACCGGACTGGAGGGTAATGACTCGAGGGAAGGGTGATGACGACAATTCAATCATGTCTGCAGTCGCATTGGATGGATTGTGTATGCCTAATTTGTACGACAGCCAGGTCTCGCAGTGGACTTACTTTGACGGTCCTGGACTGGATCCAGGTTATCCATGCCCATCTGCCGTGCATATACGGACTCGGCTCTCAGTAACTCCGGAGGTGGAAACATCCGAATTGATGATGGATTATTTGACTCGGTCAAGCGTGGATTTGTGATTGGATTGGAGGTGGAGGTGAAGTGCAGCAGTTTCGGTCTTTACTCGGCAGGTGTTGTCCGACTGTAAGTACACAAACTCGCTTCCATCCTATACCTGAATGTGCAGTTGATCTTGCCTTTCATTCCGTCTCTTCACTCTTAACGGATACACTAATCATACCAAAGTTGTTTCTAATGGCTGATTTTGTTGAGATGAGCGTGTTGGTGGACAATTCTGGGCTTTGGAAATGCGTGGCCTTAGTAGTTGAGTTGAAACTATAACCGGAAAGAGCTGGGGAACAGGTGACTCCAACTTTCTTGAGTGTACATATTCTCTCCTAAATCCTCTACCTACGATCATTCCTCAATCATCCCCCATCTCTCAGTCCGTCATTGATCACTTCTGCAATCCATGATATGCTCTTCTTCAACTGCAAAACACACACAGTGCAAGCTTACACCCTGCCCACAACACCGCAGCAAACGCCCCTACAAGCACTGTTGACGCATACCCTTTTGGTCCGCAGCTGGTGACATTCTGTTTATCCACCACATGCTTGATACTCTACTCTTCTTGCTATCTCCTTTGAGGCACAACGAATTCCGCCCAGGCTTCACTATCTCAAGAACACCTTTATCTCAAGAACGCCTCCAAAGCCGCATCGGAGATGTTTCCCACTCCTTGATATGCATTGTCCCTAGCCTCCGCATGACTGACATTTACCGGTAGTGTGTGAGGCCCAAGTCGAACATCACTCCCAATGTTTCCAATAAGCTGACGGGCTTTATCCAGCACTCTGGCATTCGCCACCATCGTTCCAGTACTTCTCGAGGTCTCCCTTAGCCCGCTATCGCACACCCTCAAGCTCTGTTGTAACAGGTCGATTTGCCGTTCTAACAGACTTACCACCTGATCAACATCCGTCCGTGTGATACTGGAGTCCTCAGAGGGAAATGGCAAAGATTGGATTGCCATCTGCAGGCCTTGTATCTCACCGGCGAACTCGCTCATCGATATGACAATTCTTCTTTCCAGAGTCCGCAGTGCATCCTGGTTTTGCCGGGTGCTTCGACTGGCGGTTGAAGACGCCTTATCAGCATCGAGCAGTGGTCAACGTGGATTGAACTCACAGTGTCGCCATGTTGATAGCAATATCAAGAGTTTCTTTGTCCTTCTGCAGTCCATTCTTCAGACTTGCAATCTCCCGTCTTTCCAGATGCAAGCGACCTCGGTCCCGCCAGCTGACTCGGTCTTCGTCGGAGTGAGATGTCAGCCGGGACAACGTCTTTGCGAAAGTATCATAGGTCACCTCGCATCGACGTATATAAGGTTCGAGTTCTTCGAAACATCTCCTTTGTCCGGCGGACAGCTCGTTCTCATCCAGGCCCTCGAAAGCGCTCTGTAACGACCGAAGCAGGTTTTGGACCGTGTCGAGGTCTCCATGGAGTTCGTTGATGGTATTTGGCGCATCGCGTAAATTCCTAACGGTGCTGCTCAGAGCCCTGCAACTTGAGTATGCAAGACTCGCGATCGCTATGATGCTGGCAGTGAGGCCAATGGGATCAGCCATGTTGGGGTGATAAATGTTGCTGGCGTAAACGGGTGTCGTTTAGCGCCGGGGTTGATCGATCAAGAAATTAGGGAGGGGCTTGGGGGCATAACAAGCAGCTAGCTGCTTTGCTTATTCGAAATATCTTGACCTCAACAGCTAAGCCTCAAACACGACCAATCGTCGCTCGGTGCGTACTAGTCTACCGCTACACTAGCTAAGATTCAGCCTTGTTGGCGAACCGGATTCGCCCAGACTAGTGCTCCAACCACACAGATAATCCCCGTCGTTCAGTTTCATTGAAGCTGCTGGTGGTGTTGGCCTGTCCTGTCTTCAGGAGTTCAGCATCCACCAAGTCCACACCACCATGACTCCTGATCGAAGGACTAGGAATCTGTCGAGTCTGTCGAGCCAAGGAGACCAAGATTTCTGGAGATGCTCCATCTCGGCATATGCTGCTAATGATTCTCGGCAGTTCGTCGGCACAGCCGAAAATGTCAACTTCTATGGCAGGTTGCCCGACCAGTTCCATCAATATCCCGGCTAATTCAATCACAGGTAACACAACCCAGTTACTTGAGGATTCACACTTGCCATGTGTGAAGGACGCGCGTTTCAACTCAATTGCTGATAGTGAAGAGTCCCCCTACTGCCTCGAAAACACACGCGTGCAGATCCTTGAGGGTATTGACCATTGGGCCAATGATCGCGATGGTCCCTGCATCTTGTGGATGAGTGGCTTGGCTGGCACAGGGAAGTCGACGATAGCCCGCACGGTAGCTCGTAAATATGATGACGAACATCGACTTGGGGCCAGCTTCTTTTTTTCCGTCCTCCATAGTGATACCAAGCGCACGACGAGCTTTGTGACTACAATTGCGCGGCAGTTGGCGGACGCTGATCCTGCTCTGCGTGATGAGATCAAGGATTCTGTTAGCCAAAGAAAAGACATTTCCAGCTACTCTCTTGAGGATCAATGGCGTCGTTTGGTTCTCGAACCATTGTCTAAGATCAAACCAGAACCAGGTCGACTACCCTATATCTTGGTTATTGATGCTTTAGACGAATGCGAGACATCGGGTGGAATCGCCACGATCCTCCGTCTTCTGGCTCAAACACGAATACTGGAGTCTGGGAAGTTGCGTATATTCCTCACCAGCAGGCCTGACACGAGGATCGATACCAAGTTTGACGACATACCGCAAGAAAGGCGACAGTGCTTCAAGCTCCACAACATAGACGCGGAGATCGTGAGCCACGACATAAGGGCTTTCCTTGCCCACAGGTTCAACACGATTGCGAAGAATCATCAACAAGGTATAGACTGGCCTGGATCGGACACAATCGAGCTTCTGACTCAGAAAGCCGATGGTCTCTTCATCTGGGCCGCCACTGCATGCAAATTTGTCAGTTCGGACAGCCGTTTCTCCCGTCAGCGACTGATTCAACTCCTCGACGATAGTATTTCTATTGACGATCCAAAGTCTGAGCTAGACAAAGTTTATCTCACTGTCCTTCGGAGTACTGTTTCAGAGCGACACACGGCCGAGGAAAAAGTGTTCATCTACAACATCGTTCGACTTATCTTAGGAACAATGGCTGTGCTCGTTTCTCCACTTCCGGTAATTGGACTAGGCGCCTTGTATCAATCCGAACCCCGGTCATCTGGCGTCAGACGCCCAGAATACAAAACTATCAGTAACCTTGATATTTATCTTAACCTCAGACACTTGAGTGCGATTGTGGATCTTCCTGAAGACGATCATCTGCCCCCTCGACTTCACCATCCCACGTTGCGTGAATTCATCTTGGATGAAGTGAGATGTACCGAGCAAGCGTTTCATGTGGACAAGAGGCAGACGCATCTCACCTTGGCTGGGTGCTGTGTGAATATCATGTCCCAATCATGGGCGTGCTGTCCATCTGGACGGGGGATCTTCGACTTGGATAACCCTGCTATTGCGGTGACCGATGTGAGCCGGGGCCAATTGGAGCAATGGTTGCCAGCTGCCGTGCGGTATGCATGCCTCTACTGGGTCCACCACCTGCAACAGAGTGGTGCCATAATACACAAAAACGACTCCTTTGATCTCTTTCTCCGAAAACATCTTTTACATTGGCTCGAGGCTCTTATTTGGATGAGAAGACTCTCCGATGGAGTTCGTGCGATCGCCTCCTTGGAATCCATGACGGTTGTAAGTGTTGCTGCTTTCAAGTCTGACAAGCGGAGCTGAGTGAAACCAAGAACCCTAGTGTCGACGCATATATCCGTGACGCGAAGCGATTTACGTTATCTAGCCGATCTACAATCGAACCATATCCCTTGCAAATATACTTAAGTGGGCTTGTATTTACGCCGGCACAGAGCACAGTTAGGCTTCTCTTCGAGAAGGAATCATTACACTGGATGCATCGAATGCCGTCGATCTCTTCAAACTGGAGCCCTTTACTGCAGAGCCTGAGCGGCCGTGTGTGGTCAAGTCGCGCTTTGGCTTTTTCCACATGCGGAAAGATTTTAGCATCGGCCGCAATTAGAGGAGCGGGCAAGATAGTGGAAGTATGGGATCCCGTGACGGGGGAGCTCTTGCAGGCGTTTGACTTGCCAGACCTAGCAGTGTTTGTTGGATTCTTGGGAAAGGAAGAGAGATTGGTGGTAGTGTGGGGTGGCGGAACAAATCGTGACCATCACATCCAGCAACGAGATCCTTGGACTGGGGAATGCTTGCAGAAATCGAGTGTCCCCGCTGGAAACGGAATTTTTGGGGCAATTACTATGTCAGAAGCCGGAGAGTTGCTGGCATTCATGGTTGACTCGCGCGGGATACGAGTTTGGAACGTGCTTTGCGGCTGCTGCATCCGATGGCTTACTGGCCACACAAGTGAGATTATACACGTCGTGGTATCGAAAGACGGTTCGGTCCTGGCCTCAACAACCGTTGATGGGGCGATCTATGTGTGGGACACTTACAAGGCCCAGTGTTTGCAGGTAATACAAAGTCGGCACCAGTCAGCGTTGTTCAAACCGGCTCTCTCCAAAGATGGCAATATCTTGGCAGTAATCTCAGATGATGGCATGCTCCAACTCTGGCAGCCGACAACTGGTGTTCTTCTCCAAATTTCGAAAGTCCAAAGTGCACCGAAGCATGGCCTATCATCAGACGGTCAAGCACTCGACATATCGAAGGATGGAAAGTCCCTCGCATCAGTGTCGTATGGCCAGATTCAACTTTGGGACATCGAGACTGGTCGCTGCTGCCAGACTATAAACATGGGGGTGGCAGAATGTGCTGGGGCAGCCCTCTCGCCAAATGGAAGTATGCTAGCGACCTGCGCCCGCGTATCGGTCAGACTCTGGGCTCTCAAGGCAGGCGAGGTCATGGAGCCCCCTAATGTCATTCGAACGAGAAATCTCCGAGAAGTTCGATTCTCGCCGCATGGGCGCTTGCTAGCCGTCTTGTCCGTGGATTTACAGCTATACATCTGGGATACCCTTACAGGCAAATGTCTGGGTGATCTGGGACACATTCGTGACGAGATGCGCGAGTTCGAACTTTGGGAGGTTCTACAAACTCTACTCCCTGATCCCAAATTACAATACTGCATCGATCTCGCGAAGGAGGACGAGGATGATCCGGCCGAGGAACCACCAGTCAATCTCGCTGCCTTGTGCTTCACCGACGACGAAAAGTTCTTGGTCTCGCGAAGCGGCCCCGACGCAAGATTATGGGATATTCTAAGCAAGACGTGCGTGCTCGCGGTCGACCTGAACAAATCCACTGCGTCCAGTAGTGTCAGCGCGAAGAAGGATCTTCACACGTTGGTTCGTACGGGAGTCGAGCTTCTGACCAGCCTGGAGGACCCTCGACCCAAGTTGACTCTGGAGGACAATGAGTGGATCCTCGCGGGGGCTCAGAGGCTGCTTCGACTGCCACCCGAATACACCAACTTGGAGGGCGCCGCCGCGTTCGAGAATATCATTGCGATCGCGTACAGTGCTGCCAATGTCTTGATTTTTCATTTCCGCAGCGAGTTGTTATAGGTGTTGTACTTTCTGTCTTTTAGCTGAAGGATCTTCATTTTCGTTAGGGGAGCTACATTACCTGCGTTGGGCTATTCGTAGTGGACTTGATATACCCTTTCCTGCAGTTTGCTCTCATTCATCAGTGTATATTGCATCGCCACTTGAGTAATTATGGCAGTACGCGCCATGGAATGGAATGTGTAAACCAGGTGCGCTTAGATTGACGCGCAGCGTAGTGGTAATCTGAGCATTGCATGTCTCAACCTGTGACGACTTCTCCCTCTCCTCTCAGTCTCGTCAAACAATGTCGAGTAGACTCCTTCAGATTGCACGCCCTGTCGAGAATCAAAGTAGATCCATTGATATGACTGCATGATTTTTGTGTTCAGCGAAATGCCAGGGAACATGTTTTCGCACTCCTTGGATTCAGTCATTACCGGTCTTGCATGCCCACAGAGACATCCCGATAAGAACCAGAAAACCCAGTAACCAAGACAGGATCCCCACTGAGTAAACGCACCGAAAGCGTAGAACCACAAACCAACAATCACTAACTTGTTCCTCGGGCAGAGAATCAATTCCACGGTGGGGAATCTGATGTATGCCTCTAGACGATTAGATATTCACCCCCCCCCCCTCACAATCCGTAAACAAACCAATCCTCAATGTCAGCATCAGGAACCGTATCAAGATCACGCTTCAATTCACCTGCGTAAGCTATCACTAGGAACATTCACTACCGAACCCATACCACGTCTGCAAAGTTTGCTATAACATATCCCTCTTCGTCTCTGTGGGGATTTCTTTGTTCCTTTCCTGTCTGTCCCTCTCTCTTGTAGACTAACTTCCACACCTCGACCACCATGCCACACCCCGAAGAGAAACCCAAGGGCGGAAGCAAGGCGCTCACCGAGTCGAGGTAAGAGAACGAACAACACACCACCCTACCAATTGCCTTTGATATGTGTAGAGTCGAAAGCACAATAACCACAGATCCTCGCATCCCCTCCGACCCTCGAACAACCAGACCCCTCATCAGCTCCCACCCTCACTCCCACCCTTTAAGACCGAAAGCAACCAGAAGACAGCAACAACAGAATCCACCGAGGAAGCGATACACACCGCACTCTGCGCCCTGAACCCCAAGACCCTAACCCCAGCTCCAACCCCACCAGCCACGCCCCTCGAGGTCCTAGACGCAGAACTCCGCGCCTTCTTCGCGGAGGGCATCCAAGCCGCCTCGAACCGAATCACAGCGCTGCGCGCGGCGGTACTACGCGGCGAGACCACCGTCGACCTGCGGGGGCGCGCATCAGCGTCAGCAGCAGCGTCTCCGTATCCGTACCCGCACCCGCACCCGCACCACCGAACCCTAAAACCGCTACCGCTACCGCGCTCATCGCTCTGGCATCTCTCCTACGTAGCAGCGACACCAGTGCTCCTGCTGGTCAGCCCGCTGAAATGGCAGTCGGCGGGGCTGGCGGGGCCGCCGACGATGGCGGACGTGAGGGGGACGGGGTCGGCGGAGCTGGGGAAGCGGTTCGCGCCGGCCAAGAAAGCCGCGATGGACGGCCGGGAGGCGACGGTGACGGGTGCTGGGGGTGGATCTGGGGGAACGTGGAGCTGCTGGACCGCGGGGAGCTGCAGCGCCGCGACGACACGGACTCCACCTCGTTCGCGCACAGCTTTTGTGCTGGCCGTCGGGGCGCGAGGGCGTCCGCGTCTACCCGGCGTGGCGGCGCGCGCGCACGCGACCATCGCTTCGATCAGTATCTCGCGGACGGGCGGGTCGAGGCTGCGCTCGTGGGCCGAGGCACGGGCCTTCCTGGCGAGTTTTGGCAGGCTCTCTCGGTTCCAGGTATGGATTCCCAGAACTGAAGATGGGGATGGGGTGGGATGGGGGTTGCTGACGCTCGCGCTAGAAGCAATGGTCGCCGGAGTTGAATAGTGCGTATGCGGAGTGTTGTGGTATTGATCTGGACGAGATCTGTGGGGATGGACGGCCGGGGCTTCCGATTGTCCCGGTTTACCGGCCCAGGGTACGGATCTTCGAGATCAACGACGTTCAGGTCGAGCATATTAGGAAGTGTACGTGGGACGGCGGCCCTCAGACGGGATGAATGGTGATTTTGCTCCAACATGTTGATTGCTTGGGTTTACGAAGGGTAGCCGCTTTACGTGCTTGTCAACAGTATCTAGTTTGGTCGTCGAATCTCTCGCCGCTGCACCTTCAGCTTGACGGCGGTGGGTTTGTAGAACCAATAGTCTTTGGTTTCAAGGCGGGTTTCGGATGGTGAAGCAAGCTCTAGATAGAACGACCGGAGGATCTGTGGTATGACTTTGTATAACTCGCACATTGCCATCTTCGAGATCGATGAGTACCCACGTTACCGCATAATGGATTGGTGTCAAGTGAGCTTACATGCTTTCCCAGGCAGGTTCTAGACCCTGCACCGAACTGCACCAGGTTAGTTCATATCCTCCAGGTCTTCATTGCTTTGCAGGATTCTCACATGCAGAATATATTGTCCCAGTCGATCAGCCCCCGGACGCATCCACCGTTCTGGACAGAACTCGTCGGCATCCTCCCCGAACACAGCTGGGTCCGATTGCACAATAGGCGCATTCGCACCAATCCGCGTGCTGCCGGGGATCTTGTGGCCAGATACCAGTCGTTCTTCGTTGGCCGTTTGACGGGGCAGTGGCAGCGCTGTGGTTGGATGAACCCGCATGCCCTCTTTGATACATGCGCTCAGAAAGGGTAGTTTCAGAGCCTCGTTGTAGGCGATATGCGAAGCCCCCAATTCTCCCTTGGCAGTCGCCGTGTCGATTTCCTCGAGCACAGCCCGATAGATCCGCCGATCTTTGACGATGTGGAACATGGTAGTCGCCATTGTGATAGCCGTAGTATCGCTCCCACCGAAGCTGCGCATTTATTAGTGGTCAATGCGCCCTGGGTTCGACGGCGAGGACACATACAAGGCAAGGAAAGCCTCCATCTTCACATCCGTTACCTCAAAATCAAGGGACTTTCCTTTGTCATGATAGATATCGAAGATCCGCGTGAGAATGTCGGGATGGCCAGGACGTCCTTCTGCCTTCTTCGCTTCACTTATGCGGTCTTCGACCACCGTATCGGCTGCTTTTGTGAGGTGTTCCAGCGCCCCGAAGGCTTTTCTTATCCGGCCGGACATGAACCCCACGAGCATGAAGATCGGACGGATATAAGACGGCATGACACCAGCGAGGGCCATGGCGGGAATGAGGACGTCGGTGGCTGCTAGGTAGCCCAGGTGGTCGTGTCCATTCTGGAGGAACCCGAACATTCGACCGAAGTAAAACTCCCCGACTGCATCGTATGCATACCTGCCGCATAGCTTGAGTTAAGCGTTGCGTGGTATTTGGGAAGGAGAACTTACATTCGAGCCCACCGGAAGAAATCGACCGTCGCCCCTTGCTGGGCGAGCTCCGCGAAGCGCTCGAGTAGAACATCGGTGCACTTATCTACGTACCTCTCTGCCTGGAGCACGTTTGACATTGAGTAGGCATGGTTCACGATTCGTCGCCTGCGGGCATGCAGCTGTTCGTCGGTAGCTGAGAAATGGTCTGGATATCGTGCTAGACGAGCGTCAGCGTCGTGTTATCGAATGTATCAGAGTTAAACTCACCCCAAGGAGGACGAAAAGCCAAGTAGAAGTCGGTCTACATAGTCAGGTCGGCTTTGTTTTCAAAATTCTTTGAGCGATAGCCAAAAATAGCAGTATGCTCACCTTTTCAGACCCCGAATTGGCACTGTATATAGCCTTCAAGGATCGGGCGTCATTCATGATGAGCTCGTTTGGTGCTATGCGAACAATAGGCCCTGGAGGACATCAGAATAATCGTACGGGCAGAGCAATGTAGTGCTCTCCAAACTTACCGTATCTGCGATGCAGCTCCTTTTGCTCAAGCACTGTCTTGCCACGGGCAACGTGCAGGACGACCCATAGTCGGGAAATTGAGGCCAACGGAGGTCCAGGGAATCTGGCCAAGGGATGGAGCCACCTAGCATAGAGAATCCAACCGCCATAACAGACTGCAAGCAGTATCCCCAGATTTTCGATCGTGGCAGATGGAATCATTGTGAGTTGACCACGGTTTCATTGTTTTCGAAAGCGTGCCGGGGGCTAGCCGGGGTTTATATGCATGTAGGCAACCCATCACTAATAGTAATGCGTCTGGTCATCTGTGCGTCGGTCGACCTCAAATGGCGTCTTGCAGCAATTAGCGAGCTTGGGTCGAGGAGCTATCATGGTTTCGACGTCACCATGCTGGGGTCAGGGATCATAGTCCGCTCTAAGAGCCACCAAGTGGAGATGTCAGCTTTGTAGCGCCAATAGTGACGGATCCGAGATCAAACGGTCCTCGAGCGAGACAGCGATCCCTCGACGGTGCTGTGACCCTTGTTCGCCTTTGCTTAGTCCACGCAAGCAGCCGTTCGATTGGCTAGTCTTATCATCGTGTCACTGATTATCTCTCGGTTCTGGTCAGAAGGCACCAACAGGGATGTCAAGTTGTTGCATAGGAAGACAAACTGGCTTTGTTATTGGGAAGGTGGACAGATGACAGAGAAAGGGAGCTCATGTGCTTGTTTGGCGGAGTAGGGCGTGCCTTTATTAGCCTGCAATTGCCGAGTCGCACTGGCCATCATGGATGTGTACGGAGGACGTCCTACGGGCTTACTGTACTGTACTACATTTCGTGGCAAAACCCTCGCTTTCGAGCAGACGATCTCGGTTCTGACCATAGCAGATTGTACAGCACAGTAAGGAATAAAGTCAATTAGTCAATGATGAAAGAATATCGGATTTCGGAAGAGACGCCTGTCTTATGACAACCGTTCATAGTTCGCCGACTTCTCCGCATCCGCATCCGCATCCGCCACCGCAACCAGCCCTCCGCTTGTTGCTTGTTATCTTATCGCAATCAGTCTTCCCCCTAAACCTTCCAGTACAGTACATCCAACTCTTCACCACCCCATCAACACCAACCTCCTAGACTCCACTCCATCCAGAATGGAAACCCCCCTCCCACCAGCCGCTACCCCAGCCGACCAACCGCCGGTCCTCAATTACATCCTCTCCTTCCTCCTCGTCGGGGTCGCCTGGGGCTTCACGACCCCCTTCATCCGCCGCGCGGCCGCCGACTTCAACGCGCGCCAGGAGGCGCGAACGGGGGTCTCGCCAGACGAGCACGACCCTACAGCTACAGCTACCCAATCCTCAACCCTCTACAACAACAATGCGCCCGAAAGCGGCAACGAAACCGTACCCCTGAACCCAATCCCTTCCTCCGACGAACCCAACCACCCCTCACCCGACAACGACGACAACGACAACGACAGCGCCAGCGAAACCGACCTACCTCCACCCCAACAACCCGTCTGGATGCGCCAGCAGTCCCAAAAATCCTGGCTCCGGACGAAACTCGTCGCCGTGCTCGGGACGGTGGTCAACCTCTTGCGGACGCCGGCGTACTCGGTGCCGTTGGTGGTGAACCTGACGGGCAGTATTTGGTTCTTTCTGTTGGTGGGGAAGCATGGTTTGTTCTGCCCCGCCCGCTCGCAGATCATCGAGGGACTTGGGGGGATCTAAGGAGGCAACCGCTAACTCCGTCTTCGGTGGGTAGAACTCTCCCTCACCGTGCCGTTGGCCAATTCGAGCGCGTTCCTGTTCACGGTGCTGGGCGAGTGGTACGTGGAGCGGAAGGGGATCGCGCGGGAGACGTGGGTGGGGATGGCGTTGGTGTTGGCGGGGATTGCGATTTGCGTGGTGTCGAAGGCGTAGGGTTGGTTTGGTCTACTGGGGGTTAGCTAGCAATCTGGAATTAACTATGAGCCGAGTAAAAGAGTAAGATGTGGTACACTGTAGGGTTGTGTTGCTGGAGATGTCCGTGGTGGTTCTGGAGTGATCGGAACAAAAGGCAAAAAGGCAAAAAGGCAAAAAGGCAAAAAGGCAAAAAGTAAGCATTGCATCATCCGTGAATCGAACACGGGCCTCATCGATGGCAACGATGAATTCTACCACTAGACCAATGATGCTGGTTCATATTATGGTCACCTTGCCTTGACATCATAGACCAATGTACCTTGATACATGAAATAGAGTATAAACAGCAATCAACTGCAGGGGAACAGGTAAACAGGCCCTGATCAATACATCCTGGAAAAGTCTAGACATTAAATCATCCCAATTAAGTGACACAGTCCAGACATAAGTACGTTAGACCCCTCTACTCGCTAAAGCACCAAGCACCAAAGCATTAGACTCACCGTAGAGATAACAATACAACATCCAGTACGCGTACACTAAACCCTGAACCATTCGGCGACATTGTATATTTACCCTCATACTAGCATCAGACCCTACCACCGCCAGCGACATCTAGTGGAAACCACAACAGCCTCAACCCGGCCATACATGCTCCTCCTACATCAACACCAGCAGACCTAGACGGACAAACCTACCAAACAAGTGCAGCCAGACCAAGAGCGATCCGTGCCTTACCCCGGATTTCCATACCCCGGATTCCTTCCCGCCGGGCGGGCGCATCACCACTCCACCTCCGACCCAGCCATGCTCGTGTCCATGCTCGTGTCCAGCAGCAGCAGCAGTCACTACCTATCCTCTACTCCACAACCACAACCACAACCACAACCAGCTACACATCCTAAGTCCATGTATACGTGGAACCTTCACCTCTTCACACTCCCCGAATCCAAGACCATACCCAACCCTCATCCTCATCACCAAGAACCACCCACCACCACCCACCTCAAATCCCAAAATGGACCTCACCGACCCCGCCCACAGCCTCGGAACCTTCCGCACGCGCCCGCGCACCAGCCGCTCCGGCGACCAAGAACTGCCCTGGAAACTGATCATCCCCGGGGGCGATGACGACCCCGCCCACGATCAACAAGAAAAGGAACAGCACAGTCCCCCCATCCTCAAACCCACCACCACCACCACCACCAGAACCCCCGTGTTCCCCCCCTCATCCACAGAATGGTCCGCCCGCATCACCGGGGAAGTCCTCAGCAGCATCGGCAAGAACAGTATTCTCGTTCCGCCACCACGCCCCCAGCAGCAGCAGCAGCGCTCGAGATCCGCTCCAGCGCCTGCACCGGACCTAGATATAGATGCGGTGTCTCCGAAGTCGAAGAATATACCGGGAGTTGGACACGGACACGGACAGGGAGACGGACAAGGGAGGGAAAGGAGCAGCAACAGCCCGAGGCGCGGAACGACTACGATACCACCGGACCTCCTCAACCCTTTCCCTAGTCCAAGCCCAGGCCCAGGCCCAGGCTCAGGCTCAGCCCGACCCCTCCCCCGCCGAGGAGGATCCACCACAGACGTCGCCGGCGGCGGTAGCGGCAGGACCCCGTCCCCGCTTCCTCCATCTTGCACGACAACCGATCTTCCAGGGCTACCTCCAAGTTTAAGCCGAACGGCATCGAGCGAGTCGCCGAAGCCGGGAAAGGGGCCGGAGCAAGACCCAGACCTAGACCCAGACCCAAAGCAAAAGCAGCAGGCCGAAACGCCGAGCAGGCACGAGCGCAAGCGCGAGGACGCGGAGGCGGGGGCGGAGCCGGAGCCGGAGCCGGAGATCGTGATGTTCAGTACGGCGTATCCGGGGCAGGAGTGGCGGCCGGTGGGGCTTATGGAGGCGTCCGGGTGGGGGGATGAGTGACTGACTGTAGGTGTTTGGGGGATTGGGCATGGGATTGGGCACTGGGCGGTTATGGCTAAAGTAATGTAATGAATGGGTGGAGGGTCGGCGCATTCTGGTTTACGGGGTTGGCGTTTTCATGAGAGTGTTTTTGGATGGGTGGTGAGGAGGACCGCGGCAGGCGTTTGTGATTGGAGGTATCATTCAGCTCTGGGATTTTGGGGTCTGTTTGTGTGCCTTGGCTGGGCGTGATCCAGGTTAATTTGGGATAGGGGGTGGATGTGGGATGCATGCATCCAGAAGAATGGGTACTGTGAATACTGTCGTGAACAGTTCAGGGAGCGAGTCGGTCTAGTTATCATGGTAGACGCATGATTTCTGTTGCGGCTAAGTAAGGAGCTGTCAGCTCGCTAGCCCTACACACCCAGAGCAACGGAAGCCCAACCTAATCCAAGAAATCCGAGGAGAAGAGTATATAAGTGTATGTGTATGATGTACAGTACAATGTCTATCCACCACCACCACCACCACCACCTGCCACCGAAACTATCCCTCGAAAATATTACTCCCCAGCTCGACCCCCATGTCCTTGGCCACGCCGCGCATCTGCAACTCGATCTCATCCTCCATCCCACCGCCCAGCCGCAAGAACTGGCGCACCTTCGTGAACCAGAAGAACAGATCCGTCCCGAACAGCACCGCCCGGAACACCAGGTGGGCCCAGGCGCCGCGCAGCCGGGCGGCCACGCCCTCCGGCCGGTCCTCGGCCAGCGCGCGCGAGGCCCACGTGCCCGTGATCTTGACGCGGTTGACGGGGCTGCCCAGGAACTGGTTGTTGGCCTGCACGATGCGCAGGTTGCGCCCGATGAAGATCAGCGGGCGCGGCCACTTCTCCTCGTCCCCCAGGATCTGGCGGATCGCGCGGCGCGCCGACTGCTGCATCTCGTAGTGGAGCGTCGCCGGGTCGGCCGGGGACAGGGTGCGCGAGACGGAGCGGTGGGTCGACAGGTCGCCGCCCCGGTAGGGGCGCATCAGCGTCGCCGACGCGAAGAGGTCGGTGTTCTGGACGCCCCACGAGGAGACGATCTCCGACAGAGTGGGGTTGTCGAAGGTGAGGAGCGCTTTCCAGAACCGCGCGTATTGGTGCCGGAAGGCCGGCTCCATGTGGATGTACAGGCCGTGGTCGATGAGGACGAGCTCCGGGTTGCCCGCAGGCGTCCGTCGGATGAAGATGTTGCCCGGGTGCGGGTCGCAGTGGACGTACCCCCAGAGGAACATCTGCGCGGAGAAGAGGTCGACCATCGTGGTCATGACCTGCTTGAGGGAAAGGCCCAGCCCGCTGTCGCTGTAGCCGCCGCGCCAGTGGGTGCGCTCGGGTTTGAGCTGCGTGGCGTTGCGATCGAGGTTGGGGTTGGGGGTGGGGTTGTGTTGGGCCGTGGTGGAGGGCGGGTCGAGCGGCGTGCCGTGGCAACCGGGGGTGCCTTGACGCCAGCCGCCACGCCAGGGTCGCGTGATGGAGTTCTTGTCCCAGAGGCGGACGCCCTCGATCCACTCGGCGGTCATCACTCGCTTCGAGCTGAGCTCGCGGTAGACCTTGGGGATGTACACTCGGTCGCGGAGGCGGGGCTCGCCGGCCACCAACCGCGCCATATTCTCGGAGTTGTCGGCTTCATTCTCAAAGTCCGTCTCCAGGGAGAGTCGCTCGGTGACGTACGGGACCAGGCTGTAGAACGGGATGTCAAAGAGCCGACTGTAGATCCATGTCACCACCCTGCTGAAGTTAGCGCATGCGGCCAGACGAAAAGCCGTCCAGCGACCCGGAAACATACTTGAACGCCCACAGGTCCCATGTGATCTGCTTGCCGATCTCCCGTTTCTGAATCTTGATCGCCACCTCGCGGCCATCCGCCAGACGCGCCCAATGCACCTGCGCCACGCTGGCACTGGCCCGGGCCGTCCGCTCCATGAGGCCCTTGCCGGGCTCCCCGGCGAACGAGACCCCGAAGACCTCCTCGACGGAGCGACCGCCGAAGTCCTCGCGGATGACCTTCTCGACCTCCTTCCAGTCGTTCTGCGGCGCGTCGTCGAACATGCGCGCGAACATCTTCTGGAACTCGGGCGGCAGGATGGCGGACTGCATGGCGATCGCCTGGCCGATCTTCAGGTACAGGCCGCCATTGTGCCGCAGGAGGTCGGACAGCCGCTCGGCGTTGCGCGTGTGCACGGCGGCGATGGAGCTGGCCAGCGGAGGGTTGGGGCGGAAGTTGATCTTGTAGTCTAGCGCCACGAGGAGGCCTAGGCCGAAGGTGCGCGCCGTGCGGGTCAGGCTGGCGGCGTAGAATTGGTTGTCGACCGCGTAGATCGCCCCGGCGGTGAGGGAGAGATAGACGAGGCGACGCAGCCATTTGCGCGTGCGCGTGTAGGTCTTGGCTGGGGTTGGCTTGCCTAGGGAGGCCGGCGAGGGCGGAACGAAGGGCTGGTATCGCCCGGGGTGGACATGGCGGCGGTTGGAGAGGGCTGGGTACCGCCGCGGCGGAGCTGGGAACTGGAACTGGTGGTGGGCACGCGAGCGGACGAGAAGAGAGGGGGATACAACGGGAGAGCGCAGGAGGCGCAGATAATTGGCTGATGCCATTATACCGAGATATCCAGCGGAAGAAATGGCATGGCGGGGTTGGAAAGAGAGTTGGAAAAACAACTTGGTTGAGGTTGAATGAAGAATGAAGAAAAGAAAAAGAGATGGCGTTGCAGTGGCAGCTGCAAGAGAGGATGACGTGAGGCGGTCGAGTTAAAGCGGCGGAAGGCCGGGGGCGGAGTTAACGCGCTGGCGGAGACGGAGATAAGCCCGATCGGGTTCCCAGCAAGCAATACAGTACATACATACTAGGTAGTATTATTGCATGCATGCAGCAGCAGCAGCAGCAGCAGCAGCAGCAGCAGCAGCAGCTTACTTACATACATACTGAAAGATAGCATGTAACTAGGTACCTTACTGTACAGTACAGTACACAACTAGAAACTATACATCTCCCCCCCCATCACCATCATCTCGCCCCCCAATTGCCGACACACCCCGGCATACTCGCGCATCTTGTTGGGAATGATCTCCTCCCAGAGCTGGTCCTTCTGTACCCACTCGTACTGGGCCTGACAGACCGGCTCGGAAGCCAAGGGCAGCAACCGGGGCAGATGAACCAGCGCGGCCCGCACAAAACTCTTTTTGAAGCAGGAGCCGAACGCGGCCAGGGTCTCTCCATCCGCACAGACATCGCGGCCGCCGTCCAGCAGCGGGCCGCATTGACGCTTGATGAGCGCGGCCACCTCGTCCCCCAGGCGCATCATCGCCGCCTCCTGGTGGTCGGGGTGATCTCCCCAGGCCAGGAGGCTGCGGACGGCGGGCCGGAAGGTATGGTTGCGCGTCCAGAGGTCCCAATGCGCGACCGTCGGTCGACAGCCTTGGTCGCAGATCTCCTGTTGGAACTGCTCGAGGAGAGCGTGCGGACGACTGGTGAGGGCAACGATGGCCTTGAAGCAAGTGGCGCTGAATTTGGCAGTGACCGGGGAGATAACAAGCACTATCCAGAGGCCAAGAATGAGAAGCCGCATGGTTAAACGGCAATAATGGGTTATACGTGATGTAAGGAGACCGGAGGGGAGATGAAGAGAGAACAGAAAAGAAAGAGTGAACGATAGGAGTCAAGTGAGAGGAGAGGAGGAGAAGTGTCGAACATGTCGAACACTGAGAGGAGGAGGGGGGAAGAAGGAAAAGAGTGGAAGTGGCAGTGTTTCTTCTCTGTCTCTCCCCTGGATGATCGACAAACCACCCCCAGTTCTCTTCCCTTCCCTTCCCCCGCATCAATTCTTCCCCCCATAGTCCATCCAGCTTCAACCTCCCCTCCGGCAATCCTCGGGCATCATTCGGAGATTCCCACTCTGAATTCAAGCCCTCAACGCACCGGTCCTCTGCCTTCCGGCCACCAAAGATAGGACCCCCCCCCCCTTCCAACCTCCCCGCGGAAGAAAAACAATGAGAACAAAAACCAACAACCTGCATGCTCTCCTCAATTAATGAACCGAACTGAGCCCTAATGCCCTCACCCCCACCATCGATTTGATGTCCTCCAGCAATCGAACACCTAACAAAGCAGACCATTGGCCAAATCCAGGATTCCTCTCGATGTGATAGATCGAGCATCGATCGCTTAGCTGTCCGTCTAAGGTAATCTCGACAATTCCTTTCTTTCTTGCTTTCTTTCTCTGCCCGCCACAACCGACAATGCCCGGCCGGAAGATCACCCACACCACCCAGAGGGGGAGGGGGGCAGTAGAGTTCGTGATATCCGCGGCCAGCGCGGGTACACCCGTACAGCAGGAGGGGGGAGGGGGGGCGTCGTCCGTGGACCATCCTCGCGGCAAATCGTGAACGCGAACGTAAAAAACTCTGATATCGATGTATCAATCATATCGATGATCCTGCAGAGGGACGATAATGTTGTTTGCGCATCGCATGCATTGACACTCACCTTCCCATAACCACCACCGCACTGATTCCGATCATCCAACTCGCAGCAAGACTATTGAACGATAGACGGACCCCCCCCCCACCAAAAAACTCCCCCGTTGTCCTCCTGCAGGTAAGAAATATACCGCGTGCAGATGAGACTGGGACGTCCTTGTGCGAGCTGTCGGATCCCGCTCACCTGATCGGGACGGTGCGACGGGAGGAATGCGGGGAGGCAAGGCCCGGGGGAGAAGAGATTACTCGATTGAGGTGCCCCAAAGTGCTAGGTCAGATTGGAATGGATGGTGTGGAGGGTCGGGGGCGGTGTCGGGCAGCCGGGCTTCTTTGTTCTCCCTCGTCGGGGACCTGAATCAAACAAGGGGGAGGGGGGAAAAGTGAGCTTCGATGAGACGGAAGAATGGGGCCATGGCTGGGGAGAGGGGGGCAGAGCCAGTCCGTCACGGAGCTGATTAGATTGGGTTTGAAGTTAAGGTTCCTCCCTACGGAGCAATAAGGGGCTGGCTAGCATTACAGTTGCCCGAAAGCGTGCGAGGTCCGGTTGTGAGTTCACATTGATTCATTAGAGTTATTCGCTATCCGTAAGTGTAGATAAAAGTCGACCACTATGCTAATGCCGAAACCGTTCGTCCCAGGTGTATATCCCCCCCTTGCGTCTGATGCCCGAAACTCCTCGCTAAAACCAACCAAATCCGAAATGATAACATGGAGAGAGACAGGACATGAGAAAGATGAAACAGATGGAGAAGAGAAATGCCAAGTGGCAGTACAAGGAAACGCCTCAAGGAGTGAGATCTAGAATGCCTGTAGTGATGGTGATGGTGATGATGACAATAAGACAAATGAAAAGCCGTCGTCCCGGACAGGGTATTTGCGCTGTGGATGAAGTCTAAAAGAGTAGAGAAAGGCTCAAAATGCGAAGTCAAAAGCTCAGAAAAAGAAGAAGAATGTCGAAGGGAGACGATGATTGGATGAAGAAAAGAAAGGAATGCCCGTCAGGCATGTCGCTGGCGTCGGCGCAGCTCGTCTCGGCTCAAAAAGCGACGAATACGCGAAACAAAGCGGCCGGCAGTGGAGTCTGCGTCAGGGTTAGCGTGGCTCACATGCACCTGGGGTGACAGGTCACACTGGTGGGCGAACATACCACTGTATCGGCGGCCACTGGGCTTAGACGAAAAATGCTCCGGGGTGGGCGGATAAGACATATCGGTCCAGTAGCATGTATCCGGATAGTCTGCGAGGTGGCGGGCCTTGGCCCATGGATTCTCGTCGGATTGCAATTGCAGGGCGACAACATGCGGGTACAGTGATCCCAGTGGATAGAGGATCTCCTCGGGAGAGCGTTGTCGGTCAATGTCCAGACTCTGGCTGGTCTGTTGAGTATCAGTATTCCGTTATCGGTGATGAGGCTGGCGTGATACTCACGTAAGGCTCGTAGTTGCTCTTGTAAGTCATGGTGGATGTGAGGTTGTAAGAGATGTGATTGATGTGATTTGAGAGATCGGTGGTGGGTAGGTAGTATGTGTAGTGGTTCGGCGGATCGGTGTATAGAACGATGTAGAACGGCAGAGGATAGCGATCGATAGATATAGATCTCGCGATTGACGAAGAATGTGATTGCTGAAAGAGAGACACGTTCTCTGAAAAGACTTTGGAACTGGATGGAGACAAGCTCGGGAGAAACCTTGATAGTTATATAACATGCGGCCGAACAGCCGTGCCCTGGTGGAGGTCAGAGGAGATTGTCAGCCACGCCTGGCTGGTTTTAGTTGAAGGTGGGGAGCAGCTGCCACGCATCGACCTGACCTGACCCTGGCTAGCCTTGTTGTTTAATTGGCATTTTTTTTTTTCGTTCGCTTATCCTGGCAACAATTAGAAAATCCAAACCTTCTTTTCATTTTCCTTTTTCTTGACCGAATTAATCAACTAACTAATCTATTGTTCACCGATGGCTGACAATTTACGAGATCCCAGCCGCGAGGATCACCGACCAGGATAATCCCAGTCGTGCCGGCCGACCAGGAGCGAGGAGTCGATGGATCGCATCGCCGGGCCTGATTTGAATTTAGGTCAGGCATGATCTCATCATCACTTCAGTGGTCGCCAGATCAATTTCAAGGTTAGGTTAGAGCGAAAACCGGGCGGGAAACCGGGTTAGTCGCAGTTGCCCTGGGCTAATTCAGGTCCGACGGGTTGACGGCGACCGCATTGTCCAGGCTGACTGGCGGACGGTCTCAGGAACTAGCTGGCCCTAAGCAGGATAGCTGAGAGCATCTTCATCTGTCGATTTGTGACCATCCAGTCATCGATCGGGAATGGCCGCAGGTGGGACTCCACTCGGTCAGGCACTTGGTTTCGAATCCGGATCCAGTGCGTCAGAGGGCGGGGACTGCAGCACTACTGTTTAGTGTGTTTAGTGTGTGTTGCTGCATCGACTGCACGTCTGCTTCGCTCGCAGGAGTAGTCTAGCTGATCGACCGCCAGCATGGCCGAGTGGCCGGTGGCCGGGGTGTCCGATGGACGGCGATCAAGCCTGTCGCCTGCTTCCCCTTGCATGGGAGAAAGCCGGTCAGGTCGGACTATCGTCCACGTTGTGCCGTTCCTGGGGGGTTGCATATGTATGGTGACGCGCCTGTACACACCCTTTTCTTTTTTTTGCTCGATTGAAGAACAAGGAGAAGTTGGTCAGGGTGGCCACCGAGTGGGAAGAGGAGGGTTGTGTCACGATTGCGTCGGAGGGTCAGCAGGAGAGATGGTGCGGGGGATGGAGACTACTGTGTGAGAGTGAGCGAGTGTCAGTCAGCAGCGGAGCTGTCACAGATCGGTGGGTGACTATTGATTCCTGCCTGGGAGCCTGTTTTCTCAGGAGGCGGAGGGCGGATGGGACCCTCTCCACTCCTCCATCTCCATCGCTATTCCTCACCATTATCCTCTTAGTCCCTCAGCTAGCTCTTAGGACGCAGCGTAATATTAATCTATTTCACTTCCTAGGATCCTATCAAAGGTCGGGATAAGCGAAATCGCCGCTAATGTCCGTGTTTTCCAAATCCTGGTGTCTCTAGCGCCAGGGAGTTGTCCAGGTTCTCGGGTCTGGATGCACATAGTATGGATAGATGGATAGACAATGCGAAGGTCTAGATGGGGAGCTGCTGACGGGTAGGCAAGCATTGGGTAGACTATTGGATACTGAATAACTAACGCGACAAGGATGCAGCGAGGACGAGAGACCTTACACAGTGCAGTTACATCTTCCCTGTCGACTATCTGCATGCCTGGCAGCCTCAGGCCTCTCAATAGGGCTGCACAGCCACGCTCCGACGGCCCCGCCGGCCCCGAACATCTGCGGACTGCGAACAGATCTGTGGCGGTCTGGCGGAGAAGCCCGTGGCTTGACCCTGTCCGTCTCCGCTTAGGGCGTCAATAGTCGGGATAGCTTCACACCCACGACCGTCGGCTCTCCACACTCCCCTGTCATGCGGCCCCTCGCCGTGAGCTTGAGCTTGTTGCTGTTTTCTTTCCCCTTCGGGACGGCCATCGGGCTGGCCGCCATCCCCCCTCCCCCCCTTGTCCCGAGGGGAGGGGTCCGAGAAGTATAAGGAGGAGATTCCCTCGTGTCGATTCTCCTCTCAGATCATCCATCGTGCACCATTTACTCGTTTGCATCCGTCAGCCAGCACATGTCTACGTCCCATGGCGCTAAGTCCAGTCCCCTCCGAACACGATTATCAGCGAAGCTCTCCGTCAATGGACTGGTCCGATCAGTCGCCCATCGCTTCCCCCGACTGTTTTCCCGCAAGTAAGAAAGCCTTTTGGATCAAGCCTTCCCGCGCACCTCTAAAGATCACGGCCCCTGGGCCACACAGAATCTCTCTCGCTGGACACCACTGAACTCCAATCCGGTTCTAGACCTGTGAATATGTCCCCAGCCGGCGGCGGGCCATCCACGCCCGCGTCGTCTTCATCCACCTCGACGAAATACTCGTCTGCTGCTCCCGAATCACCTGCTGCTGCTGCTGCTGCTGCTGCTGCTCCAAGACAGCAACAGCAACAGCATCAGCAACATCCCTTTTTGCCGATCTCACCGGACACGGCTGCCAATCCATCTGCAGATCCGTCGTCGACTCCGCTCGACCTGCTGGACACATGGTATCCGCAGTATCTGCGCTGCACGCAGTACTTCCTCGAGCAAGGCCAATTCTCGCCCGCGGTCCTATCGCTAGCCGCGTTTCTGAACATCCGTCTACCATGCCAGCGGATCGAGCACCAACCAACCTCCTCCTCCTCCTCCTCGTCCTCCTCCTCGGACGCAGCAGCAACAACAGCGACAGCAACAGCAACAGCAACAGCAACAGCAGCAGCAGCTCACGTGCAGCTGCGGCGGTACATCCGACGACTCGTGGTGACGGGGCACGACAGCCCGGAGGTGCTGCAGGCCTTCTTCGGGGCGGGGTGGGCGGGCGGGGTGGGGTGTGTGGTGCAGCAGGAGCGGCAGACCTACCTGTTTACGGCGAAGAGCAGCGGGTGGGCGGCGACCAAAGCGGCGTACGACCTGCCGCCGGACGAGCAGACGCCCTTCCTGCGTCCGTTGCGGGCGCCGGCGGAGGAGGAGCTGCGGCTGGCGGAATCGCGGTGGAGTGACTGGTTGGCGATGGAGGATTGGATGGTGGGGCCTCGGAGTCCGTGGAGTGGTTGATGGTGATTGATGATGTTTACGATTTGGGGTTTTGGCGCTTGTTTTTCTCTGTTCGTTCGTTTCGATTCAATTCCTTTGCCTTGGTTTAGATTGACAACAATGCAGCCGAACATGATTTTCTGCATCGGCAATCGCGAAATGATGAGAAGGATTGTCATCCCGGTACGGAGTATACTGCCCAAAGCCACGCCTCTCATTCCCGGATCCGGGTTAGCAGACTTAGGTTACTAGTAACCCTGGGCTCGAGTACGACACTCCAGATAATATGAGGATCAATTAAGACTCGGGTGAAAGTAGTGTAGTGTCGATCCAGCGGAAGATTCCAAATCGTGTTGTGAACCCCATCCAACTAGACTAGACCCGGAACTCGATAAACTACTTACGTTCCTGGGCAATGGGCAGTGGGCATTAGCATTAGGGGCGGGAATGAATAAACCAAACCCCCCCCCCCAAAAGCACGCGACCCAGTGCACTGGACCTGTCAAATTGTCAAGCCCCTCCTCGATCATCGGCGCTAAAACAATTGCATTGAGACATCAAGCCCCAAGCTGAAAGAAAGCTGAAAGCTGAATGGTGGGTGCTGCATGGTGAATGGTGCGGTGAAGGGGGGAAAAAAGATGGGGCAGGAAAAAAAAAAGGGGGAAGCCCACATGGGGTTGTTCCGTGTCAACTTCAAGGTTCGAAGTTGACTCACTGGCGGTCAGCCAGCCACATGTGTGTGCATGGAACAATCCATGGAAGATTCTTTGCCATGCACGGCTAATGCATGAGGGGTGACAAAAATAGGTACCCAGCCTATCCCTCCAGGTCAAGTTTGAGATTGCGTTTGTGGTTGGTGTTTGGTTTGACTGCCCAAGTCTCACCCTAGTTTGAGGTTCTGGCTGCACCGCCCAGTCATTTCTTGGCTTTGGTCGGGGAATCCGAGCGTTCATTCAGGAACAGGCTGACTAGACCTGGGGGAATTCTTGGTTACTAGTACCTAGTAAACTAGTTTCAGACTCACTGGAAGTCGGCCCAGGAATCTTAATGTTATGAATCCGACCGCCAAATCAGCCCGACTCTCGAGTTGTCAGGCTGTCAGGCTGTCCGGACTGTCAGCATGACAAATACTCTAGACTAACTACGCAATCTTGAGTGAGAGTGACTTATCGTCACTTAACTTATCTTGGTCAACAGAATAACTACTACCGGGTACGGGGTAACCAAGTCAGGGATTCTGTAAGTCCACTAAACTAATCCTTAGTGTAGATGGCGATCTTCTGGGCGGCCAAATGACTCACCTCGTTTCTACACAGTAGTTATCTTAGTATAACTACTATGTAAATTAGCCCCCAAGTCCCAACCGAATTCCCCTCTGCCTTGACCTGTCATATTGGAAATCCTCGCCGATCACCCCAAGCCAAGCATCAACGGACAAGAACTCGGATAATTCTACTTGCTTTTGTTCCCTGTCCTTTGACCGCCAGTATTCCACTGTGCATGTACAGACAGTACTGTCTGGACTGTACCCCAGGAGGGCAAATTCTCCGATCTACCGTCCGCCCGTGGACAACCGACCTAAGCGACCTGAATAAATCCTTCCGAGCCGTCAACCTGAATCGATAGATCCAGATCCAAAAAGAGTCAATCAAGCTGGACGACAGCCACCGAAAATCCTGCCACCAAAAAAAAAAAAAAAAAAACAATCCCTTTCCCACAACCCCGTATTCAACCAAGTGTGGGCTACCCCCCCCCCCCCCCCAATCCCAACACGATGGATCCAGATCTAGATCCTGTGGTGATTCACGAGCTCCCGGCCTCAACCTGGTCCGCGCCATCTGGGATCCTCACGCGCCTCCGATCCCATCTGCCCTACTCGATCCCCCTGCTGCGTCGCATCCAGCATCACCGCGCGTATCCCACCTCCACCGCCGTCGTCGTGGCGACGTTTGCGGCGGATGCGGATGCAGGCCCACCGGTCCATGAAGCGACGCGCTGCACTCCCGGCAGTGATGCACCAGCCGCACCAGCCGCACCACCAGAAGAAGAAGAAGAAGAAGCAGACGCAGAAGGACCCTGGCTAGCAGCCTACATCGACCTGCACGCCGGCCGCGAAACCCAAGTGGTGATCTACAGCAGCGCCGAAGCGACTTCTGTACTCGATATCCCACTCCCCCGTAGCCACAGCAATGCCCCACAGAGTCCGGAGACCGGTGCGGACCGGCTCTCCCTCCTCCATCCGGAGCATGCCCAAACAATCCGCCGCCAACTCCTCGCCCTCTTTCAGCACATCCACACCCGCCTGCTCCCCGCGTACACCGCCCACCTCGCTGCGACAGCGACAGCAACAGCAACAGCAACAGCAACAGCAAAAGACCACCAGCTCGCCCCGCCCCCGCCGCAGGCCTTTCTCATCGGGAACCTGCACACGGGCCTACTGGCGTTGCTTGTTGGGGAGCTTCCCCAGAAGGAAGGGGGGTGGGATGTGGAGCTGCAGGAGTTGGGCAAGGTGTATACGTCTGGGTCCGCGGCGTTCGTTCCGGGGATCAAGGTGCATCGCTACGATCGTTCCCCGTATGTCAAGTATCTGTTTGGGCGGGAGGTGGTTTGTGCTGGTGCTGGGGCTGGGGCTGGTGCTGGTGCTGCTACCCCGGCCGGCTTCCGATTCCACACCCGGGAGGGACGGCGCGGCGTCCAGCCGGAACATTTCGCCCTCGTGCGGAGCCGCACGGTGATTCCGCGGTCGGATGCGACGTTGGCGATGTTGCCGGGGGCGGCGATTTATGTGCAGCGGGAGCTGCAGCAGCAGCAGCAGCAGCATGCCGGGACAGTTGGTGCAGGGGAAGAGGACGCCGAAGACCCCGTGGCGTGGGCGTTTCTCGGTCCCGATGGGTCGCTGGCGACGTTGCATGTTGAGGCGGCGTATCGGGGGCATGGGCTGGCGGGGCGGGTGGCGCTGGAGGCGATGAGACGGGGGATGGTGGAGGATGGGCGGTGGTGGACGAGGGAGGATGACCCCGATACCGGTATGCTGGTGCATACGAATGTGGCGATGGGGAACGGCGCGAGTCGGCGGGTGATGGAGAAGTTGGGGGGGAGGGTTGGCTGGACGGTGACTTGGACGGTGGTGGAGATGTTGTAGTTTAAAAGTACGTATCCAGTTCTGTGTAAGGCAAGGCGTGGATAGAGCGCCGCACGATGGCCTGTGTTGTTCTTCGAGGAAATGGCGGCATGCCAGCAAGAGCCGTCCTGATTCGAGGGTGTCGAAAGGGAATAATATTCGAAGGGCGGGGACTACTCCGTGAATATCATATACATCCATCGAGGCTCTTCAGAGTTCGTCGCCGATTATGTACCCGTACCGTACCATATCCATGCTCGCTCGGATTGAATCGCCCAATCTCGAGCGGGAAATTCCAACATCGGTAGGTTGAAATTGTGCCAGTGATTCCGGCTTTTTCTGCCTCTCCCCCGCGGGCAACGCCCACTGCACCATGTACGCTGACCTCAGGAGTTTGGTCCGCGGTGGGCCGTTCGGACGGTTCGAACGCCATCATCGCTCGGAGCAAGTCCTCCAGCGCACGGAGGTCCCCAGCTGCAACGTCCCATTGGCACGTCGGCGCCGTCTCGCCACGGCCCAGGGACCCCCAATTCATCCGCCTCGAAGAATTCGGCGCGTGTTGCGCCCACGAATTCCACCATCGTAGGGGCGGGGGCCCCCAGGGGGTTGACCATCTCGGCGACAATGTCGTCTCGGTCCCAGGCGAATGTCTCAAATAGGGGGCGCTCGCCCAGGACCTCATACAAGTCGACGCCGAGGGTCCAGATATCGGCCGCGGTGGGCTGAAGGATGGGCTCGTTGAAGAGGTCTTCGGGTGGGGAGTAGAGGGCCGGGGGTGTGAAGAGTCGGCGAGGGTCTCCGTGCCACAAGAAAGGACGTTCCGTAATCCGAGATGATGATTTCGGGGTCATCCAGCTCGTTGGCGGGCATGCCCAACGCCATGGGATAGATGGCATGCGGCGGTGCGTGGGGGTCCCCGGGCTTTCCATCTACGCGCCGGATAGGAACCGCGAAGGGTTCGCCGAAGCGCTCCTATAGCTCGGCTGTGCTTAGGCCGTCGAAGTTGGGGATGCGTAAGAGACAGTTGCGCAGATGGAGATCTGCTGGATTAGTATGCACGATCAGTGAACAGCGATGCACGGATCCTCACCTCCGTGGCATACCCCGGTTGCATGCAAATAAGACAGCCCTAAGAGGAGCTGGGCGGCGATAGATCGAGCAGCGTCCACTGGAAACATGAGATTTGTGCTGTCCTCCTTAGCCTTAGCAATACTACCTCCCGCAGGTTCTCCGACCAAGCACCGATGATGTCCGTTTGGACCGTGGAACGAGAATTGGTCCAGTAGCCGCGGAATAACATGAGCAAGGTCACTCTTCATCAAGTGTTCAAGGACGTCCCCCTCGCGGCTATCTGATGATGCTCTCGCAGTCAGTATCTTTAGCGATACATAGCGCTGGCGTTGCTGATCCCGCGCGAGCCAGATGCTTGAATATCCACCAAACCCAAGCTTGTGAACGACAGTATAGCGGCCGCTACCAAAGCGGTCTCCGATCAGAGTTGGGTGGTATCCGCCAGGCACATATTCCTCAAGATATTCAACATCTACCTCAGGGTGGTATAGATCGTCCATGGACGCGTTAGCCGCGGTATGAAAGCGCCGAGGTGGGTGCGGTGACGGAGAGGCTCTGAGGTGACGGCGGGTCTTTGGTATGATGCGAAAGCGGCACAGGCAAAAGTCCTGATTCTGTCGACGAAATACCACTGGTTGCGAGAATGGGCGAGGAAGTCTCCAGCTAGGGTTCATCATTCTCAGAGTGATGTTCTTGCAGAGGTCATCGAACGACGCGCTATTCCTGCCAACACTGAAAGCTGCAGTAAGGGACATTTACTTAGTAACAATGGGTCTCATACTAGGGCTAGCGGGTGGGCCGTATGAGGGTCGAGGCCACATGACGTCAGTCACTTTGTTGAATTGAAAGCGCGGTTGGTAGAAAAAAACATGAGGCATATGATTATCGAAAGCAGCCTTTTGACTGTACTGCCATGGCTATACAATATCTTAAAATACGTAAGTCCTGCACTAGACAGACCCAATGCGGGTGTGGAAGGAAGGGATAGTCGGCTGTGTGCTTAAGACGAGCTCGCGCAAGGCCACGGTTCTCCGCGTCGTACTTAACAGCATCATCGTCAGAGGGAGTCGGTATATAAACATAAACAACCAAACATGATCCTCTAAAAACGCAACCAAAAAGCAACAGGCTGAACCAAACGACCCCTCTCTCCCAAATACCAATGCCAACACCAACACCAACACCCCCAACCAAATATGCAATCCCCCTAGCCCACCTGACTACTAGTACCAAGCAGGAAAAAACAACATCCCAAGAATCAGTCAAAAACCTCATCCCCACCCACCGTCAGAACACTAGCAACCATCACCGCCCCATCCGCCGTAATAATCCTCCTCTCCCTCGCCCCATCCCTATCCCCCTCCTCACCCCCCTCCTCCCACCGCCTCCCCCGCCAGGGAACATTAATCAATTCCCTCTCCATCCGCGCCGGCAACTCCGCTCGCTGCCGATAGAATCCCGTATCCGATAATTCGGCCGCTGTGGCTGCTGCCCTTCTTCTTTCTGTGCGTGAAGTCCGAGTACCAGCGGTAGCAGTACCACCACCAGCAGCCGCAGCAACAGCAGAGGCAGGAGCAACAGCACCCCCCAAAGTCCCCCCCCCCCCCCCCCCCCTCATCGGCACAGGAGGCTTCACATTAACATGAACATTCCCATTAACATGATGACCCCGCATCCGCCCCGGCGCAGGGGGAGGTTTCTTGGTAGGCGTGGTCTCCGGCGAGACGAGCGGGCTTACGCTTTCGGGGTTGCTCGAGCGCATCGCGAGGTGGCGGTCTCGGTCGTTGAGCGGGGAGATTTGGATTTGCGGGGAGGGGGAGGGAGAGGGAGACGCTAGGTCGGGGGCTTTTTGGCGGGGAGGGGTGACATAAGGCTTTATTTGTGGGGGTGGGGTTGGAGTTCGAGTTTGGGTGCGGTTTGGGGGTGGGGTTTTTAGGGTTGCTGATGCTGGTGGTCGTGGTATTGCTGGTGCTGGTGCAGGTGCTAGTGTCGCTGGTGCTGGCGCTGGCACTGTGATCGTAATATCAGGTGGCCGTGCTTGCGCCGGCGCGTGTAGGTGCGAGTCTGTGCCCGAATTAGCTACTTTCTCTCCATTTAAGTCTTCAGCCTCAAGAAAGAAGGGGCAAAAGAGAAGCGAACCCTTCGTCTCCACCATCTCCGTCCCACTCTCCTCGCCCCCGATTAACCGCTTTACTTTCGCCGTCGACCCCGACCCCAAAGTCCCAGGGTGGCGCCAGTGGAGGAGCCGGAACTGGCCGCGTCGGCGTTTTTTGGCCCGGTAGATCGAGTACAGCACCAAGGCGGCGAGGATGAGGAGGGCGAGGATGCCGCCTACGACGCCGGCGATGAGGGCTTGGTTGATTCGGTTGGGTTTGTGGTGTGTGGTTGCTGGGAGTATGGGTGTGGATGTGGTTGTTGCTGTATTGGCTGTAGTAGTAGGGCGCGTAGCCGTTGGGACTGTGGTGGTGGTGGTGGTGGTGGCTGATGTGGTCGAGCGGGATGATGGTGATGTCGAGGTGGTCTTGGTCTTGACTTCGACAACGGTGCTCTTCGATGAGGTTGAGGATATCTTGCTGGTGGCGGGTTCACTGCGACTACTGCTGCTGCCGCCGCCGCCGCTGCTATCATCCGCACAAACCCCCGAAGTACATGGATCAACCGAGCAACATCCACTATACCCTCCCTTCGCACACACATACCACTGGGTATTCGCCGGACAGGAATCACTCGCAGCTCGGACGGCGAGGGCGGCCATGGCGGTGATTCCCTGTACTTCGCTATACTTCGTCTCAAAGAGCGACTGGCAAAAACCAAACGAGCGATATCAAGCGATTGAAGTGCAGTCCGGCTGGTAGGTTGAACGAGTGTTGGTCTACGAGCAGCAAAGAGAGAAACACCGGACAGCAAAGAATGAGCGAAGTCGAGTATCCAGGAAGTCAGCCTGAAAAGAGGCCCACGGTCTCATAAAAAGTGGCAGTGTGCAGCCGTCCTCTTTCTTTGTTTCAAGGGACAGCACCGGCCATGCCAAATAGAAGACCTCGAACTGAACCCCGGGTTGACATACTCGGCAGAAATAACACAAAGAAAACTCCATTGTATGGGAAAGTCAACGGCTATAAAAGACAACACACGTGAGTACACCAAACTCATCGCCTGGAAAAACCCTTGGATATACACATATAAACACACGGAAATAGACACGGTCGAATTTTCGCCTCGCTCTTTTCGTCCTCTACCCTCATTCGCACCACCCCTGGCCTCAAATGCGCTTAGTACACACGCTTGAACGGAGGCACAGGCTTGCACTCGTTCTCGTCCAGGGTCTTGTGCTCAACAGCACGGTAACCCAGCTTGACCTCACCGTGGGGCTTCTTCTGCCAGGTGAGAGTGTGCTTCATCCAGTTCTCATCGTCACGCTCGGGGTAGTCCTCACGGGCGTGGGCACCACGGGACTCCTTGCGGTTAGCGGCAGCAATGGCGGTTTGAGTACTAATCCAGAGTTAGCCATGATCATACTGAGCAACTCCCAGAGATACGTACGCGCAGGTCAACAGGTTACGGAGCTCAAGAGTCTCAACAAGGTCGGAGTTCCAGATCATGCTGCGGTCCTTGGTGCCAACCTGGTCGTACAGCTTGTCGACAGCAGTGATCTTCTCAACACCCTCATCCAAACTCTCCTGGGTACGGAAAACGCTGACATCAGTCTGCATAGTCTTCTGCATAGCGTTGCGGATCTCGAAAGTAGACTTGGGGCCGTCGGCGTTGCGGGCAAAGTCGAGGTCCTTGATGGACTCGGCACCGGCATCGGAGGCCAACTCGCGGTGGGCCTTGCCGGGGGTGGCGATATCACGAACACGGTGGGAGACGGCACGGCCGAAGACGACCAGGTCGAGAAGAGAGTTGGCACCCAGACGGTTGGCACCGTGGACGGACACACAGGCGGCCTCACCGCAAGCGTACAGACCAGGGACAACCTTGTCCTGGCCGTTCTCGTCAACGCTCAGAACCTCACCGGTGTACTTGGTGGGGATACCACCCATGTTGTAGTGGACGGTGGGCAGGACGGGGATGGGCTGCTTGGTGACATCGACACCGGCGAAGATGGAGGCGGTCTCGGAGATACCGGGCAGACGCTCGTGAAGGAGCTCGGCGGGCAAGTGGCTGAGCTGGAGGTAGATGTGGTCCTTCTCGGGACCGACACCACGGCCCTCACGGATCTCGAGGGTCATGGAACGAGAGACGACGTCCCGGGAAGCCAGATCCTTGGCAGTGGGAGCGTAACGCTCCATGAAACGCTCACCCTCGGAGTTAAGCAGGTAACCACCCTCACCACGGGAACCCTCAGTGATCAGACATCCGGCACCGTAGATACCAGTGGGGTGGAACTGGACGAACTCCAGATCCTGGTTGGGGAGACCGGCACGGGCAACCATGGCCATACCGTCACCGGTACAGGTGTGGGCAGAAGTGCAGCTGAAGTAGGCACGTCCGTAACCACCGGTGGCCAGGACGGTGTGGTGAGCCTTGAAGCGGTGGAGGGTACCGTCCTCCTGGTTGTAGGCGATGATACCACGGCACTCACCATCCTCCATCAGAAGGTCGAGGGCGAAGTATTCGATAAAGTAGTTGGTGTTGTGGCGGAGAGACTGTCCGTAGAGAGTGTGGAGAAGGGCGTGGCCGGTACGGTCAGCGGCGGCACAGCAACGGTAGGCCTGGCCACCCTTGCCGTACTCCTTGGACTGACCACCGAAAGCACGCTGGTAGATACGACCATCCTCGGTACGGGAGAAGGGGCAACCGTAGCCCTCCAACTCACGAACACTAGCAGGAGCCTCTCTGGTCATGTAGTGAATGGCATCCTGGTCACCAAGCCAGTCGGAACCCTTGACGGTGTCGTACATGTGCCACCTCCAGTCATCCTCGTGCATGCTACAGGCCGAAGGTTAGCCGCGTTGCGAACCTGAGAAACCTCCATAACATACTTTCCAAGAGCAGCGTTGATACCACCCTGAGCGGCGACAGTGTGACTTCTCGTAGGGAAAAGCTTAGAGACACAGGCAGTGTTGAAGCCAGCTTCGGCGAGACCGAAAGCGGCACGGAGACCAGCGCCACCGGCACCGACGACGACGGCATCGTACTCGTGGTCCTGCAACAACGATTAAGATCACACTCCTAACGTATAACCATGGAATATCCTTACAATGACGGGGTACTTGTCGGAGATGTAGCCATTGGCCTCCTTGGCGCGCAGGGGTCCGTTGCCAAAGATCCGGGCTAGCGGAGATGAGAAGTTAGCGAGAGGCGGAAAGGGATGGCGATGCGATTCCAATGCGTACCAGCAGGCCGGGAGGAGGAAAAAAGACGTCTCTGATCCCTCAAGGCGCGGGAAATCTGCGCAAAGATAGATGTCAGTAAACTCCTCGAGAGAGGGTGGCGTCCTAACGCGCGCTCCAAATCTGGAGTCTGGAGGAGTCGAGACGAACAGACATCGGGATAGGGAACAGACCTTAGATGCGGGAGCCAGGCTCCGCCAGCTCAAGGAGCTCATGATGACGGATTAGAAGAAAAGAGACACTTCTCTAACAAATCCGGGAAAGGAGGGGAGATTGGGGGGGGGGGAAGGAAATCCAACAGCACAAGGACTGGGGGAGAGAAAGTCGGGGTTCAAGGCTGGTTGGTTTGCATGCGAGCTGCACTTTTGGATCGTCGGTTCTGCTGGGAAGAGCGAGGAAGGCCCGGCTGACATAAGCATTTTGCACTTGCCGACGGGGAGGACCGGGGCCGAACAAGCCAATCAACATTTGTGGAGTGGTAATCACCTCGGGCAGTCAGTCCGCCTTCATTGGCCGAAATCTGCTGGGCACGTGGTCCGGCCCTCTTCTCACCCGGCAAAGCGCGAGACTTTCCGGAGCAAGACGGCCGAGTCCAGTTGACAGACAGCCTGCCAGGATTACTGAGTGCAGTACTTTCGGCATGAGCCTGAGGCAGCTGGAGAAGCATAAGCCGAGCCTGGCCCCAGGCGCAGCTTGAGTTTCTCCTCACTGCAATGAGACGGGAAACTACTTAAGCTTACTACTGCCGCTCTAGGTATAAGTGGTTTACTATGTACTTAGCTTGTCGCCCTTGCTGATTGCCGCCGCTTCGGCAGGATCAACCAGAACTTGACATTGACATCATACAGCAAAGTCCCTAGTATATGATCATACACATCCATTGCGTTTGTAATTTGTAATGTAATCCAAATACCTAAGAGTCGTCTAATTATACTGCATGTACGTCGCAGTCGAGTTGAACTTCAGGTTGCCCTTGATCACCTTGTCCACCGCAGCCAAGAAGTCCTTCTCAGTAGCCACCTTCCGACGCGCCCGGATGGCGAACATACCCGCCTCTGTTGCAACACTTCGAAGCTCAGCACCCGTAGCGTTCGGGCATAGACGAGAGATCAGCTCCCACCGGATGTCACGCTCGACCGACATGCTCTTGGCGTGAATGCGCAGAATGTTGGCACGGCCCTCAACATCCGGGAGGGAGAACTCGATCTTACGATCGATACGTCCCGGACGCATCAGAGCAGGATCCAGAGTTGACGGCCGGTTGGTCGCAAACATAACCTTGATGTTACCACGGGCGTCGAATCCGTCCAGTTGTGTAATCAGTTCCAGCATAGTACGCTGAACCTCGTTGTCACCACCAGCTCCGTCGTCGAAACGAGCACCACCGACCGCGTCGATTTCATCAAAGAAGATAATGCATGCCTTCTTAGTCCGCGCCATCTCAAACAGCTCTCGAACCATCCGTGCACCCTCACCAACGTACTTCTGTACCAACTCACTACCGATGACACGGATGAATGTCGCGTCCGTCCGGTTGGCCACGGCTCGAGCGCAAAGCGTCTTACCCGTACCGGGAGGTCCGTAGAGCAGAGCACCCTTAGGAGGGTCGATACCGAGGTTGACAAAGCGCTCCGGCGAAAGTAGGGGCATCTCGACGACCTCCCGCAGCTTCTCAATCTGTTCTTTGCATCCACCAACATCACCGTACGTCACATCGGGCTTGTCTTCGACTGTCATCATCGTCACACTCGGGTCGATCTTAGGGGGAAGAGGCAGCATAATCTGGTACTTGTTGCGGTCGACACTGTATCACGGTTAGATCGGAACGGGATGATAGGCAAGACCACAGTAACATACCCAACTCTCATGCCCTCCTCAATATCTGTCGGACTAACGCGCTCTCCCAAGTTGACGACGAATTTGGCGATCTGTTTGACGTTGATGACGTATTTACTCTTGTCTGAATCCTTCTCATCCTGAATGATCTTCGTGCACCGAGCTACCTGCAATGGCTGCTCCTCCGCCATACGTTGTCGGTCCGCAGCAACATCCCAGAGATGTGGAGGCGCAAGGCCGGTATCGGATTCCTATGCCGGTCAGCAAGGACTACCCCCATCAAAGGTAGAACCGGAATATACCTTAACACCAATCTTCTCGTTCACACTTGCTTGTCTCTCCTTGATCTGTTTCTCGAGCTTCTTCAATGCGTTGGCGTAGGGAGCAGCGCCGTAGGTCTTTAGTACTTGGATATCCCTAGTTCCAGTTAGCCATCTAGACGGGACGGTCGGCAGAGCGGTAGCATCCGGTCAACGTACTCATCTGTGAGAGGAGTGATCTTCTTCTCCGGCTCTTCGTCATCGGCGAAGTTCTTCTGGTACTTCTCCCAGTTCTGGCCCGTAGCGCTAGGCATGCTGATGATGTG